AATTTTGGCTCACGCGCAGCTCGAACGACCCGTCGTTTTATGCCGATGATGGGTAGGTCCAGCTTTGATGAGGACGCTTAGATTAAAGGGATAATTACATAAATTGCCCGTGAACTTTGGCTGGATGTGCAGTGTCATCTCTGAACTTTTAATTTATCCAATGTGGTCCCTAAACTTTAATCCGATGTGCAATTTCATTCCTAAACTTTTAATTTGCTCAACGTGATCCCTAAACTTTTGATACATATTTATTTTAGTCCTTAGACTGTATAAATATTTTCAATGTTGTCATTCCATTAATTCAGACTAACAGAATTTGTCAATTTGCTTATTTGACTTCCAATCCTGTACGTATGACCAGTGGACCAAAAACTAACATTACACGTAAATTATCCACGTAAGATATTATCCTCGTTTTTTGATTATATGGATTATTATATCATTATTTAAGTTGAATATCTTACAAAGATAATCCATGTGCGACGTTAGTTTTTTGCCCACCGCTCATACGTACCGGATTAAAAGTTTATATAGAATAGAGGAAAGACATTAGACTATACTGAACAGATTAATTTTGTTAATTTGAATTAATAGAATGACCATATTAAACATTTTCATATAGTCTAAAGATTAAATTGATCATGGACCAAAAACTCAAGAACTATACTGAACAGATTAAATGTTTAGGAACAACATTGCACATTTTGTTAAAGTTCAATGACCACATTAAATAAATTAAAAATTCGAGAAACATATACCAAAAGCTCAGAAACCATACTAAATAGATTAAAAGTTTAGAGACAACATTACACATTAAATTGAAGTTTAGAGACCATATTGGACAAATTAAAAGTTCGGGGAACATGTACCAAAATTTTAGGGACCACACTAAACAAATTAAAAGTTTACGAATAACATTACACATTGGCTAAAGTTTAAAAGTCACATCGGATAAATTACAAGTTCAGGAAACACGTATCAAAAGCTCAAGGACCTTACTGAACAGATTAAAAATTCATGGACAACATTACGCACTGGACTAAAGTTCAGAAACTGCATCGGACAAATTAAAAGTTCAGGGATGACATTACACGTTAGATCAAAATTCAGATACCATTTCTGTCATTTCCCCTAAATTTAATAAGGCATGCTCAAATATGTCATGGAAGCCATTCTCCAATTCCATCTTTGAATTAACATTTTTGTCCTTTTTTGGGCTATATTTAGTCCTGCTCACTTCTAATCCCCAAGGCGTGCTGAGTCTTTGGACATTCATTAGCTTTTCTTTTTCTCTCTATAAAGCTATCAATTTGTCTGCTCAAATCCAATTTGCACCTGCCAACGTTTTTTTTTTTTTTTGGATATAACAGAGATTTATCATTTCATTTAACAACTAGCCCTCTAGAGAAAGGGGCATCAAAACACAGGATCTCCCATAGAGGGGGTGGTGGGTAAGAAACCCAATACCGTGGAAGGGCCTTAACTCTTGAGGCATTTACAACCCAATCTGCTAATCTATTTGAATCTCGAGGACAGTAGGCGAACTCAAGACTCTCAAAAAGGGCCATGAAGCCTAAGCATTCTGTGATAAGGGGCTCAACGTCCCACGAGCAGAGAGAGGAATCTTGTAGGAAGCTTATCAAGGTGGAGCTATCAGTTTCCAGCACAAATTTCTGTCCAGATCGACTAACAAAGTGTCGAAGAGCGTGGAGACAAGCAAGGGTTTCAAAGTGAAGGGCGGAGGACACTCGGATTGGTTGCGCAGCTCCTTCGATCAATCTCCCTTCAGAATCGCGGCACACAAAAGCAAAAGCCCCTTCCGTAGACCCCGGGAGATGTGATCCATCGACGTTAATCTTCAGTGTCCCTGGCTGTGGTGGTCTCCACCTCAAAGGTAAATCCTCTGATGCTCGCTCTCCCGCCTTGTTACTCCCGTTCCACTTCGCATAGTTGTAGTGCATTGCAAAAGCTGAGTCTACTATGCTTCTGGGACTAGGAATCTGGTGTTGGAAGACAAATGAATTACGCGCTAACCAAATATTCCAGAGAGTGGTTGCGATGATCTCAAAGGATAGGTTCTTTTGGGTCAGATCTTCATAGTTCAGCAACCACTCCTCGATTCTGGTCACTTGTTGGTGAGAGAACTGAAAATTGAATTCTGGACTAGACCAGGCCTGCGTTGTCCTATCACATAGGAGAAATAGATGTTCCACCGTTTCGGGTTCCTTGCGGCACATGGGGCAGTAAGGCTCAGGTAAAAGCTTCCTTTTATACAAGTTAACCCTGGTTGGTAGAGCATTTTGGCAAATGATCCACATGAATAATCTTACTTTGGGGAGTGTTTTTAGCTTCTAGATCTTGCCCCACAGAGAATTAGGCGTTTGGTAGGAGGTTGAAGCATGCCCGTTGTCTTGTATGGTTTCAATCTTTCGAAGTTGATTATAACCACTTTTAACCGAGTAGCAGCCAGACTTATTTGCTGACCAAACTAGCTTATCCTCTATTGAGATGATTGGCAATGGAGTTGCTAGAATTTCATTAATGACTTGCTCCTCAAAAAGATTCCCCAGTAGTTGTCCCTTCCATTGTTTTTCTATTGAGTCAATCAATTCAGCAACCATATTGGGATCTTGTTGGCTATATGGCCCTCCCAGTACACCTCTTTCCAACCATCTATCCTCTCTGATTCTGATTTGCTGGCCATTACCCACTTTCCATCTCACCTCCTTTGAAATCGCTTCTCTACCCATTAGTAGGCTTTGCCAACCCCATGAAGGGCAAGAACCCTTAGCAGCATGCCAGAAGTCACAGTTTGGGAAATACCTTCCTTTAAGTACTTTATATCATAATGCGTTTGGAGCTTGCGCGACTCTCCAGGCTTGTTTTCCCAACATTGCTCTATTGAAAGTAAGAAGATCTCTAAAGCCCAAACCACATTTGTCTTTCCTTTTCTTCAGCGTTTCCCATTTTTTCCAATGAAGGCCAGCTTTGGAGGCATGTGTTTTCCACTAGAACGAAGCTATCTTCCTTTCTATGGCTTTGCAAATGGATACTGGAATTTTAAAAATAGACATCGCATATTGTGGCAAAGCTTGTACCACCGCTTTGATTAATATTTCTTTTCCAGCTTTGGAGATAAAATTCTCTTTCCAGCCTTCCAACTTCATGTTTACTCTTGCCAGTATCCAAGCGAACATCTGTTTTTTTGTTTGGCCCCAATCTGAGGGGATGCCCAAATACTTTCCAGTTTTGTCGATCTCCGGAACACGCATCTCTTGGGCCATGTTCCTTCTCAGCTGAAATGGACACCCCGCACTAAAGAAGATACCCGATTTGTTAAGGTTGATTTCCTGACCCGATGCAAAGCAATATTGATGAAGGATAGATGCTAGGTTTTGGCATTCCCTAACCTTTCCATCCAAGAAGAAGATTGAGTAGTCTGCGAACAATAAATGGGATAGGCTGGGGCAGTTCCTGTTTAGTTTGATTCCTTTGAAGCTCTCGTCATCTATTGCTTTTTTCATGAGAAAGGATAGTACATTTGCCACAATAATGAATAAGTATGGGGACAAAGGGTCCCCCTGGCGAAGACCTCTCGAGGGCTTAAAGAAAGAGAGGGGTTCCCCATTAAACTTGACGCTAAGAGAAACGGTGGAGACACATTGCATAATCCAAGAAACCCATCTCGCGCTAAAGCCCATCTTTATCATACATGCTTTAAGGAAATCCCATTCAACTCTATCATAGGCTTTCTTAATGTCTAGCTTTAGAATTGCCTGAAATCTCTTTGTTCGCTTGCTGATTCTCAAATGGTGAAGGACTTCCTGTACCACAAGAATATTGTCTTGTATCTGTCTGCCGCTGACGAAGACGCTTTGTTCCATTGCTATCAAATTAGGGAGCCAAGGTTTTAGGCGGTTTGCCAAGACCTTGGATATAATTTTATAGCCGAAGTTGCACAAACTAATGGGCCTGAACTGGTCAATCCTTTCTGGGTTGGGGTTTTTGGGAATAAGAACAATGTGGGTCTTGTTCAGATTTGGGTCAAGATAGCCTGTGTTGAAGAAAGATCTCACCATATTAAGCACATCGTGTTGGATTATTTCCCAATGATGTTGATAGAATTGTCCGTTTAAACCGTCCGGTCCCGGAGCTTTCTTGGCGCCTAACTGAAAAGTCATTTCCTTGACCTCTTGCATTGTTACACTCCTCAGCATGTGCTGATTCATCTAATCCTCCACTATGCTAGGGCACATATCAATTACCGGCTGAAAATTTCTTTGACCCGCTGTGGTGTAAAGCGATTGGAAGAAATGCATTGTCAATTCCTATAGTTCTTTTGGATCACAACTCCACTCTTCTTCCGTCGTTTTCAGCATAGAGATTTTGTTTCTTTTTCTTCTCTGAACTGTGGTCGCATGAAAATACTTTATGTTCTTGTCTCCCCAACGCAGCCAGCTAATGCGTGATCTCATGTCCCAATACATTTCCTCCTGTTTCCATAGGTCTTCAATTTGTTGGTTTAAAGATTTGACCCTCTCCCTGTTTAGTTGCAAAGTTGGGGCATTTGTAATCTCTTGGAGTTCTCTTTTCAGAGAGTTTATTTGACAATTGCGCATTTGAGAACTTCTCTTTACTCCACTTCGTCAAGGCTTCTGATACTCTCAATAATTTCCTCATGAGTTTCTCATTTCCCAACCCAGGGACACTCCACGCCGACTGTACAACTTTAATGCAGTCTTCATCTTCCATCCAGAAGGCTTTGAACTTGAATTCCCTATTTCTTCTAGATGAGGTTGGTGAGAGTATTACCAATAGTGGGCTGTGGTATGAACCGACCGCAGGTAGGGCAAGAACTTCTGCACTTGGGAACTTTACTCTCCATTTCACATTGCATAGGGCTCTATCTATGCGTTCTTTCACATGTGCCTCTCCCTCCCTATTATTTGCCCAGGTAAACGCGCAACCCTTTGCTCTATAGATCAAGCAAGGAACAATTGTTAAGGAATTCCTGAAAAGCAGCTAGCTTGTAGTTATCCGCCATGCGTCCTCCGATCTTTTCCCACGGGTGCAATATTTCATTGAAATCACCCATACAAATCCATGGTAGCTGGTTTGAAAGACTAACTCTTTGCAACTCCCTCCAGAGTTGGAGCCTTTCTTGGTATACAGTTGTGGCATGGACAAAGGTGATTCTCATCTGAGTTTGGCTTACTTTATCTGAGCAAATCAGGTCAAATAGCTCCGGAGAGGCCCTTACCACATTCAAGGATACCGAATCCGTCCACATCACCGCTAACCCACTTGCTATTCCCGTTGGGTTTACTACTTCGTAAAACTGGAAATTTAGACACCTCATAAGTCTCTAAACCTTCACTTCTTTGTTCTTCGTTTCCATCAAAAAGAGGATACTGGGCTTAACACGAGCAACTAAGGCTCGCAGTTCCTGGCTTGTCAAGGGTGTGCCCAATCCCTGACAATTCCATCTTAAGATATTCATGGGAAACCCGATGGCTTATTAGGGCTAGCCACCAAAGCCCGTAACTGAGACTCATTCAGAACCTGGATCGGAGTATCTAGAAGATGGGTCTCATCCAAGGCAGGGGAGAGACCCTTTTGGGGGGAGTAGGGACTGTACCTTCTCTGGATCTTCTTGCTTGCTGATTTCTTTCCCTTACTATAATTCTTCTGAGGGCCACTAGAGCACCATTCACTCACCAGGGGGAGGACAAGGGCATTTAGCGGCTGAATTGGTTGGTAAGGACCATCTTTAGAAAAATAGCTACCAACTCCCCTTGCTACTAGTTCATTTATAAAGGGTTGTCCTGGTTTCTCAATCTTATTCTCAAAGCTTGGGATCATTGGACTCTTTCCCTGTGACTTGTAAGGCACCAACTGAAGAGTAGGGGTTGGAGTATCATGATCTATCTCCTCATCCCTAACTTCATGCACTTTTGTAGCGTGGACTGATTTCCAAAGCGGGCTCCATTCTCTCGTTTCCGCACGGAGCCAAAGACCGAAACATCCTGGGTTATCCGTCTCTAGCATGCTCTCGTCAAATTGTTCTACTTCACAGAATTTGGCACAGTGCCCAATCCGACCACAAGCATAGCAGAAGTGTGGCAGCCTCTCATATCTAAAATCAACCCATAATTTCTTTCCTTCTTGGCTAGCAATCGTACCAGGCTTCAAAGGGGCCACTAAGTTCAGTCTGACTTTAGCCTTTCCACTTGAAAAGGTGGAAGAGGCTTTTGCGTCGCATTTCACTTCAGAAACAAGGCCCGCAGCTACCGTGATTCTCCTTATGGATTCCTCCGAGATCCAATTCATAGGCAAACCATGCACTTGGACCCAAAAATCACAATGAGTATATTCATAGCATTGCAGTGGAATATCCGGGACAAAAGGTGTGAGCACCACTAGGTTGTTGGAGAAAGACCAGGGCCCCGAATCCCTCACCCTTTTCATCTCATTCTCGGATTTAAAGGTAAAGGCAAAGATTTTTTGATCTACTTGGGTAATATTGACTGAATCAATTCTCCAGGCTCTCTTCATCGTGCTTTGGAATGCCTGGACATTAATATTAGGGGCTGAGAACAATTGCCCATATAACGTCAATCGGCACTCTTGTATGTTTTCCAAAGGAACCGCTCCATCAATAATTGCTAAGTCACTTTCAGACCATAAATTGCCCAACTTACTGCATATGGAAGCTAAGCGAGCATCTGAAGCATCATCCTCCTCCATTGGATTCCAACAGAGGAAAACCCAGGGCCTGATTTGCAGGGAACAACAACACAGTGCACCAGAAGAAAGAGACCAAAAAGCACCGGGAAAACAGAGGTTAGGGGTTGTGCGAAGCAACTCCACTTGTGAAAACAGAGGATGAAGGGTAGGGAGGTAAGAACTACCACCGAGGATTAGGGTTTGGGCTCTTCCATTTCAGTTTGAATGAATCAAATTTAGGGCATAAGCCGATGGAGAACGAAATAGCCAAATACCTGAGATGCGAAGATCGAAAGAGCAAAATACCCTTTCTTGTCACAAGAGGACAAAGAGACAACACAAGGCCAAATGGAAGGAAACTTCGGCGAGGAATCTTTGACACTTTCCACCGAGAAGCTCTGAGGAGGCAAGAACAGGACAAAGAAGTAATCAGCTTGGATAGGGGTATTGTGTATGGGATTTGAGGAGCAGGACAAAGAAGTTTTAGGGTTTAAGGGGGTTTCAGAGGAATGGGTATGCTATCACCAAGAGGGATAGGGTAAAGCTCTTCCATGGGAGAGAGAACACGCAGGAGTTGTCCTCCAATTCGAGATGCTCGTTTTTGGAGACAAAATCTCCTTTTTACCTGCCAACATTCACGATGACATTTTTAACTCATATAATAAATTTGAACTCCAACATATTCAAGTTAGAATGCAAGAAGAACTTGCCCTCTCTCTGCATCTGAGTAAAAGCCTCTTCCAGCCATACGAGACTCAGAGAAAGTGCATATTGAAGAATAGGATTTGCGAACAAACGATCATTCTGATTATTACACTTTGAATATTTAACAAAGGAAAAGTCAAGGTAAATGTTACTTAACCAAATAATTATTCATAAACTCCGCTCTCACGCCATTCGACAAGCTCGAAAGATGATCGTTCGATGGGTGCGAACCCAAACTAATACCAGATATTCTCCAGGACATAGCTGACAAAGGAGCCTCTAAGACACGAATGTATAATGCTAGAATGTACAAAATGGAAAAGCATGGGGAAAACTTGCTTCCAAGCAGAGCCAGCAAAATTTTACAAGGACATCGATACTTTCTTTCGAGGGAAGTTATTCTGCCGACGGTGAAGACAGCGATAGGTTTAAAAGGAATCCAACCATGATTCCAATGAGAGCTACGAGGAGTGCGAATTTGAGGGAGAAGCCTGGGTCACTTTTCCGATGCCTTCGTCTCCTCAGCATATCCTGAAGCACATGAAGATAGGAGCAAATTTTCTGCTGAGGACGGGATCTATAGTAAAGGCGATGCAAAGATGAAGAGCCAAGTCTTCTATATAGTTGTTTTGGACAACCGAGTTCCATATCGTGTTGTTTGATGGAAAGGCCTAAGAACAAAAGCTAGAACGACACACATAGAATAGGTGAGAAACACATGCAGGTAATATTATCTCTGCACCCGCAGATTTCGTGATTTAGAGCTAAAAAACAAGAGCCACAGCAAGAATTCATTCGGAAACTTCAAATTATCATTGTGTTAACTCGTCTAAAAGATGTTCAAATAATTTTGATTAAATTACAAGAAAAAGAGACAAGTGAGAATTAAAGTGATTTCTAATATGGCAAACTTCACAAACATTGATTTTGTATCCCATCATTGCCCCCTGTTTTTTCTCGAGGTACCTCATGTCATTGACATCGTAAGTATGTACGTGATTACACCTTCATATATGGAAGGAGTAAGTCAAATAGGCATCTAACATGGATCGGTCAGTGTATCTTGTAAAACAAAAAGTTTGAAAACTTAGCTGTTTGCACCTCTCGCATAGCCAAAGTGATCAGTATCATCTATTCAAAAGTTTAAACATGTTGCATGCAATTAAACAATTCTTTTTTTTTTTGTTTACTAAAAATATCAGTCTAGCAGACGACATCAAAGAGGGTCAAAGGGAGAAGGTATTTACCAATTCCTGCCGCAAGAGCTGTGTTTGCCGAACAGCTGCATCTCTCTCGTCCTTCAGTTGCTGCACAGACTGATTCTAGGATAATGACATAGCAGAGAATAAGCAAAAAATTGTAATAAAATAATACATAGTAAAGTACGTAAAGTAACTTCCGTGGAAACAGAGTTACGGTGGTCAGGAACGTCTATTTCTGTCGTAAGATATATTTGTCTTTACAACCTATGGGTCCACAAGAAACACAAGGAAAAAGAATGGTCTTTCTCATCTTTCCCCGCTCCTTTCCTTCTGTTTTCTTGTATCTGTCTGTTATGAGACATATTAGAAAAGGCTTGAATTGGCAGTTCTAGTTGTCGTCTAGTTGTTGTCTTGCTTGGAAATAAACTGTGAAACATTGCAGACAGTTTGCCATTTTCAAAAGTCAACCTCACCCATAATTATTCTGTTTTGCAAACCAATGCAATGATCAAAGTTCTCTCCACAAATCTACCTTACAGACTGAAATCTTAAAAGAATATCAGTGCATGAAGAAGAAATCAGGAAATGTTGCATCCAGTGGGTTACCAATTTTTCCTCTCCCCTTTCACCTTCCTCCCCTATTAATAAGTGTTCTGTCTTCTCTAGTCTGTTGCATCATGGATGCAATTTCCATACCCACCATGTTTGAGAGGAAAATAAAAGATCAAGAAATCTATCAAATTCCCAAAAAAATAAAGAGAGACTACATATATCAATCTGAAAGACTCACAGTGGAGTCATCAAAACTTTGTCTGGAGCTCTTCAGCGTATTGTCTTCCAAATTATCTTGACCTGTGTTAGGAGAAACATATACAACTCTCAGCTTGCATTCCTCTACTGTTTTTCCTCCATCCTTATTGAACTGGACAACAAATCATAGCATATTTGTGTAAGAACAGAGCCTGACTGTACTAGAAACAGAATGAAAATATAGTGCAACAGTTAGTAAAATAGGAACACAGTCCTTTGTAAATGATATTCTTACAGTATCTGGAGACAGGTCATCAACATCTGAGTTTGGTGGCACTATTGTACTCTGCAGGAGAAATTTGTCTTTGCATTGCATGTCAGGGGGATATTCCTGTTGAGCTTGGAGAGTGACTTCAGACCAAGCAAGGAATAAAAACAAGCAAAAGCATTGCAAATTAGACAAACAAAAAGGAAAAATACAGGTAATTCGTATCTCATGACCACAGGCATAAAAAGCATAATTTAAACATGTGTTGTCCAACGCACTTAGTCATGTGAAAGTAAAACCAATAACATAAAAGGATATCCCAAGAAGAAGAAGAAGAAGACGAAGCAGACTACCTCTTATGAAACATGCATCCCAGGGCTGTATAACATTGGTGTTAGGTCGTACAAAATATTTCTTAGGAGAAGTTGTTTTAACCTGGCATATCAAATGGAAAGAACTAATGTGAACAAGAAAATGTCTAGATAGCATAAATCCGAACATTTTTTAACACGATAGATAGTACCTTAAAAGCGACATGGTGTTCTGTGTTGTTTACGACTTTAAGATCACAGTAGCTTTGCTTTTCCAGCTCAACTGAATAGAAAATCAATCAATGAGACCACTGAGGCCCAAATTCCAGCTTATGCCAAGAGCTTAATTACTTTCGAAACACTTTCAAAAACGGAGAAGAAGTCCATGATGGTAATGCGTCATTCAACCAGGTTTATATGGAATAACGCAAGCACATTAGAAATGACCAGTGACAGCCAATATTCCCCTTTTCCTTTTACAAAAACCAGTACAATATTATTGAACATTCATTCAGCCAGTTGCGCTTACACATACGTCACATCTCTGAGAATGTATGCTTCAAACAAGGGAACAAGGACCTTACTCTGTAACTTGAAAAGACTTAAATGGCGAAAGCATTGATGATGGCCAAGTATAAAATTGGCTTGAAAATCTGATTAGGCTGGCGTTTATTTATCTCACATTTGACTCGCATTGCTAAGCATTCTAAGACTTTTGCTTCTGGAGAGCCAGAGGATAAAAATAATACACTTCACATGTCAGACAAGCACCAAGTTCCAAACAGTATCAACAAAGCGGAAAAAGCTAATGTTACCCCCAATCACATAGTATGTCTCAAGGAACAATTTGACATGTTAAGACCTCACACCACAACATACATAAAATGTGGGCCCACATTCTACTAAATGAAAGAAGTTGCACTGCACTATTGTCCTCACATTAACAGCTTATGCCCATGCCTATCCCTGTGCGATCTCACATCATCTCAGATTTGTAATATTTCATGGACATTCACAACAACATCGATAACAACATGTGCTTTTCAACGCAAAAACACTAACTACTTGAACAATGTTAGTGAGGCATAGAACCTAATGCAAATAGTTTAACTGTATTCCCATTCTTCACACTATGCAACCACAACTACCAGTCACTCAGATCCAATTCCCGAATAATTCCGGAACATGTTTACATGCCTTTCTGATCCCGAAGCGATGCACTTATCCGGGCCAAAAGTGCCTAATTATATCAATCGCTACCTAAGACGAATTCCCACAGTATAACTCGCAGAAAACGCACGGTATCGAAAGTGAAAGTCGACATCAAAAGACGTAAGGTACATCCACGACAGACATCCAACATGCTGATTCCAGTCGCATCAGCATCAATCAATGTCCTTTTTTTTTTCTCTTTCTTTTATTTGTCGCCGGGTGCATCAATCAATGTCAAGAAGTCCACAATTCCAATCAGCCGAGACGTTGAAATCACGGGTAACTCTAGAAACCCATCATCGCAGGCCCCACATCTCAGCAGACATTGCCATGCGTTTGCCAGAGAGAGAGAGAAAGAGAGCATACAGTTGAATTTGAGCTCGTCCGGATGAACGGAGATAAGGGGATGACCACCGGCGGTCATGATGGAGAAGAGACGACAACAACAACAACAACAACAACACAGCCGCCACGAAAACTAATCTCCTCCGCGGACCCACGACGCGCGAACCAAATCCAGTAATCATCCACCAACACCCACGAACGCGCGGAACGCCCACTGAACAAGGAAACGAAACCTCGCTCGAATCAAAAAACTAGGCAACGAAAACACCAATCCCAGAAACAGAGAGAGAGACAGAGAGACAGAGAGAGAGGAGAAGAAGAAGAAGAAGGAGAACTCACAAAGGAAGAGGAAAATGTATGGAGAGAGAGAGAGGTAGAGAGGGAAGGTACGCGGTGGAAGCGGAGGGATTGAGAAGAGGAATGCTCGGTCCAAAGATGGGTTGTTACGCATCGCCTGAAATATCGGCTATAAACTTCATTGAAAACGATGCAGAATCATCACCTAAAAGAAGAGAGCGACTCGCTAGAGAGAGAGAGAGAGAAGGCGGTTTTCGGGTGTCTGTGCAAAACTAGCAGTTGCGCGGCTGGTTAGTTGCCAAGTAATGAGAGCGACCGATGGTTCGGATCGGTGACAGAGAGAGAGAGAGAGCGCGATGCCACGGGAGAATGACACTGAAAAATCCTAGGGAAATTTTCGAATGAAGCTTTAATGTGCCTAGAGTGGATTTCCCTTTTCAAATAAGAACATGGAATGCCTTATTTTTCTCAAATGAAAATATGAAATGGCCATATCAGTCTCGATGGAGGGCCCGACCTCACCGGCTAGTTTAAGGCATTTTCGTCCTTTTATTTATCTTTTCTTTTTTTCTTTCATTTTTTTCCCATTTCTTTTTTTTTTTCCCCCTCGCCTGGCCGACAAGGACTCGGCGACCCACGCCCAGATCTGGAGAGGGTCGGCTCGGCGACGGAAAAATAAAAAAAGAAATGAGAAAGAAGAAAGAAGAAAAAAAAAGAGTAAATGATGAAAATGTCCTTAACTAGCTGGTATGGTCAAGCTTTTCTTTGAAACTAGCATGCCTATTTCAAGGCCTCGTTTAAGGGAATAAGGGCACTTTACACCCTTATTTAAAATAAGGTCCACTTTATACCATTATTTTAAATTTTCTCAAAACTTTAGCTACAAAATTGAGTTAATTGTTCCACGAAGAATAAACCCGTTATACTAGTGCGTCGAATCGAATATTGTCCAATTCAAATTGACTCATTTAACGTGTTTTAATCAATTTTCGTAAAATATAAATTTAGTGATATATACCCAACCTAACCCATATTGCTAAAACACTTATATATTTAACACAATCTACGAAATTCCATACCCGAACTAAGGAGAAAGCATGAAATGAGCGAGCTCAAGATCAAGAGAGAATTATATAGGTGAGTTAGTCTAAGTAAATTATGAAGCCATTTAACATCCGTATTACACCCATTTATTGAATATAATTAACCCATTAAATATGCCATGACTTATTTTGACAGGTCTAATAGGGAAATAGATATTCCATTATAAATTATGGAAATAAATTACGCGAATGCTCCCTAAACTTTATCCCGATATGCAATGTTATCCTTAAATCTTTAATTAGTTCGGTGCTGATCCTTAAACTATTCCGTAATATTCAATCTAGTCCTTGAAGTATCAATTCGTTCAATCTAGTTTTCATAATTACACTATTGTCTAGGTTTTTGAGTATCTTTGCATTTCAATCCATTTCTTAAATAAACAAAAGATATGGCTATCCTTATATTGCTTTTTTTGTTCTTGGTCTTTATTAATAGTGCAACGGTTTCATTCTCCATAGTAAAAATAGAACCTCTAATGAGTTGAAAATTTTATCTATCTAAAAGATTAGGAACGTAATTTAGATTAATATAAGTACAGGAAATCTATAGATAACTTAATATTGTTATTAAATATTTTTATTAAAAAAAAATTTAGAAATAAAGGAATTTGAATTCGATATAGGTCTAAATGAGGTTATATTTTTACTATTATGGAGATCACAAATTAAAGTATATACTTAAATGGAATTATTGTAATATTTATAAAGACCAATAAGGGTTAAAGGTAATGTAAAGATAGGATATTTTTTGTTGATTTAGGAAATGGACCGAGATGAACAGATATTCTAAAATTTGGATAATAGTGTACCTATAAAAACTTGTGAATAGTATCGAATGACTTGTTTGGCTTTGTGATGGAAAGTTGAGAGACTAAATTGAATAAATTGAAAGATTGAAGACTAGATTGAATATTCATAATTAGTTCAAGGATCAATCACATTAAACAAATTAAAAATCTAAAAATGGCATTGTTATAAACTATTTATGTTGTTTTCCCTAAATCATATTATTCTAATTTCATAGCATTTATACCGAGTAGATTTTGGGAAAATTCTTTTCATATTTCTATTACCCTTGTCTCTCTCAATTTTTCCGTTCGCCTTATAGTTTCTTTTCTCGAAATCTTAAATGCTATGGTTGCTAATTCATTAGGGTTGGCCGACATGAACGATGACACCGTCGATTTCTACACGTTGTAAAAAAAAAAAATTTTGCACGTTGGCATCCACATGGAGTCCACATGTCAGACTTGAACACAGACCTAAGGCGTAACCTCAAATCTGATGCCGTAGTAACCTCAAGTAGGATGTCGTGACCTCCGACATGAGGTTGCAATGGCGTCAAATCTTTTTTATTTTATTTTTTAAATAAAGGAATATACGTCAGATACAACCTAATCCACTAATTAATCTATTTCATCAAAATACTATGTATAATATAACTATATTACGCATAATCTCATCTTATAATACCGCAGGTGCCAATCAAACTATTTTAGTGAAATTTAACTGTCTCAATTCTCGGGCAATCGCACCAAAAACTCGAGTTCCTTATGGATTTCCTTCTCGAGGTCCGCCTTAGATCAAAAAGTGCAAGACAACGAAAGAGAGCGTCATGGAAAGTTTAGGCACCTCCCGTGTTATTATTATCTTCGTACTCATCAAATAGTTTCAAAAGATCAAAACACCAGCCGCTCAATCAAACCAATTTGGACCTTCCAGAGGGCACAAAATGGACAATAGAAAACCAGAGGTCGTAAATTTGATTCTATTGGTGCGCTATCATTCAGATGAAATGATTGATTTCGAAATGAAAAAAAATACTCTTTCCCCTCGCATTGAATAAATCATGTCCCAAGCTGGTTGGTCACGTCATATAGGCCCAAGTCGTACATCCAACTGCTTTGATTTGAATTAAATTTGTTGCCCAGGCCCATCCCAACAAATCCAGCTGGTCACACATGAGAAAACAGGAACATCTTACGACAAAACGAACAGCACAAGAGATGTAGAAGTTACACATTCCTAATCATTAGTACGCTGATATTCTCCCTCTCTGCACGATACAAAACAATGAAAATACAGGATCACAAGAAACAAACAAAAAATTAGGAGGCCAGTTCTAATACCATTTGCAGGTAAGAAGGCTCCTTTGAATTGTACAGAACCAAAGAGTGGCGACAGCATTGCAAGTTCTTCATTTGAAGGTGGAGAGCCTGGGAAGCTTGTCCCTGAGATAGTACAACCTAGCCCTCCTGACCTTCCTGTGCTTAACAACTTTTATCTCCTTGATGTTGGGTGAGTACCTGTGACAATAGGGGATGACGGAAATGCAAAATTTAGTATGTTACGCTTAGCTAAACCTAAATATACAAGGTATGACGGACACAGAATAGAAAGTATTTGAATCAGTCAGACTACAAGAACCAAAAACACTGTCCAGAGCGTATAGTAGTAATTCCCCAAGAGCAAAAATCTTGACTAACAAGGTTGATGCGTAATTTACAGGAGAAAAGCTGAGAAATGAACCGGCTTGACATATTATTCAGCACTGGTCATTGAGACATTAAGAACATCATCCAGTCCAAAACTCACTCACTGCACAAACATCAGCTAAAGTATTGGCGAAACTCCACACCACCACTTACAACTGTTGACACACGACTTCTAATGTGTTGCACTAGTCATCGAGACATTAAGAACATCATCCAGTCTTAACACTTAGTCACTGCACAAACATCAACTAAATTATTGGCGAAACTCCACTACCACCACTTACAACTGTTGACACATGACTTCCAATGCGTAGCGCTACGTTCTATCCTATCGATGAATGCATTGGCATCAACCATATCATAATTTGTAAAACCAACTAAACTGCCGTGGCACCAGCAAAGCTGATGCATTTTTATCTATGGCCTCTATTCAAAGCATATCAAGAACACTCAATTACTACAAGAGCCTAACATTTTATACTCGTGACCCCCATCATGCATCTATTCAAATTCACAATGATCTGCTCTCAGGTTCTGATTACTGGGACTACTCAAAATAAGTTCAACAACACCTAAGAGCTACAAAGAATTTAACTGCAAGGAAGAAAAAGATTCACTTACAGCGGGAATACAATCTCGACCCCGATGCCAGCAATAATTCTCCGTATTCTAATGGTCGTGTGGATGCCGGCATTTTGTCTCGATATGACTATGCCTTTATAAATAGACAATCTGCGCCTATTTTCAGGCACTTCCTGCAATTTAAATCAGACAGTGTTCACAAGAATCACTTAAAGACAGATAAGACTCACAAGAGTAAAACCGGATAAATTCAAGAGAAATGAATAGACAATCATCAACATTTACCAGCTTAATTTCCACTATATCTCCAGTCCTGATGTCTGGAACAGGCCGTTCATTCTGAGATGCCTCAACTGCTCTTCTGTTCAATATCTATGAAAAACGGCAAGAGACAATTAGAGTTTCTCCCATAATTCGAAATTCCACGTTCACGAGAAAGACAAACAACAGAGAAGCAACCAAAAATATCCATCATTATTGTTGATTTTACTCTCCAAATTATCTCCTTATCAAGCATAATTACAGAAGCAAACAACCGCTTAACTACAACCACACCATTACTTTGCAACTAAGAAAACAGATTTCAAAAGCCAACTAGCATTCGACAATCATAAGGAGACACATGTGCTAAAAGGAATCAGCTGGTCTTTCATTCTTTCCATGTCCAAATATAAGAAGGTAAAAGCAACACAACCTAATCACTGAAACCGGTACTAAATGAGAAAGCTAGACCAACAGGCAGGCTCTGGAGAGCAAAGTCACACTAATCGCACTTCATGCTTCGTAGTGATATTCATAATTGAGCTACCGACGGTATTAGACGAATTACCCCCATAATATCGCCAAGCTTAACCCTCGGCTTACTTGGAGGCTTCACTTCCGCGACTTCCTCCTCCGCCACTGCTTCAGCAGCTTCCTCGACGTCAGCAGCCGCTTCAGCATTCTCCTCTGCGCTCTCGCCGGCGACAACTTCGGCTTCCGGCTCCGGTTCAGCTCTCACGAGAAAACTCCGCTTCGGAAACGCCGGAATCACCGGACTGCTCGATCCGCTAGAGCCAAACGAAACCCTGGAGCGCAAACATCCACCGTGCCTAGGGTTGGCCCGAGAGGGTCCGCCGGAGGAGCCAGATACGAGCGCAGGGAACCCCAGCTTCCGAGGAGCGCGGCGGTTAGCGCCTCTAGGAATCGCAATCAACGCCTGCAATCAGCGACGAACGGAATCGACCCAACTCTCAATCACCAAACTTGAAACGAGCCAGTACCAAATGAAGACGTGATTCGCCACTCTACAATGGAAATTCCAACTGCCGCGAGCTCTTGAACGCATGAATCAAGCAGCCGAAACGAGTGTCCACCACGAACGCACGCACGCACGCACGCGAACACGCGAACGTTACGCAGCTCTGCACACAAAGGCGCGTACCTGGGGAAGAACATTGGAGGCCATTGCCGGCGGGGGAAGAAGAAGAAGGAGAATGGTGAGCGCGCGCGCGAGAGAGAGAGAATTGACCTACAGAGAAGCCATGGATGGAGGATGGATAGAGAGACGTCGAAGCCGAGAGCGAAAAACACCTTATCTGCTTTTCTGCTTTCTCAGACAAATTGGGCCTCTGGTTCCCACGTTCATGGGCCTTCGGCCTACATATTTGGGCCCAAAGAGGGCCCAGATACTCTGCCCTCTTCGCCGATTTCGATGGCCCAATTGAAACGCGCATGATCAAAGAAAGGGAAAATGACTCAAAGAGTCCATGAACTTTGGTCAAATGTATAATTTGATCCCTGAACTTTTAATTCGTTCAATATAGTCCCTAAAATTTAGCCTAATGTTCAGTGTGGTCCCTGAACTTTTAAATTGTTCAGTGTGGTACCTGAACTTTTGGTACATGTTTAATTTAGTCCCTGAACTACGTGAAAATGTTCAATGTAGTCCCTGAACTCGAATTAATGGAAGACCTACATTGAATATTTTCATATAGTTCAGGGACTAAATTGAAACATGTACCAAAATTTCATGGACCACACTGAACAGATTAAAAATTCAGGGACCGCATTGAACATTGGGCTAAAGTTCAGGGACTATATTGAACAAATTAAAAGTTTGGGGATCAAATTACACATTGAGTCAAAGTTTAGGGACCGTTTGTGTCATTATTCCTCAAAGAAAAGAAGGGGGGAAGATGTTTCAATGAGTCAATTGACAATTCATGTGCACGCCCACCCATGATAACAACTATCAAGAACTTTAAACTTTTCTCTATACGAAATGGATGGGGCTTTGGGCGGGCCGAAGCGAGCGGATCGCGTCCAAGAAGGGAATTGCTTTGCCCCATGCGTGCGCCCGTTTTGCCAGTCTGGGGCAACCGAGCTTGGGCAGGCCCATCGGGCAGCCCGCCTACCATTCACGTCCGTAAATCTACCCTCTAATGTTCAATCTACCCTCTTAAGTGCGCTACAACTCGATGCGAGTGGAGTATCGACGTGGAGAATCGCGGTGCGCGGTAGGACGAGTGACCGAGTCCGAGTCCTTTTCTGCATAGAGCCCAACATAGATTTCGATCTTTTGAAATGACTATAGTGTCATCTTCTCAATGAATCCAAGCATCCTCCGCATGCCGTCTTCCCTAGGAAATTTATGAATAGTTGTCAATTTACGCCGTGAGACTCGGCGGCAACACGCCGTGATGATAGTGGACAACAGCTAGAAATGTCGATTTCTCCGTATCGGTGAGATTTTCATTTCCATTTTCTTCTTTCATGGTTTAAATGGAGAAGGCCAGAAGGGGCCAAACAAAGAAGAAGAAGAAGAGGAGGAGGAGAAGGAAAAAGCCAACGGGCTATACGAAGAGCCAGAAACGAGTGGCTCTTGAGAACGCGCTGCGTCTGCATTCTAAGCATGAATATGGTTGTCTTGCTGAGTCTTTGTCTGCATCTGCTACGTGACCGATTTGCCATTTTTCCACTGAACTGTAAATCGACCATCCGCATCTGCAACTTTGTTAAGAAAAGCAAGAACTTCCATCTACTTGTACATGTACTGACTAGTGAAGGGTACGTGAGAACTAGAACCTTTGTCTGACCACATGTTCTAGCACAGACTATGAATGTCTGCTGTGTAACACTAAGGTTTGATCTAACTGAGGTTGTTCTCGTTTCATCAAAGTCCTAAGACAGGGGCCTTTTCTCTACAGTGATCCTTCGGCTATCTGCAATTCGCAACTGTGATTCTCATGGAAAAAAGTTGGAATTTCACATGCTGATATACATTCTAGTAGGACAAAGGAACAAGGGCGTGAACAAGCACGTTTTTTTCCAATTTTTGGGTTGCCAAGAGCTTTATGGCCATTATTGCCTCGATATGCTCCTGTGAGGATAGCAAAAGAAAGAAGAAAAAAAAAGAGAGAGTCCCCCACAAGACACGACTTGAAGAGATTGATTAAAAGGGGCCGTAGGGACAAATGGAGCCAATCTCCACCGCACCCTTGGAACATCTCCAACATTGAATTTGGAGATCTTTATTCCCTCGAAACCAATGCTTCTCTGCATAGGGGGTGCACGGAGGTTTCATGCCACATGGTTGAGACACACTTTGCCACAACAGATAACTCAGCCCTTTATGACACAAACATAGTTAAGACAAAAACTGAGGATTAATTCTTAAATTCCCTAGTTTTATGCGATTGTGGTCTTACGCGGTGTCCAATCATCACCGGCCGTTCTATGTGACACGCTAATGTAACCAACTTATGAATCACCATCTCAGTGATTTTCAACAACAATTGACCGGAAGAATTACATTGGAATTTCAAGCAAAAGGTTCAAGACTATAATGGGCAATTGAATTGGTAGTTGTGCAATAAGTTATAACCGATTGGGTAATTTTCCAACGCTCTTTAATCATGGCCTTGGAATAAGAGTGATGCAGTTAGTATATGAATTGGACTAAAAAAATATATTGATAAGTTAACAAGAAATATCACACTTTTTGCTTAGTTAGTGGGGCAACAGATTGCACGCAATGTCCATACACTCCATGATTAACCTACCAAAAGTCATGGCCCTTCCAGCTATTCTTGCCCTTGGCTCTATATAGCAACCTCATCCCAATTATTTCCCATCTTGCCAAACCAGGTTCACTTCCCATCGTGTTAGTCACACACATATCACTCTTCACACCCACAAGAAGCACAAGCATGGCTCTCCACAGTGTCATGCTTTGCTCAATCCTCCTCCTCTCTCTCCTAGCCCCATCAGCACTTGCTCAAGCTCCTGCACCCTCGCCATCGACCACCCCCATGACAATGCCACCCTCCCCCCACGCCACCCCTCCCCCCGCCATGGCTCCGGCTCCAACCACCATGGCACCGACCCCCGCCGCCACCCCTGCCTCATCGCCTTCACCGAAGATGTCTCCCCCGACTTCCGCCCCTACAATGAGCCCTGGCCCGTCCATGAGCTCGCCGTCGCCCGCGTCATCTCCGCCCATGATGGGACCTTCGCCCTCTCCTCCCGCGCCTCCATCAATGAGCCCAAGTGAAATGACACCGTCACCCTCCACGCCACCGGTAGCCTCCCCGCCACCGGTAGCCTCCACGCCGAGCAACAACATTGCTGTTGCTCAAGGGAGTAACTTGGCCTTGATGATTCTATCTGCAGCAGTTGCATTCCTGCTCTAAATTATCACACAGGGTCCATTTGTTTGAATTTCCTGTAGATTGAGATTTCCTTTCACGTAATTCTTTTGTCCTTTGTTTGTCCTGTTCTTTCTTTATATTTAGTCATGGGTTTCTTCCTTCCCGTGTTAACTTCTCTGATTCTTGGGGTACCTACCTATTACACATAGGTGATCATTTGTGAGGATTCTCGAGATATGTTACAGCACTTTGTAGCATTATGACAGTGTAGCTGAATAAGATGGATGTTGTCTGGTTTGTGTTTCACTCCTCGTAAGACCCATCTTAGCATTTTCTTCTTTCTTATGAACTAGTAACACAAAACAGACATATGGGTCATTTATCAAAAGCTGTAACTGTCCAAGCTCAACTTGCTCGTCCTTAAAAAGCTACATTAGCCTTCTAGGGTATAGCAACTGGGATTGATGTATGTCATGTTATGCTTCTTACATTATGTCAATTTTTGCTGATACTCTTAAGCAATACAACTCTTTTTGGGTTATCTTCTGTTATCGATCACGCAGGGTCCAAGCTTCGTACCTTGTACTAATTATGCTCTGCTTTTTTTGGCAAAAAAACCTCAAATGATACTCTTTTATTAGTCAAAACATGTTTGAAGAATCAACTTGAGATAGCACCCAATTGGATTTCCTAAACCTAGATGGCTTTTTGGGAGGGTAGATGGAGAAGGAATGGTGGTGGAGAGACTTGGTGGTGTTGGGGAGTGAATATAAGTCAGGTGGTGCAAGCTGTTGTAGGAAGAAAGTCGGGCTTAGAGTTCCTTTTGGCAATGGGAAGATGTGGAGAGTATATTATTGTACTGTCTTTTTTTGGGGTTGGATGTGACGTGGGACTGTGGGAGAGAAATTATGGAAGGAATGGGGCCTTTTTGAGAGTTCTAGTGGGCAAGAATGGTTGGCAATTGGCGATGGTGGGGCTGAGACATAGCTTTCAGACAGTGGAGCAATGATCGTAGGAAAGTGATGTTCACATGGTGTGTCAACCCCACAATTTTGTACCTGTCTGTGTGTGTTGGAGAGAGAGAGAGAGAGGAAGTTGGGGTTAGTGTACATTTTCTAAGTTGTACCCATGTTTCACGAGAAATTATTATGATTCGGCCGACGGATGATGCCAGCAATCGATAAGTTCACACACCAGTTGATGATTCTCTACATTTGCATAAGTACTACAAGGGACTGGATACTTGCAATCATCTATTATAACCTACTAACACAGAAGAGAGTTATTGCCGGATTTCGACAGTCACGCAGACAGAGAAATTTACGAGTTATAAATAGGAGAGAACCCAATTCGTATACGTTGTTACTAAGCCACATAGCAAGCATGACGCAGCGATTGCAACCAAATCATTCTCTAGGTTCCATTGATCTCTAGGTTAGAGAGGATAACATTGTGCGGTGAGTGGCAGATTGTGATAGTAATCTACAAAAGAGTAGAAGCGATCCAAAAAGTTTCACTTACTGTTGGGAAAATTAAGCCAGTCATAGAGAATCTCTTTTGCCCTGGAAGGAAAGGAAATCAGATTCTTAGGAGAAGGTAAAGGGGTTAATGTTTCCACAGAAAAAGCCAAGTGTGAGCATTGGATTCCATCCAGAAAAGTACAATGAGTGAGGAAAGGATCATGCCTTTTTCTTTCGACTTTGCATTCTTTCCCTAAAGAACACGATACTAAAGCGGCCTTTCCATAACCTTTACCTAGAGTTCTTTAGCTCAATATTTCACCGATGCCAATCAATGTACATGTTAGCACTCAACGGAGAAAATATTTAATTAAACTCATTTCAACGAACCAAGCAACTCACGCTCGAAGAAACACGGAGCGCGATATTGAATCCAAATATAAGAACGTGGAAGCAATACCTTCTTTACACTATGATTTGACCCTATCGTATAAGCAACTAAACATCAATTGACGCCAACTATTTTGCATAGATCAGATAAGAAGAGCACTCAATTGACACAGAAAATCCTGAATAATGAAGGCCTTTCTCGTGCGTACACGTCATTTTCCTCGGGGGACCTTTTGGCCATTATTCAATGTCGTTCGCAGGCTTGATTGACTTTCAATTGTTGTCATACAAATGGGGCACTGAGAAGGCCTTTTCGAGCTAGTGCGGTAACAATTGCAAAACCACAGAGCACGCATTGAAACCAGAACACATGGCTGTGGCAAATACAAGCAGATTTCCATAATTTCACAGTGGTGCGTCCATACTCAAGGGGAGATGCTTAACTACCCTGGCGCAACTCTTGAGATTTCACACTTTTCGAAGTGCGGGATTACAGTTGCCAGTGTCACCTCGTTAATACCACCCCAGGTTGGAGTAGCTAGACTAGACCTCCCCCTGTTGAATGCTCAAAGCCAACATCCTCCCTGACTCATTTGGACAAGATTCGGAAAAGTGGCGATTTTTCTTTGCATGAGTTCTAGATATACAAATTTTCATGCTTGCACTCCAATCAAGAGAAGAAAATAGTAAGCATGTATGCACTAAAGGAGCAACATAAGACGGCGAAGACAAGAGAACATTCCTCCTTAAATCAGTCTTTCTTTTCCTTTCTCAAAAAGCAAGTCAGAAAATAAACATACAATTTATCGCTCAAGATAGATTGCTTATGCACATCCAAAAATCTGTGTTGGTTACTCCTCCAACCTATGGCGCATTTATTGCTTCCTATTTAAAACAAAATTGTGAGGAATCCTCAACTTTAGTCAGCTGCCTCTTGCTCTAACAGATCCCCGACAATGATCATGCTGCTTTTAAGTTTCAGAGGCAACTCAACAGGGTAAACTCAGCACAAGAAAAAAGGCAGCAGCTTCTCAGGTCAAGCCCGAAGTTTAATGTAGTATTTGTTGATAATTGCACAGGAAATTATTGTATTTCATTCTATTTTCGTCTTTGTTTCCTTCGACACTCAAAACAATTGTCACATGGAGAATTACTTTTACTAGAGTACGTGCTTTTTATCTTGCTCGGAGATACTTTTAAGTCTTCGACCAGTATCTGGCGCAGCTTTTCATTCTCCTCCATGAGCTCCTCGATGACTTGCTGATGCTTCAATACCTAAATAAATAGAGCAATTGAACTAAATGAATGAGGCACCAATCGGCCAAATAGATGACATGCTAACCTGCACGCCATTGAAGATAAGCAGCTAAGTGGCACAGATATCATTGCAAAATGCACCAACTGTGGAGGCTAAACATCTCTAAAGACAATATTTAAGAACCCCGGTCTCTTAACCAAAGAGACGGAAGTTTCTGGGGATGACCAGGTTTCTTAAATGCAGTAAGCAAGTCAACTTTAAGATCTCTCAAGGACAGATGCAAACTCAGACACAAACATACACGAAAGTACACAGGGTGCATATATTGGTAAAAGTTACCATTTGAAGCATGTTATTCTCTGACCGCAAGCGTCCTACCTACAAATATAAAATCAAATGAACTAAGTCATATGCCACAGTAAAGCATGAAAACTCTTGGCAAAGATATTATCCCAGATAAAAGCACCAATAACAGCAACAAGCTTTTGCCTACTGAGTGAGTCAGCTGCATCCACGCAAAAGATGAAGGAAAACGTATATCTCGCTGACACACAGCAGATACCTCAACCAGTATAAAATGAGAACGAAGTGATGCTACGCTTCGTATATAGCAGTTCAAGTGAAACAAGATTCTCAGCCTTGAAACTATTTGCACCGGATTGATTTTCCTATTTGAATAATATAACAATTAGCAATCTCCTAGAAGGCATGCAGCAATTAAGTTAGATATCACTGGAAGAAACTTTGTGCTCTTATCCTCAACTATGTTTTTGGTTGTTCAATAACTACAGGATAATGTCCTCAAAGGTCACGAGGCTCCCAAACACGGTTCTGCCGACGATTCCAGATCCAAAATAATATAGTGCAGATGCATAGAAAAACAAGTCTCTTCAGGATATTCTTCCACTCTAACGATTTTCTTTATAAGAAACAAGAAAGCAAAAAAGATTCCACTTTAAAGATTGTTTGTTCCCGAGCGATCTTATCCTCTGAAATGAACATTGCAGACAGATGAAACATTGTTACCGCATGTTAAATTCAACTGCCACAATGAAAGGAACTTAACAGCAGTCCCACCCATATGAAGAAAACAAAGGCCTACCAGCAACCAAGAAAATTACTGCAGCAATACAGTTAGCCATAGCAACAGTTCCATTGCCCCTTATCAACTAAATCAACAGAAGAAACAGGATATCATGCCAACATATAACTCGACGACTTCTTTCTGACAAGCAAACTCGTGCAATTAGAGAATAGCTGAACCAAAATATAAAATATGCAAAAGGAGATAAGAACGAGGCATGATAAAAAGAAGGCAAAATAAAACTATCAAAATCTCTCAAAATTAAAATTACAGATATTCTGACAAGGAATACGAAGGTAGTGATGTTCTAAATCCACTACATACCAGATCATTTAATTCGCTATCCTCTTGCTTCAGAACAGGATTTTGCAAGAAGTTGTTTAAAACCTTCTCGGTTCGACTGGTAACGGACGGGTCCAAGTCCTTTGGAAAGCTCGTGGCTGAAAAACTTTCATGTGAAGAACCCAAGCCCATAGTTCCCAGTCCTGGTAGTCCTGATGATATGCTCCCAGGTAACTTGGGAGTGAGCTGCATAGGATTTCCTATTTGGTTTGCATTTGAGGGCATGTTTGTCATGTTCAAGCCCCCTTGAAGAGAAGCTGGAAAGGCTCCCTGCCCAATGGATAAATTGGGAGCCATCCCAAACTTTGTCATCACCTTCGTCATGAGTTGCTGCCAAATTCAGAGTTGGCACTCAGGTGACTGACTGACGTCAACATGACAAAAAACACAGAAGACATCAAGAAGATAATACATACTAGTACACTAGATTGTATCTGATTCATCACTCCGGGCTTCAGTGCAAGTCCTGTTGAAGTAAGCATGCAATGTTCAGTATTCAAATACGGAGGGCAGGGCAATGTAAACTGTGAGCTTACATAGTGTGTGTGAGAGAGAGGATACAATATTGATGGTTAGTTTCCAGAATAAACCTATAGAAGAAATAGAGGTATTTGGATTATACAAAAAAACAAAACATCCATTGCTAGAGTATCAAAAGACTACCAATCTATTGAAAAAGCAATCTACTAAAGAAAAGCCCAACTTATTTTTAAATACATCCGCATTTACTGAATACAATAATTTTCATGTAATTACAAGTTAAAAAAAGCATCCGCGGTCTCCATTAGAGACAATCACTGCCAACAATATTCTGGCTTAATATAAGAGAGCACCACACTCATACTTTCTGAAACAGTCAGCTGATCAGCAAAATCCATATTATATGATCCCATCATGACATTTTTCTCGTGTTAACTCAGCTATTGCAACATACTCTGGGAATGACTACTCTTTCCTACTGCTTATAGACGGTCAGCTTTTTAGATTTTAATCATCTGTGCAAATTTAAAGGCAGGGCTTTCTTTCTGTATGCCGATACAGGCACTTGAAGATTGCAGAATCCCTCTACAATTGTCTCCCACATTCGCCCTCCCTCAGAGATGCTTGCAATGAAATGGCATTGACACAAACATTTGCATACCATTGACTTCAAGTTGCAATAACCATGTCGCATGTTACATTGACCATTTTGCAACAACTTTAGGCATTAACAAATGCAATGAAAACTGTCACATAGACCACATAAAACCTGTCCTTTTTTCAAGGCAAATGGATCTCCATATGCAACCAAAGTGAACTCAAATTTCAACACATGTATTCATAGAAGTTAATTTTTCCTCTAGGATCACGAACAATGACATACCAACTCCAAAGCCATGCCCAAAGCCCACTCCGCATCCAATACCAGCTTCGACATTTTTCGCTCCAAGCTTCCTCAGCTGAAAATCAATGAACGGGGAGACCAAACATCAGCAAAGACGTCAAGTTACATCAAGGAAGAAGAATAACTACAATTCGACTCACCCCGTCGTTGACGTGCCTTGTGACACCAGATAATGCATAAGTGGCTCCACTGGTGGCACCCATAACTTGGTTCACCACTGGTATTGCACCTGGTAGACATCCCCAACATATCAGAGTAATGTACTCACGAAATTACATTCAACAAATGCAATGCTTGCTAACCTCACAGCTAAGCAACTCAAAAGCAAACACACACACACGCGCACGCACAAATAAAACTCTTCAAACGGAAAAAAGTACATTGCTTCTTGGCACCAATGGACTTGAAAACTCCTCTGAAATCCATGATTCTCACTAATCCACGAAAGAGTTTAAAGAGACGGAGCGAGAACGTACCCAGATTTATGGGGCGGCCAACGCCGATACCAAGACCACAACCGATGCCGAAGCCAGTGAATACTTGACCCACTTTGAAAGTAAACGGATTCTGTACCCGTATACCCTGAAAGGGCTTCTTTTGCTTGCTCAAAGCCATGCTATTGCCACTGCTACTTATACTTCCACCGTTGCTGACATTGTTCTCCATTCTTCAACAAGCCACTCTCCGACTTCAACGTCTCTTCAGAAGCCGAAGAACAACCTCTCCCGGCCCGCGGATATACCTTGCTTCCCTTCAGCCGCTCCCTCTCTCTCTGTCTCTCTCTACAAATCCCTTTCCGCTTCTTTCCGCGAGCTGATGCAGCGGGTGCAAAAGTTGCCTCCTTTTCTTTCGTGTGTCGAAGCGGCAACAAGATGCGGAATCGGTACTTAGAGGATGAATTAGGAGGGGGTAAACCGGGTTCAGAAGACGATGATGGAGCTGGGTCTTTCGGTGTTCTTGACGATGGTGTCTAATTCTCTCACCTAAGAAGTCCTTTGCTAACCAAACGTCAAAACGAGGACTGAGGCATCTGCTCGCAGACACGGCGTCTTCGCAGCCAGCGACGATGGTTGGGCCCTTTTGGTGGTTTGGATTTGGCGAGTGAGCGTTTTTTTTTAGCCCAAGTAAGATCGCGTCGTTCCGGTCTGACGAGCACTGTTTTGCCAACCTCTCGGTGCGGCTAATCCAAGCCCATGCTTCGGGTGCGTTTGGTTCGATTTTGGGGAAAGCCATTAGAAAAACGCAAATTACTTTGGTCGAAATATCTTTTCCCGAAATAAATACACGTAGTGTTTGGTGAAGTGTGATTTAAAAACACGTCGATAAACAACTGCGGCTTGAGTTTTGTTCGAAAAAAAAAACTACACTTTGTAAATGCCGGTTCAGCCTTGTCTGAAGTCGCGCGACCTCGTGACCACAGGCGAGGCCTGGGTCGTGTGACCCAGGTGACCACCGCCTGAGGCCGCCTCAAGCGAGGCTAGTCGACCCCTCGACTTATTTGTTGGCAACTTTAACTTAACGTTATATCCTAAAAATTATTACTGAACATAGAAAATTCCGCACGTCCCAAAATCTAATGGCTCGTTGACCAGCCTTATCACGGTGAGGAGACTCATTGATACAATTGTGCCAAAAGGCCACTCGAAGAAGAATCGCCAAGTCTTTGCCCGTTTTCTCCACGCGAGCCGCTTGTCCAAATTTGGTCGGCTCCGTCGCCATGACTGTAGATCTGGTCGACCGGAACTAATCTACCACAAAGAAGGCAAAGGGAGGATGACCCGCCTCGTTGGTCATGGAGCAGCCACGGACAACGACGCAAAGGGAGGTCGACCCGCCTCATCGGTCATGCAACAGCTACGACGGCCATGGATGATGGCTCGTTCGGCACCTTGGACTACGACATGGTGTGTTTCCATGGTCTGCATAGACTTGATTGACCAAAGATGTAGGCGACGTGAACTTTCCTTTTCTTATAAAATATCTAAGTGAATTTTCTTTTTCTTTTAAAAAAGACATGTAGGACGTTTGGCAGGAATTTATCACCGGAGGCACTGAAGTTATCATTTTTTCTTCAATTTGGCACTAAATAGAATATCGATGAAAGTTATGCCTCTTCTAATATCATTTTCCCTTTCAGAAATATATGCACACGTTTCTTCATGCAACAGCACCCTTGGTGTTGATGGTGAAGTAAAGGAGTCTTCGCAGAGAAGAGGCAGATCTCACGGGTGACTCTGATATGAACTTGGGTTGGCGCTAGTTGTCACTCCAACGTGTACAAGATAAGATAAACAGCAGCTGCAATCCATTAGTTTTTGTTTTCTGGCAAGCTTCACTCTTAAGAGCCTCATTAGCCATTATACTGTCCAACACAACGCAAGAAGATATCTCCTCTCATTGGCCATTCTTTCACCACAACGTGCGAACTACACCATGGTGTGCCGTGAAGCAACTGGGTCTACTTGGTTCGTTTCTGGGCTAATGAGGCTTCTTACTCAAACGCAGTTGGTTTGTTGGATAAAACTGTGGATCAGTCGTTGGCGAAAGAGAGAAGAGCAAGAAACAGCTGCTTGAGGGTGTCAAGGTCTGAATAAAAAAGGAGGAGTGGACTCTGTCTGCTCAAGCTCATTGAACATTTGAGCTTTAGAGATAATCAACAAGCTCGAGATGAGCTATTCCGTTCGATTGTATATTGCGAATACTAAAACTGTCTAAAGTTTCGGTTCTTTGATGTGTTTGCGAAGCAACGCAGGCATCTAGTTTGAAGTTTGAATGAGCTCGCACTTGAGGTCGAGTTTTGACGCGGAAAATGGACGGGCTTGATCGATTTGAGTGATTATTGAATTTTAAGCCGAAAAAGGAAAAGGTGGTCATCGAATTCAAGAAGGCTAAAAGACAAGACAATATGTAAGATAATCAATACAGAAGCCAAAATGGCAAACAGGTGCAACTCATGATAAAGGTGATTTACTCTCTAGGAATTGTGACAAAGACATTAAATCCAGGCACACCGTCGCCGTCGGTGCATGGCGCCACCATCACAAACCCATCAGGAGACGCCACCCAATGTGAGACCAGAGCAGGCTCGTTTCCTCTCCTGAACGCTACACCACTCAAGCCCAAACTCTCCAGAGTCACTTCACTTATGGCCATCTCACTCTTGACCTGAACAGCTCTGCTTTTCTCAACGCTCTCCGCCTTGACATTCCCTGATTCTTCTTTCACCAGCAATGCAAATTTCGACCCCATCTTGTGCTTCAGCTTCTTCTCCGCCTCCTCGGCGCATAGCAGCGCGAGCGCCTCGCTCAGTTTGCTGCCGCCAGCCTTCGCATCGATGGCGTCGGCTTTGAAGACCAATGTTTGGACAGTCTTTGGGCTAGGACTTGGGGCGAGCGAGGTTGATGGGGAGCCGGTGCGTTTGATGTTTGACAGATAGAAAATGGGTTTATTGGGTGCATTGTCTCCAGGAATTAAATTGAGGTCATTATGGATGGTGGCCCATCTCTTGATGAGATTTATTGTAGAGATTGGGTCTGCCAACAATAGGCTACAGCTTATCCCAATTGAATACCCACCGCACAGAAAGTTTGTCACCTGGAAAACCACGAACAAAATGAGGGGGGGGAAAAATCATGACCGTCATCTGCCAATATAGTTCTAATCAACTCTCTTCTCCTCCTTCACTAATTTAAGTGTCTAGGACAGCGAAATCAGATCGTTACACGAGACCCGTGCGACTGCAATTCGTGTCTAGGATGAGTTTTGGAGACCGAACCAGTCGATAGTATTTATATATCGCATGGACCCTAAACTATGTGTTCGAAACAAACGCGGAAAAATAAATACATAATACGAGGATTTACGTGGTTCGATCACAAGGTGATCTACGTTCACGGGCGAGGCAAAACAAGATTCCACTATAATCAAAGAGAGTACAGTTTTCAGAAGTCGAAAAAACGACTTAACAAAACCTCACGGCTCACTAATTTCTCCCAAAACGAAAATCTCTCTTAATCAATGAAAAAACCTAACCGCAGTATAAATAGGGCTCCCCAAAAAATTTCCTCGAGAGCGTAGCCCCCGAACCCCCCGAGACGTTTGTTCGCTTGCTCCAGCTTGGGCGAACCGCCATAGAGATTTGTTCGATTGCTCCGGGTTGGGCCTATCGGCCCAACCTTTCGCGTCACGAACTAAATCTCAATTTTTTCTCCACTCTTGGGTCGCACAAAAAATATGTCGGATCGGGTGATGAACCGGACCGAGTTCATAAAATTCAAGACATATTTAACACCATGACTATAGAATTTTACCTGGATGTAAAAGAGTGGACAGAACTGAGGATTTTGCATATCGATGTCCTTCCAATGCACTAGCTCAGCCTCACCATCTGCCCTCCTCCCAGAGCCAAGAAACTCATCCAGGGTCAACCCAATCTTGGCCTCGATGATCCTGGCACCGCTGTCGTTTGACACGATCTCCAGCTCTCCTCCACTGCCGCCCTCGCCTCTCCGTAGCCGCCCACAGAGGAGCGGCTGCTCGGTTAAAGCTCTTCCCATCGACTCCTTGATCCACCCCGCGAAGGCCCAGCCGGTCTCGCCCTCCACCCTCGCTCTATAGTACAGAATCACGTTGAAGCATTTCTGGAAAATCCCGGTGCCGGCGGGGTCGGTGGCCAAGATGGACTGGGTCAGGCGCGGCTCGGTCACCTTTAAGGCAGTGACGCTCTGGATGGTCTCATATTGGACTCTGGAAGACCCCGTGGTCGTGCCATCAGTTGTTGTCATCTTTGGTAAATTGGGACAGTGCCTAATGGTTTGTGTGGGCTATTTATAGTCACAAATAGAAGTCGCATTATTGAATATGTTTTGGAAAACAGTTGATCTGAGAACATTAAAGGAGACTGTTTGCCCTGTGTCAATCATGGGTCCGTGGGACATGGTCACCGATTTGAGGTGTCGAGTGAGGATTGACTTTAGAAGAGCAGTGGGGTTAAATTATACGTTTCTTGTAAGGGGGATTGCCATTTGGTATGCTGCTACACCTAACAGCACTAAAAGGAGACTTTAGAAATGGAACTGAACAGCATCTTGTACATGATTTGGTCGTCAGATTGGAGCTAATCCTTCTTTTTCCTCATCACATCACTTTCACTTTCCTTTCCAAGGCAAAGAAAATCCAGCGAAAGGTCGAACGTCCGTGCCGCCTCCAGCACGGACCTTACCCGAGAGAATGAGATGTTAAATCCAGCGAAAAAGGTTGTAGCTCAAAACACTTTTCCAATTCCGATCATGTAAATCCTCATCATTCCATGGATCGCAAAAGAGACTCGTACTGTGATGCACGACTTGAGAAACGATATAACGCGGCCGAAATGCGCACTGAAATTCGATGCTAGAGCTAGCAGCCTAGGACATTACAAATGAAGAATCATTCTGTGGGAACATAAGTATTGATTGGCCCATTTTAGCCAAGTAATTTGTCCTGGGGATTGCAAAAGGTACTGAACTTTTCCCAACCGCAGCATCTACCCCCAATACTTTGCGCACTGGAGACTGCAGTTTTGGCCCAACTACGTATCTGTCGTTGCGTTTTCCTCCCAATTGCAAAATGAAGAAATACCAAGTGTGTACTCATCAGGCTGTCTTCTTTGCTTGACGATTGTAAGTCAAGCTTGTGCAACATCAAAGCACAGAGCGACGAAGCCCCTTAGTTTGACTGTTCGAGTCCCCCACGCGCGCTTCGTAATTAATTTTCGCGAACCGATGTGGATATACGCGAACCGAATCGTTCCCTATATCCACATACGGACCGAACAAGTCGCGGGTCTCAGATCAAGATGCGAGGAACCCCAAGGGCAGCACCAACCAGAGTTGCTCTGCAAAGAATGTTAGGTAATGATCCCTTTGAATTCCTAGTTCCTACGCTCTCGTTTGACCCCGGCGTAAACTCCACCAAACCAACTAAATCGAGAAGGAACAGAGACCATTTTGAGACAGTGATGGATCGGGGGTGGGCAGAATCTAATCTAAAGCTAGACATCACGGGCGTGGTCTGAGCAAGATTTGCTGAAAACATGAATGCGCCAGCTCGCTTCCCTTCTAAAAGCAAACGGCTGGCAGTTGAGAAAACTCGCAGTGTTCCTCCGAGTGCCGATGGACATTGCCTGACTATTGCACCGTACGATCAACAGCTCGCCGCTCGTGGTGTCAAACTCTCGAGAGCTGGCGAGACCAATTTGCTCTGATTAGATGGGTATACGGCACGATCCCAATTTATGACTTCACCTGCCGAAGGTACGAAATTTCATCATTCAATATCGGGACTACTGCTCGCCGTGCTCGGGACCTTCTCTTACTTCGGTCCGGCCGCAAAGTTACGTGTGACTCTCCCGAATTCCGGGGCTATTTCGTAACGAGAACACTTGCGAAAGCAAAACTTTGAGAAGTTGCGATTGACGCTCCGAAACTACCGATTTTCGTGGCTCGACGGGCGCCGGAATCCGAGGGGGTAATGTGTAATTTTCCAGTGTTCGGGGGGCCATGGCAGCAAAAGATCCCCTCTAATGTCTTCCCTTTGCAAAATTGACCGGGCCGGGCCGGGTCGAGAATCGAATGGGCTTTCCCGGGTTCGGGCACGGGCCCAACTGGCATTCTGGGCCAAGGCCCAAATGGCCCCAGTTTGTACGGCACGGTATCTTCCCGGGGGGAAATTTCAAAGTAACTTCCCACCACTCGTTGCTTGCATGGCGGACGGAGCACCACCAATGCCGTCACTCCATCGGTTACTTCATCGCTGCAAGCACCGACGGAACCGCCATGGCTTCGGTCTCTCCGTGCTCCGTTCGCTGGAGCTCGAGCTCCGCCGCGTCGGCTCCTCCTTCTTTCTCCCGCTCGTCGCCAACCGACGCGTTTCCGCGGGGGCGGCGCGCGTTCCGACTTCGCGGCGGGGACGTGAACGGACTTCCCCGCGCGCTCTCCGTCAGGGCCGAGGCCGGCGTTTCGAAGGAGGACGTCGTCATCGTCGGAGCCGGCATCGCGGGCCTGGCCACCTCGCTGTCGCTCCACAGGTGATTCAAATTTCTGCTCCTTCCATCTCGGTCACATCGGTTTCATCGTCGATAGGACTTTGGACCTTCGGGTGCACTTTTTGGTTTTGCTGATGACGTTGCGTGTTGACGTCTGAATTTTGGAATTCCCGCAGGCTTGGAGTCAAGTCCCTGGTGCTTGAGCAGGCGGAGTCGCTCAGGACTGGTGGGACCTCGCTCACTCTGTTCAAGAATGGGTGGCGAGTGCTGGATGCGATTGGGGTCGGGAGTGATCTTCGGACTCAGTTTATTGAAATCCAAGGGTGCGTTTTCTGTAAACAAGCCACGAGCACTGTTATCTCCTAGTGTTTGGTAAATTGATGAACTTCCTACACATTGCAGTGAGTGCGTTATATGGATAGCCCTTTGGTCGATTGTTGATATATCGGTTCTTAGGCTGCCAGATGTTCAAGTTTAGTTTTTGGGTTGCCGCCACTTCTGATACAGCACGCTTGGTGTGCATAGTTCTTGTGTTGGAGTCTGGTAGTGAGCTCACCGGGGCAGGAATTTTCAAAAAAATTGATGAACTTGGGGTTGAGTTAGATTTAGATACTAGATATTCAAGTCAAGAACGCAATAGTGGGATCGTGCATTGTCGAGTCTTCTCAATAGACCCAGCATATAGTTCGGCTAGTAAGGTTGATGACCGAAACTATTTATTCTCAAGTTTGTCTAGCGACCTTCATACAGAGATGTTTGAAAGGCTGAACAACTTTTAGAGAACGGCTGTTAAATTATTGAAATTCAGAATTCATCTCAAAGGAATGGCTGCTGATGATTCTTACTCTTTTCTAACCTTATTCATTGTACCAACCGTGCAGGATGGTAGTAAAATCAGAAGATGGGAGGGAGCTGCAGTCGTTTAGGTTCAAGGATGAGGATGACAGGTACAGCAGCTGAGAGAAATTCAAGATCTTCATGTTTTTTCTGCATTTCATTTATGGTCTTTCATCGACTAACTTTAGGTACTTTTCCATGAATTGACATGGCGCAGCCAAGAGGTCCGTGCAGTCGAGAGGAGAATACTTCTGGAGACTTTTGCTGATCAGCTACCACCTGGGGCTATCCGATTTTCATCGAAGCTAGCAAAGATTGGCAGAAGTGAAAATGGAGAAACTCTGTTGGAACTTGTGGATGGGACTCGTATATCTGCAAAGGTCAATAGTCTTACCCTTTCATTTGATCGCTCAACTGAACATTGTAGGTATGCAAATTTTAGGATCTGGGACGAAAAGATTAGTCTTGATAAAGGGCATTGCATCTTTTCTTTCTCACATGTTACAGCTTTCATATGGCTGCAATAAAAGGCCTATGACCTTCTTAATCACTTGCCTCTCAATCGACAGATTGTGATTGGTTGTGATGGTGTTCGATCTCCAGTAGCCAAATGGATGGGCTTCTCCGAGCCTAAGTATGTTGGCTATTGTGCTTTCCGTGGTCTAGGATTTTATCCTGATGGTCAACCCTATGAACCACGGGTGACTTACGTCTACGGTAGAGGGTCGCGTGCCGGATATGTCCCTGTTTCTCCAACTAAAGTTTACTGGTTTGTCTGCTTCAACAGCCCTTCTCCAGGTCAATCTTGCTCCTAATTGTGCTCGAACAACTAGACATGTATAAATCGAGCTGAAAATGTTGGCTCCATCTCTTTCTTTGAGAATTCCATGCATAGTTTGGCACAAGTCCTGCTTATCCCTAAGAGCTAGCATAATAGAATAGGCTCCCCTGGAATGCATCTCTCTATGTACTGATAAATGAACGGAAGAATAAGAAATAAATGTGAAGCATGTCTTATTACAGGTCCGAAGATCACTGATCCATCCATATTGAAGAATCAATCACGAGAACTAGTTCGAAACTGGCCTTCAGAGCTATTGGACATCATAGATCGTACTCCAGGTGACACAATCATTCGGACTCCGCTGGTTGATCGGTGGTTGTGGCCTACGGTAAGCCCTTCTGCTTCATCCGGTAGCGTCGTGCTGGTAGGGGATGCATGGCACCCGATGACACCGAATCTAGGGCAAGGCGCATGCTGTGCTCTGGAGGATGCGGTCGTTCTGGCTAGAAAACTCGCGAATGCAGTCAATTCTGGGAATGGATCAGTTGAAGGCGCACTAAAATCGTACGAGAGCGAGAGGTGGCCCCGTATCTTCCCTTTAACAGTACGGGCGAACCTGGTCGGTTCGCTTCTGCAGTGGGAAAACCCAGTTGTTTGTTCTGTTCGGAACAATGTGGTCATACCTAAGCTGCTTAGGATTGGACCTATGCTGGAACACACAAATTTTGCTTGTGAGCCTTTATAGAAAAAAGAGGGGAACGCTGCTCATGCTATTCCCGGCAAGCCGCTTTCAGGAGCCATCCTCGGAGTTGCACTCTATTTTCAAGTGATCGCGGACGTTCTGGCTCGTTTTGGGAACAACTTATGTAATAACACTGTATGTTTTTTACATGTTGATGTACCTGCATATCATGGACAAATCAAATGTACAGAGGAAAGTTCCCACTCCAGTCTGATTCTCGAGCTGTCATTGAGAATGTCATTTGTCCTTGCAAGAGAGAGCTTGCGGCTCGCGAGTTGAGATTGCTGGGATTTCCTCTATTTTAGTTCAGGCACATATGGATTTCTGAGCTTCTTGTTACAGAATCTATTGGGGGGTGTCGAGTCGGCATCGGGCATTTTACCGAACTCAGAAACCATATCAGCTACGATGCGAAAAGAACCGAGATTTCGCGCCTCCGGAAGCATCCTCGGGCTGAAATTCTTGTTTAGCACAGCTGCTCCGTCGGTAAGAACACGGAAAAGTAACTGAGAAGGTCAATTGACATGATGCTCAAAGTCGAACAAAGATACCACGGCATCGTGGCACAAAAGTGACATGCGAAAGAGGTTGTAATACAAGTAAAGCGCCCCCCTCCATTTCTTTAAAACGTGAATCGGTGCCGTAAGTCAAGCCAGATTCCCAACAAGTGCCCGTTTGGTTCGACTTTGGGGGAATGCATTTGGGAGAATGGAAATACCTTTGAGCTAAAGGGTTTTTTGAAATGTAAGTAGTGTTTGGTAAGTATTTTTTAAAATCAACTTTGGCTAAAGGACTTTTGCTAATTTTTTTTTTTTTAAAAAAGGCTCGGTGGAGCTAAACCGCCAGCCACCGCCGCCGTCGCCGACTCAGATCAGTCGCGGGTTGCAAGCCACCACCGCCTAGGGTCGCACGACCTTGGCAACCGCCGCCTGAGGTCATGGGACCTCGGGCGTCACATGGGTTGCGCGACCTCTAGCGATGCCGAGTCAGGCGACCCCAAGCGGCGGTCGTCGGGGTCACGCCGACCCTCATGCCATTCATTCCATTCCGGCGGTGGTCGCCGGGGTCGCTAGCCCTCTGGGAGGCGTGATCGCGATGGGCAGGGCCACGCCGGACCTGAGTGCAGGGAAGATGAATGTAAAGTGTCGGGATAAGGCAACCCTCGCCCTCGCCGCGCCTGGGCGAGGTGGCCCTCGCCAGACGCGGCGGGCAATGACTCTCCCTAGCCCAGGGCGAGGGTGGCCTCGCCAAGCGGGCGAGGCCGCCCTCGCCCATGGCAGCGAGGGCCGCCCTCGCCGACGCGGCGACCTCCCACTCGGCCATGGGTGGGCCGAGGAGGAAGAAGGAAAAAAAAGAAAGGAAAAGGAAAAGAAAAAAACAGAAAAAGGAAAAAAAAAAATACTGTTCCGATGCGTGGAGCCGATGGGATTTCTGCAGTAGGTGAGCATTTGGCCGCCGTGGCTCCATACCAAATTGAGGATGAATTGCATTTCCCCAAAATGGGTAAAAAAAATTGCCAAACATCATTTGCATTTGGCCAAGGGACTTTAGAGCCCAAATGAGCATTCTAAATGCTGAACCAAACGGGGCCTAAGTCCCACACAAGCTTAATTGCACGGATTTTGCATTAAATATGTGGTTTAATCACAGCGATAATTGAAGAAGATAGGAAAAATTATCTAAATCAGTCCTAAATCTATTATCCGGATTGCTAATTCAATTCTAATTATTTCGATTTTGTCGGTTTAGTATCTTTGTTTGAAATTATAATGCAATCGCCCCAGAGAAAGACTAAAAATCGCTGATTGTGACGAAGAAAAAGAAGAAGACAGCTTGAGAGAGCTTCTCGGATCGCGTGTGGGATGCGGATGGGGTGGCCGACACGTTCGGGTTCGAGCACGAAGCACCGACGAAGACATGGACGACGACAACTGGCCTTTCCTTTTCCTTTTCCAACACCTTCTTCTTCTTCTTTGCTCTAATCAGTCGCCCAGACATCAATCAGATACGACAGGATTGCCAATCACTAGTACATGAATTATAAGATTCACCCCCCGAAAATTAAAATAAAAATTCATTCGAATTTTTGTTGTGTCCTAACGATTAGGATAGCATCTTTAATAGCTTTTCACGGGAAGTTTTGCTTTGTTTATGATTTCTGAAAAGCAAAAAAAAAAGAAGGGAAAAAAATTCCTTACTTTCTCACTAGAATCGAAAATATTATGCGGTCAGAAAATTGCAAAAACAAAGTTCGAAAATCAGAAGAAATAACAAGTTGAAGAACGTATACGAATGGTCTAGTGTGGCCAGAAAATCAAACTCCTCCAAGGGAATATAGCGTTTCCGGTCCACAAGCTCTTACGATATTCATCGGGGCTACTCTCGAGAGAATCGCGAATCTAGAACGCCAAATAAATTTTTAAAGAGAACGATAGGAGATTGTTAAGAAATCTTCTTCCTCCCGCTAGACAGTCGACTCCACGATGAGAATTCAAATAAGTGAATTAACGATAATGATAAAAACGTAACGGCGATCAACCCGGTGAAGTTCCCTCGTCCGATCATAGCTCGTATCAATTCGGTCGCAAATAAATTCATATCCCCATGTTCTAATAACGCTATTACATGTTTCGAAAAAAAGTATCACGTCATGTCGTTTTTTCCTCCCCATAAAAAAAAAATTAAATAAGGGGGAGAGAAAAAATCGAGAAATCGGATCCGGATCCGGGTCCGGGTCGGTGTCCGGGTCCGGGTCCGGGAGCTGAATGGACGAACTCTTCCGATTCCGGAAGAATGCACGCGGCCACAATAATATCCAGGAGAGCCCCATGACAACAGCCCCGATCGCGTCGAAAATACGCGTGTCGATTTCCCATTCGCCGCCGTCCCCCATCCATCCCCCCAGCCGCATTTGAATTAATTGCACTCGATTAAAAATAAATATATTCCGACCCCACCCAAAAAAAAAAGAAAAAAGGGAGGATCAAAAATAAATAAATAAATATTTATTTATTTATTTAGCCAATAAGGAGAGAGGAAGAAAAAACAGCAACGACACCGTAGTCGCGGAGAATTTGGGTCCTTTAAAAAAATCACGCCCCCCACCCCTCCTCTCTCTCTCTCTCTACCCCCGCACCTTTCTTCTCCATCAGGACTCTCTCTCTCTCTTCTCTTTCTCTCTCTATCTCGCCGGCGACGATCCCGAAACACCGGCCAAGCACTCGCCGGACGACGGCCTCCGCCCGCCTCTCCCGAGCGCTCGCCGCCCCCCCCCCCCCGGACCGATTCCCTGATCTCGGCATCTTGGAGCCATGAATCCCGAATAGTGAGTCCCTCCGTTCTCCTCCTCCTTCGTCGTCGTCGTCTCTCCCCCCCCCCCCCCCCTATTTAACTCGAGGAAAGCCCTCGATCGTGCCCCTGGGGTCGCGAATCGCGCCGCGCGCCGCGATTTCGCGCTCCGCGGCTCGATTTCTGCCGGATCTGTTCGATTCTCCGGGCTGCTCTCCGTGCGTTTGCGAAGCGGGGTGCGCGGTCGCGCTTCCCGCGTGTATCGAGGGGTTAATTAGGGCGTAGGTTTGCTCGGATGGTCTTTCGCGTGGTGCTCTCGGGGAGTTTTGGTTCTGAGAGGGCTGTGATTGAGATCCGGGCGAGTTTTTTGGGTTCAGATCCGTTCGCGAGTTCTGGGTTATACTTTAAAGTTGATTTTTTTCTTTTAATGTTTATTTTGGTGTTGCTGCTTGTGAATTATGTGCCGTAGGATCGTATGTTATCCGTTCTGTGGCAATATTTTTTCCAAGTTTTCGTTTAGGAATTGGATTGTGGTGCACGGTCTTCATCGGATGCTGTTGCTTAATGGAGATGATATGTGGGATGCATTAATGAATTCCCCCGGGGGAAATATAAATCCTGTAGAGGGGACCTATGAGGCTGTTACCCCATGTCATAGAGAAGTGGTGTCTTTTTTCACGTACAGGTTCCTCGATGGTTGTGTGGATTCTTACTTGTGATTAAAACTTTCAGCTATTGAAGCACTTGGATATTTAGTCTAAACTTAAATTTTTTTTCCAATAGGAGACTGAGCAAGTGGAAAGGTTGATTTAATGAATGTCCGCAATCAAGATCGATTCTATCCTTGCTTTTACATGTCCTACTTTGTAAAAAAGGGCTTCTTTAATTCCATTTTTTCTCCCCTGTTTTCCGTGAATGTAAGTTGAATTTATCAATAATAATGTCGGTATCCTCGAGGATTTATGAAATTCAGCATGTCATGGGCACGTCAATTGTATCTGATAGTAACTTACTTGTTTCCTTTCCCTGACATTTTGTGATTTGCTTGTTAATCAATGGCGGAGATGGCTATGAGGCCTGATTAGCTTTGTTGAAATTGAACATGTTTAAGTATACTAAGAGTGCATGTTGGGTTTAGCTTATTGATATCATGCCTCCTCATGAAAGTATTATCTTTTCCTTGTGCAATGACATGCTCTAAATCCAAACTACCACTCTCAAAAGCTCTAACTGTTCCATGATGTCATGTGCAGCGACTACCTATTTAAGCTTTTGCTCATTGGGGACTCTGGTGTTGGTAAATCATGTCTCCTTCTGAGGTTTGCTGTAAGTTCATTAACCTTATTTGTTTGTATGTCTCCTCCCCTTCCTCATGTTTAGCATACTTGTTGGAGGCACATTTATACATTTTGTCTGGTTCACCAAATTGACCATATGATTCTAGCATATAGGCTGTCTGGATATATTCATTTGAGCACAACGTTTTGAGGATTTCACCATGCATACAAGAAATTGTCAGTTGCTTGTATAAGCTTCTGATAAGTTATTTTTTTCCTTACAAATTTAATCCCTGTTCTCTAAGATTCGGAACTTTTCCAAACCATCTAAATATGATTGTTGATCATATCAAGTCCAGATGATATACTTGAAATTTGAATGTCATCACATGGATATACCGAAAGTTGCATGCTCGTCTATGTAGTTTAATCTTGTCATGCCAGAGCCTCATCAAGTCTAGATGACGTGTTAAAAATTTTGAATGTCATCACATGGATATACCAAAAGTTGCATGCTCGTCTATGTGGTTTAATCTTCGTCATTCCAGAGCCTCATTGCTGTTGAAATTAACATCTTTTTTATCCCAACCAGGATGACTCATATCTGGAGAGCTACATTAGTACCATCGGCGTCGATTTTGTAAGCCACCGAATATCTAATGATTAAGTCTGTTTATTTTGGTATTTATGTGTGCAGTCCTAACTTTTCCTTCACTTGTATGATTATGCAGAAAATCCGCACGGTGGAACAAGATGGGAAGACAATTAAACTACAGATTGTATGTTTTTGTCTGATCTCTTGTTCTTTGTACTTTCTTAATCTGATTTTAACGCGGTTCCCTCGATGATAGTTAAAATTTCCATAATGAGAATTGGAACTAGAAAACTTGTTTTCCTGTGGGCAAGTGACTGCTATTTGCTAGAAAAATCACCAGGTCCACGTAATATCCAGATTTTTTTTAAACCCAAATTGGCCATTAGATATTCTATAACCTTCAGTGAAGAATAACTTGCGTGTTTGTTTATATGGGAAATTATATATAGTATAACCCTCTTTAAGTTGCTTGTTATTGTTTTAACTTTTCTGTCCATTCTTTCTCTGGATTCAGTGGGATACAGCTGGACAGGAACGTTTCAGAACTATCACCAGCAGCTACTATCGTGGTGCCCATGGCATTATCGTGAGTCCCAAACTCCTCTTACATTAAATATTGAAATGTTATGTTCTTGATTTACCTCTTGCATGACTTCTTACTAATATGTTAATGACGCGTTGCAGGTTGTATATGACGTCACAGACCAGGAGAGCTTCAACAATGTCAAGCAGTGGTTAAGTGAAATCGATCGATATGCTAGTGAAAACGTGAACAAGCTTCTGGTTGGAAACAAATGTGACCTGACGGCACAAAAGGTTGTGTCGACTGAAACAGCCAAGGTAAAACTGTTGAGTTGTTGTGCATTCTCTTCATGCTGACTTAGGTCGACTTAGTAGCTGAAAGTGATTGTGTAGGCATTTGCGGATGAGATTGGGATCCCGTTCATGGAGACAAGTGCCAAGGATGCCACCAATGTCGAGCAGGCTTTTATGGCCATGGCTGCTGCAATCAAGAATAGGTGTGCTATGTAGTTCTCATACTTGTTAACAGAACTAGTTAATCTTTTGTAGTAGCTCGTTTATTCAACGTTCTTTTACTGTTGTGAAAATCTGAATGCAACTTGAATTTCTGAATTGCTGCAGAACTGACCATTCATATTTTCCATATCTGCAGGATGGCGAGCCAGCCTGCAATGAACAATGCTAGACCTCCGACAGTGAATATTCGAGGACAACCTGTCAACCAAAAGGCCGGCTGCTGTTCTTCTTGAAGTCGAAGTTTCCTCGGCAAGCTTGTGATGTCAAAATCTGTTCTCTTTGGCTATAGCATGTAAACCTAGTATCTTTGAAGTGGTGCTCTGCTGTGAAGACAGTTCATTAAGATATGCATTTCATGGTTATTCCGGTACTTTGTTGCGTTTTCCATTCTTTCTCATGTATTTGATTCTGAAACGTCTGTACAAATTAGGAATGTTGGTGAATAGCAGTATTTGCCTCGTTGATCTCTCTTTATCAGTTTCATAATCCATTATTACTATTATGACCAGTGTGACATGCCTACTACAATCTCTATAGTGGCGATGAGGAGCTGTCTTTGTCAGTTAATTTGAAGGTTCTTCGATTTCATGCTCTTTGTGGAGCCATAAATATTAAATGCGTGCATCAGTCGAATTTTGGATGCCGCTTAAAAGTTGTAGACGCATTAATGAAGTGCGCCTCGTTAGCTTAGTGTCTAGCGGTGCAACGCAAATCACGGTGTTGATAAGGGCGCATACCAAACCTAATGAAAAACGCTTTTCACACTTTCATCTTAGGTTAGGAAAGAGCAGGAACTACAAAAGTCAAATAAATTCTTTTCAAGAAACTCCCATTGCATTGACGGCTACGAGAGGCAAACATCATTGGTGTTGGTGCCGAGACACTCGAGAGCGGAAACGGTGTGGCGGCAATGCAGATGCCTTCCGATGGCCATGGCAAGCACCAGCCACATGCTGGTGTCTGGTGGTGGAAACAGCCATCTCGTATGATGGCTCTTGAAAAGATATTACGAGGCCTGAAAGCTCGGAAGATGACGGTACTTACGTAGAGGGTCTTAAAGCAAGAGAATGCCTAGGAATAGAACGACTGTCGACATGTTCATCCTACTCACGGCATCTACTTAATTAGCGGCTCAAGAACAACTCTAGTAAGCGGCATTGAGTATCTTCTCCGTTACCCCTCATGTTTCGTCTCCTAGATTCTAAACCCTTTATCATCATTCGTCAGCACCGGCGACGATCAGCTTGGCAATTGAGAAAAGACAACCATCTTACTACAGTAGAGTAGAAATGCTCAAGCAGATCATCAAACTTCAACCCTAGATTTGTAACTTAAAAGCTGTTCATACACGTCTTTCGTGCTACCAGACCTCTAAAGAGCGACCACCCATGTGTGATTTATATGCTCGAAAATTAAGATGAGATTATAACTTGAGTTCTGATAAAGCAGTACAAACTTAACTTGATTAAACTTGAGTAGACAGTGAAAACCAATCGAAAGACATCGGCTTGAAGAAACATAGCAGATAAAGCATAAGAAATTAATTGAGTCAAAACTTGAAAAGAACATCATCCACCAGCACCACAGATGACGATAAAACAATGGCTAATCTGCAATCAGTGATGAAACAGGATATGAATCGATGGAGCGTGTATCACTTCCTTCATGATCGCATGTATTATGACAAAACAAATAAATTAGAAAAAACAATTTAACTTGAAAGAAACAAGAGGGTTTAGAAAGACTTAATTGCATTCTCTTCTAACACAAACAAAACTGACGTGAGTCAAATGAAAAGCGGAGTAAATCCATGGGGAAACTAAAATTTACACTCAAAAAGGACAAATAACATCAAAGGTTTCTATTACAGGAAAAATGTCATTCCCGTTAATACCCGATTGTCCTGGAAGGTCACAACAACTTCGAGCATGAAGCAACACTCAGCTTGAAGTATGCAGTGGTAAAACCTTATTTCCCACCGAGGGAGGGGAACTGGCCAGGATCCTCAATTGAAGGGGCAGCTACATCTCTAGCATAGCCACCACCGAAACCACCTCTGGAACCACGTCCGCGGCCTCGACCACGACCACCAGGGTTATAGTGTCTCTCCCCTTCAGCAGGCTTCAGAAACTCATTTATGCTGACAGACTACACAAAAAAGAACACATGCACATGAGGAGACACCAATGAGGAAGCACAAGCACGTATACAATTCAATTCTTATGTGGAGAGATGTATTTATGAAAAGATGGTATCAATTAGACAACTAAGAACGTCAAGTAGACTCAAATCTCCAAAACTCAACGAAAAACCTTCTTGGCTTTCTCTTCTTTCTCGGCAGCCTCTTTGCGTTTGTCCTTCTCGGATCCCTACAAAAATGCTTGCTTAGTATGGACGTTTCTCAGCAAGCAATAATGAAAATATAAAACAGAATCAACTAGCAATTCTTAACTCTTACCAGCTTGATAAAGATGTCAATGTTCTCCTTCTTGCTAGAGAGTTGTTGCATGGACTTCAACTCTTTGTCCACCTCCACTTTCCTTTCCTCAGCCTTCAATGCAAGCAATCCCTTCCTCTTCTCTTCAAGGACCTTTTCATACTCTTCTAATGTCATCTCCTACAATAAATTGGACAGATAGATGTCAAATAGGTCAAAACATCAAAGCCTGTTAATGACGATCTTGAAACACTGGTCCAAAAGGTGGCTGGTCACACAGATACTTCCTATCCACCTTCTTACTAGCTAAGAAAACATTGGCTACAATTTCCGAGAAATCTTGTCATCAAAGCCTGTCAATGACGAGCTTGAAACACTGGTCCAAAAGATGGCTGGTCACGCAGATACTTCCTAACCACCTTCCCACTAGCTAAGCAAACAACGGCTACAAATTTCAATAAAAATCTTGTCATCAAAGCCTCTAAATGACGATCTTGAAACACTGGTCACATAAATACTTCCCATCGACCTTCCCACTAGCTAAGCAAACATTGGCTACAATTCTCGAGAAATCTTGTCAATTTTCCTTAGGCAAATTGGTTGATGGACTCGTATAAAGTAACAGCAAACACTCTTCAATCCTCGACCAAAGCACTGGGCAATCTTGCAGTTCTAAACATCTCAATGACCTATATTCCAACAGAAAAAAAAAAAAAAAAAGAAAATACAAGCTCCATGGCATCAGAGAAAAAAAAAGAATAATACAAGCCCCATGGTAGGTAGTCAGAGAACTGCCAACAATTTAGCCACTTAAAAAAGTAGCAGCTACGATTAGTGCTTCAATTGACCGGGTGGAAGTGGAGAAACTAAGGGAAGTCAAATCTAGAGAAGTAGTTCCCTTATCAGGTGCCACTATTACCCTAGCTTTTTTCCAAAAAGTGAATATAACAAAGAGATTTTCCGCTATTGCCCCAATGATTGCCATTCTTGAGCTTTCTAGCCATGCAACATTCAGCTTTCTATGCAATCTCAAGTATTCTCGAAATATAGATAGAAACATTCCGCACAACAAAGTCAAACACCCAATCCATCGTAATGAATAAAATGTGCATTTGGCAGTATTAAGCTTCGATCAACGGTTTTGAGTATGTTCTAGAAACTAGAAACAGTTTTACCGAAACACCTGAGATAAGGCATCATAGGAAAAGGGTTGGATTTTCATTGGGCCACATAATAAAAGGTACAGCCAAGAAGAGGACTATTAATCCATAAAGAATACCCAAGACCACAAGATAAATTTACCTTATCTTCAGGCTCTTTTTCCTCTGGTTCATTCACAGGATTATCCTTGCTAGCATCTGCACCCTCCTCATCAACCAATGGCTTCTCAGATCCCACATTTTTCTCAACTTCAATGACTGGTTCTTCAGTCTCCCTGAGCACAGCAAAATAAAAGTCTCGATGAATTTAAAGAATCACCAGTGGTGAAAAAAAAAATCAATAATAGCAAGATATTAAAGGTTAACAAAATAAAAATGCTTACGGAGCAATTTCATCAGTAGGAGTTCCCCAGTTTCCACGACCAGCTCCATCTCGTTTAAACTCGTTTCTGATGCAATTAATTTGGAGCAACATCAATAGCAAAACATTGACAGTGCATGTGGGTTGTCTTTTGCATGTATGTGTGCATAATGTGGTAGGGCAAGTATCGAGTGTGAGATCAATTTCTTGGTAGCATTGGAAACATGCACTTGTGTGCGCACGCACACGGGAGAGAGAGTAACTAGAAGCCAAAATGCAACATTCTTGGTTTACAATACCGACCCTCGTCCAGTGCCACTGCGGCGTTCAAATACTCTTCTTGGACGCTCCCCTTCACCAGCCTCTCCATTGTTAAAACCGCCACGGCGACCTCCTCCACGGAAAGGACCCCGAGGGCCACCACGCCTTTCAGATGGTTTGTAAGAATCTCCTTCCTCTGAGGCTTTATAACCCCCAGAAAAACCATCATTGCTGCCAGCTGCAGCCTCGCTGCTCCCTGACTCTTGGTCATATCCTCGACCGCCTCCACGGCCACGGCCATAACCACGACCGCCTCCACGGCCACGGCCACGCCCAGTATCACTCCTTGCTTCCCTCACTAGCATAGAAGACAACATATAGTAGGTCAATTACCAATGATAGCTTTCGGAAATAATTTGCATTGCATAAAGAAGGAAAGACAGGTTTCACAGTAGGAAAAGGTTTGAGCCAAAAAAATTCCAATGCTCTTTACTACCCCAGGTAAGAGCAAAGTTAGGCATCAAGAATAAATTAAGTATTAACTTGAGTAAATGGCATTTAAAGCACAAAACTGCCCCCAGCAGGTTCAATTGAGAATATGATCACGAAATACGATGAAACTAGATTTTTAACTTGCTGCAAAAAAAAAAAAGTTCTTAGATCTGCAAGAATAAAATTACACTTCGTTGCTTACCTTCCTTTTCCCCCTATTTTTTGTAATTAAGATAGAATCAAATTAAGAAAACCAAAACTCGTTCGCAAAATTCATAACCGCACAACGAGCAAGAGATACGAGCAATTCAGAGACCTCTATGTTGAGAATAAACGGGAGGATAATAAGAGGCTGCAATGAATGAAAATTCCAAGTGTCGTGTGACACCCAACAGGTGGTCAAAACTGATGTGTCTTAATACAAAACGGTGTTAACTTTAGCGATGACAGACAACATTCAGCTTAAGGTACTCGGTAAACTTTCGGCCATATTTGATCCAACCAAAGAAAATCTTTCTTTGAAAATCCCAACACTTCATCGGGATTTGACACAGGAATACAACCACAAATCCAACAGATTCAGCTACCAAATCATTCTTCCGGTGAATCAACGAAAAAAATCAGCTCCTAAATTATTAATTGCAACTAATGCAAAAACATAAAAAAAAAAAAAAAGAAGCAAGAAAACCACTTTCATTAGACAAATCACCAAGTGCAGCCCTCGCAAGCCATACATTGCAGCTAAACAACTACACATGCCGAACCCACCCAAATTCACCGAAATGAACTTGCAGTCCAGGTTCCTCGCTCAAAGAGTAAGACCACGTTTACCAGAGAATTTCAAAAGGGTTCTTCCATTTCTCCTTATATTTCTCATTTGCGCGAACATCCTCTCCAATCACCATCTAATTAAAAAGCTCCACGCATTTCATCACACCATATTTACGGCGAAACAACGAATTTCTTTTCTTCCTCAAGCGAGCAGCAAGATATTAACTTTCAAGATTCCACGGCACTAAAACAACTAAATCGATGCTAAGAAAAGAAAGACGGAGCTCGCCGCCCAAAGACCCACTCACCAGCTTGAGCAGGGGGGGCGAGCGGCTTGGAAGGCAGCGCGGCGGCGGGCTTCGGCGGCGGGGCGGCCTGCGCCGGAGCCTTCTTCGGCTTCTCGACCGGCTTGGCCGCAGCGACGAGCTGGGTGGGGTCCTCATTGTCGTCGTCCCCGAGGATATCGAAAGGGTTCGTGGTTGCCATCTCTCTCACTCAGAGAGCTCTCACCTCTGTCTCTCGAGACAAGAAGAAGACGACGACGACGACCTCCGACACCAGCGCAATCGAGAGCAACCACGAAACCCCCTAGAGCGTGCTGCTGCGAGCCATGCGAAGCTCCGGGCGGATCGAAGCCGGCGCTCTTGTCGGAAGAGAGGGATAGACAGAGAGGGAGAGCAATGGTGAGGTAGCTTGAGAGTGACCTGAGAAAACCCTAGCGAATTGCGGCAGAGGAAGAAGATAACCCACGGGGCAAACCCCCGTCGCTTATAAAAGCCCTATTGGGTTGTGTTCCGGTACGGACGGGTTCACTCCGGAGGAAGCGTTGCGCGCTTTTGGATTTACGGTCGGACGAGATGAACGATCTGGCGGACGCCCGATTTGCATACTTTTCGTACCAACCTCACTTCTCTATTGCAGTCTAGCTATGAAATTGGATGGGCTAAACGACAAGAGGGCAAGGTTTCGTTAAATTAATGGAAAAATGACACAAATGGTATTTAAACTTTTAGTGCGATGTGTAATTTTATCTCTAAATTTTTAATTTGTTTAATGTGATCCCTAAATTAGAGTGCAGTAGAGAAGTGAGACCATGAAGCACATTGAACAAATTAAAAGTTCAATGACCACATTGCACATTGGGCCAAAATTTAGAGACCATTTATATCACAATCCCTTAAATTATTGATACAAGTAAATAAAATCGATTTATTCATCCGAAAAGAAACTTTGAAGTATAATATACTACAACACTTTCAATTACGGCAAAACGCTAGGCTCCATTTATTTCGCGGAAAATCGAACGGTTTGGAAAATATTTTCCTAAAAATGATCGTTTATATCTCTTACAAAAATGAATGAACGAAAAATATTTTCATCGTCCACAAAAATGTTTGGACAAAAATTATTGGCAATGATGATGAAATAGTTTCCCATTATACGATATAAATGATCATTTTTTTGAAAAATGTTTCCAAATTATATATTATTCGTGAAACAAACGGAACCTTAAGGATATAATACATTTCGACGATGAATTAGTTTTTTGGAAGAATGAGAAGGAACATGCTCGACACAATGCATATAAGGTTTGGTGATTAGGTGGTGTCCATGCAAAATTTCGCGCGCCTCGATTAATCTGCCTATCGGGATACACGAAAGGGCGTGTTCCTCCACATTAGTTTTGTGCATTCGGGATTTTAGCTTCTCCTGTACTTCCGATAAGGCTTGAACCGAAAGGCCACAAGGGTCAAAAAGTTCCCTTGCCATCTAATCGAAGCACAATGTGCTGTTCTTGTCTAAAGTAGATGGACATATTAGCACCTAATTTTTTTTTCTTGTATAAAGTAAATGAATAAAATGATGAATATATTGACTCACTAATGACTCACCATTTTTACAAAATCAAACTCGGCATATAATAATTCGCGACATCAAAATAACGAATAATTTATTATTTAAACAAACGAAAGGACTATATTGAACATTACTCATAATTTATTGTTAAATAGATCACAAGGTCAAGGTCGTATTGTCATATTACGGAGGTCCTCTCCAAGTTGTGCTTTCTGGGGCCCGTAATGGGCACGCCAACCCACAACCTTTGTGGCACACATAAATCACTCATTTCACCCGATCACCACGCTGACCACCACGAAATGGACAAGGACAACCCGATCGCTGCCTTTGACGACGTGTACTACGCGTGGGACCCACAAGATCGACGGCGACATTGCTCGTTTTCCTTCCCGTTCGCTAGTTCAAGGCAGCGCGCGACGTCAACAGTCGGCTTCGGGCATGGCGATGTCCTCGTGTCTAGGCGCGGTTCCATCCCCCACGTGAGAGCAGTAGTTCCCCGGCATTTTGCCATTTCGAAGCGAGCCCGTCAAGTATATATTCCAAATCTTCCGGTTAGGAACACCCTGGGCACACTAGGGATCACGTCCTCGAGTCAGGACCTAAACATTCTTCGAGCAAATTCGGTCAGCGAAAGCACTATTCCTCACCCAAGCTCCTCCGGAGAAGGGCGTAAGCAATGGCGGCTCCGCTGCGCGTGTTCTTAGCACGCCAGCCACAAATAATGCTAGTGCCGCACCAAGGCCATGGCCAGTGACCGTGACTGTGATGGTAAGTGTCGAGGGGCATTGCTCCCGAAGCGGCAAATTCCTACTTTCTTGCAGATATGATGCGGACATGGCCATCGCCGTCACTCTAATCTCGTTCATTTTCAATGTGATCATGTCTACAGACACCCAATTTCGGGGGGCAGTGGCAAGAACCAGCTGCAGAGACCGGTGTCACACGTCGGAAACAGCCATGTCTGTTTCATGGATCCTTGACAAGATAACAAATCACTAAAACTCAGCTCGATGACAGCCTTCATCCGTAGAACCACTCGGATTTAGAAGAGACTGTGGACATGCTCATCATTACTCGTAGCACCCACTTAATTAGTGGCTTCCGCTTCTCTGTCACTCAGAGTCTAATCCTGTAGATTGCGTAACATCTTGGCAATTGAGAAAGGACAATCACCTTAAGGAAATCGAAATGCTCAAGCAAATCATCAAAAAATCTCCGCCCTAAAAGGTTACCTTGTGAGTTGTGATGCCCATACACACCCCTGCCATCACAGATTCAGTAATGACCAAACAGGATGAAGCAGGATGTGGAGCAACGGAGCAGGTATCATTACCTTCGTGATCACATGTATCGAGACAATAATATAAATCGACTTGAAAGAAACAAGAGACTTCAGAGACTAAATTCATTCTCACCTAACACAATCAAAACTGATTCGAGTCAAAAGAAAACCAAAGTAAATCCATGGAGAAACTAAAATTTTTACACTCAAAAAGACAAATAACATCAGAGGTTTCTATTACAGGAAGAATATCAATCCCGTTAATACCCGACCATTCTGGGAGGTCCCGACTTCAAGCATGAAGTATCTCAGCCTGAAGTATGCGGTGGTAAAGCCTCATTTCCCACCAAGGGAGGGGAACTGGCCACGATCCTCGATCGAAGGAGCAGAGACATCTCTAGCATAGCCACCAACATAACCACCTCTGGAAACACGGCCGCGGCCTCGCCCGCGACCACCCGGGTTGTAGAATCTCTCCCCTTCAGCAGGCTTCAGAAACTCATTTATGCTGACAGACTACACACAAAAGAATGCATGCATATGAGGAGACACCAATGATGAAGCAAAGCACATATAACATTCAATTCTTATGTGGAGACAAGAATACATGAAAAGGAGGTATCTTCAATTAGCTATCTAAAAACATGAAGTAAACTCAAATCTCTAAACTTATTAAGGAAAAAGATAACAGACAAGCCAACCTTCTTGGCTTTCTCTTCTTTCTCAGCAGCCTCTTTGCGTTTGTCCTTCTCAGATCCCTACAAAAAAATGCTTGGTTAGTATGATGTTTCTCAGCAACTACTAATGAAAAAATGAAAACAGAAACAACTAGCAATCATTCTCACCAGCTTGATAAAGATGTCATTGTTTTCCTTCTTGTTAGAAAGTTGTTGCATGGACTTCAAATCTTTGTCTAACTCTACTTTCCTCTCCTCAGTCTTCAGTGCAAGCAATGCCTTCCTCTTCTCTTCAAGCACCTTTTCATACTCTTCTAATGTCATCTCCTAAATAAATTGGAAAAATACATGTCAAATAGTTCGTAACATTTAAGGCTGTCAACAGCGATCTTATAACGCGAATCCAAAGGGTGGCTGGTCAGAAAGATAGACAGGGATAAAACTTTTTTCCATCAAAACTTGAATAAACAATCTTTTTTTCAGTCCATCTGGCCAATAATGTTACTTCGACCAACAAAGCAACAAATGCTGCTTCCTGTCCTCCTTCCCAAAAGCTAAGCACACATTCCCTACAGCTTATGAAAGAAACCATGTCAATTTTCCCAAGGAAGATCGGTAGATAGACTCGTATACAGGAATAGCAAACACTATTTTTCAATCCTCTGCAAAAGCACTGCGGGATATTGCAATTCTAAACATCTCAAACAACTTATTTCCAACAGTATTAATCACCAAGGATACGAAGAATTCCTCTTCGAAGTGCATGCCAGGAGTTCTTTTGGCACGCCAGCATATATTTTCATCTTAGGACGAGAGAAAAGAAAGATGGAAAGCCATAAACTGTTCCGGATCATCCATCACCAGAATCATCCAGAAATTTTTGCTTATTCATGACCATCAGAGAAGAAAAGAAAAATACAAGCTGCAGCTGCATGGGAGGTAGTCGGAGCGCTTGCAACAATTCTGCTTCTTAGAAAAGTAGCCGCAGCTAAGATCAATACTATGATTGACTGGGTGGAAGTGGAGAGAAACTAAGGGAAGTTAAGCCTAGAGAAGAAGTTCCCTTATTCAGGTGGTACACTATTGCCCCAGATTTTTCTAATAATGCGAATATAACAGAGGTTCCTTCCACTATTGCCGTAATAATTGCCGCTCTTGAGCTTTTCAGCCATGTAACTTTCAGCTTTCTATGCATTTTCACGTAGTCTCAATATACAGATAGAAACACTCCGCAAAACAAAGTCAAACAATCAACCAACCCCAAATGAATAAAATACGCTTTTGGCCAAGTCGAGCTTCTCTCCACAGATTGAGCATAGTCTAGAAAGTAGAAACAGCTAATGAAAACTACTTAAGATAACGTGATCATAAAAAAAGGGGTGGACCATGATAGTCACAGAATACAGGGTGCAGCCCAGAAGAGGACTACTAGTCCGTAAAGAAGATCCATGAGCACACGATAGATTTACCTTATCTTCAGGCTCTTTTTCTTCTGGTTCATTCACAGCATTCTCCTTGCTAGCATCTGCACCATCCTCAGCAGCCAACTGCTTCTCAGATCCCACATTTTTCTCGACTTCAATGACAGGTTCTTCAGTCTCTCTGAGAGTCGCAAAATAACAATATTGATTGATCAAAAGATTCGCCCAAAGGAAAAAAATCAATAATAGTTAGATATCAAAGTTTAGCAAAAAAGGTGCTTACGGAGCAACTTCATCAGTAGGAGTTCCCCAGTTTCCACGACCAGCTCCATCTCGTTTGGTCTCGTTTCTGAAGCAATTATTTTGGATCAGCATCCATAGCAAAACTTTGGGCACGTATGTGCATTGTCCATTTGCATGTATGTGTGCATAATATGTGAGGGCACATAACTTCTTGTGTGTGTGTGCGTGAGTTTGTGAGAGAGAGAGAGAGAGAGACGGAGAGAGAGAGTAAGATTGCCAAAATGTAACATTCTTGTCTACGATACCAACCCCCGTCCAGTGCCACTGCGGCGTTCAAATACTCTTCTTGGACGCTCTCCCTCACCAGCTTCTCCGTTGTTATAACCACCAGGGCGACCTCCACGGAAAAAACCTCGACTACCCCTTTCAGATGGTTTTCCAGAATCACCTTCCTCCGAGGCTCTATAACCCCCAGAAAAGTCATTATTGCCGCCAGCTGGTCCCTCATTGTTCCCTGAATCTTGGTCATAGCCACGACCGCCTCCACGGCCACGACCATAACCACGACCAACTCCACCTCCACGGCCACGGCCATAACCACGACCAGCGTCACTCTTTGCTTCCCTCACTGTTACAGGATATCATCATATGGCTGGTTAATTTCCAAATATAGTTTTCGGGAAAAACTATCACTGACTTAAGTCAGGAAAAGGAAAAGACAGGTTTACAAGTAAATGGTATTCGAAGCACAAAACTGAGTGGAAAAACAAAAGAAGAAGAGTTTTGTAAGCTTTATTTTAGTTCTTCAATCTCGCCCAAATGCAACATCAAACGGCCGGTCAAAAACTGATCCGCACTAGCACAAGAAGCTCATACTCTAGCTTTGACAGTCAGCAATTTCAACTGAAGGTACTCAGCAAACATTTAATTTCTTCAGGTAAATCAAAGAAAATCGCAGTGCCTAGATTAGTAATTGCAGCTACAGCTTAAAAGGCAAGAAAATCCCCATTACCAGAATGACCGCCAAGCGTAATCCTTACAAGCCAACACATTGAAGCTAAACAATAACACATACAACAGAAATTTACCCGAAACGAACTTGCAACTCCAGCTTTCTCGCTCAAAGAGTCAAACCATGTTTACCAGAAAATCACAAGAGGATCATTCCAAATTTCCTCAAATTTCTCACTTGCTGGAACATCTTCTCGAATCACTATCTAAACACACGCTCTCTTCATTTCAATGTCTCATACTTCTCCACGAGATTCCACACCACCAAGAGAGCAACAAATCAAACGCATAAGAACCGGAACAGACCGCAGCGGAGCACACTCACCAGCTTGGGTAGGGGGGAGCGGCTTGGAGGGCAGCTTGGCGGCCGGCTTCGACGGCGGCGCGGCCTGGGCCGGGGCCTTCTTCGGCTTCTCGGCCGGCTTGGCGGCGGCGACGAGCAGGCTGGGGTCCTCGTTGTCGTCGTCGCCGAGGATATCGAAAGGGTTCATGGTCGCCATCTCTCTCTCTCTCTCTCTGTCCCCCACTCTCAAAGAGCCACGGAGCAAAAAAGGGACACCTCGAGCACCGCCGCGCGACCGAGAACGAACCGCGAGACCCCCTAGAGCGTGCCCCGAGCCATGGCGGAGCTTTGCTCGAGCTCAGGGGATGGACCGAAGCCGATGCTCGAGAGAGAGAGAGAGAGAGAGAGAGAGGGAGGAAGGGAAGGGAAGGGAAGGGGAGAAATGGTGGAGATGGTGGAGTGAGCACGACTGTAAACCCTAGGGGTGGCGGCAGCAGAGGAAGACGATAACGCAGCAGAAGGATCGCGCCTTATAAATGCCCTAGGAGGGGGAGTGTGGGGGCGCGGGCGGGTTCACCGTAAGGAGATGGGCGCGCTCTTCTGATTGGTCGGACCGAGGACCGAGTGACGCCGAATTTTATCTCTTCCGAACGGTGGTTCACAAGTTACAAGGGCTTGCCTGCAGAGTCCTTCGCACTTTCGCTCAACGAAAATGCTATCTGTTTTTCTTAGCTTGCAGCACCCGAAACTTCCGCAACACATTGCGGAATTTGGACACGTAAGTTCGCACGCCAATTTTTTTTGCGATTTTTTTTTTTGAAATTTAAATTACATTTTTTTACCTCATCGACAAAATGATCTTCAAGTCACTTGTTCGATCCATTTTCCTCCTTAGTCTTCACATGCGTGCATCGGTGCGTCCATTCTTGGCTCGGATTTGGATTCAAATCACGGCGCTTAACGATTTAAGAAGGTTACCGTCGAGAGTACGGATCTGTGTGCCGTAGTTAGGGGTGAGCGGTTCCCGGTCCGGTCCAAACTGAGTACCGGGAACCAGACCGGGAGGACCGATTCCCAGTTTCTAGGACCGGGGACTGGACCGGCTAGTCTTGGGATCGTGAATCGGACCGGACCAGTTCCAATGAGACCAATATTAAATATTATTTGTGAACCGGAAACCAATTGTTCCGTTCTTTCCTTTGTAGTTCTGATTTGATCCCATAAGGCCATGGAAAAAATTGAAAAAATACATATAATATATGAAAAAATTGAACAATCGGTTCCAATGGGACCAATATTAAATATTTTTTCATATATATTAAATATTATATATATGAAAAAATTAGAAAAATATATATTTATCGGTCCGGTCCGGTCCAGTTCCCACCCTACAACAGGGAACCGGATCGCCCGAAAATCGATTCCACTTTTAGGAATCAGGAACCGGACCGATATTCCCAACAACTGGACCAAACCAATCGGTCCAGTCCGGTCCCGGTTTGAGCGGTCCATTTTGCTCACCCCTAGCCGTAGTGACGACTAATTGGATACCTCAACCATTTTAAGAAGAGATAATGACACAAATAGTCCCCAAACTTTGGCTCAATGCACAATGCAATTCCTGAACATTTAATTTTTTCAACGTGGTCTTTGAAATTTCACCCAACGTGCAACGTGATCCCTAAATCTTTAATTTGTTCAATGTCGTTCTTTAACCTTTGGTACATGCTCAATTTAGTCTCTAAACTATATGAATATGTTTACTATAATCCTTCCATTAATTCAAGTTTAGAGACTACGTTAAATATTTTCATATAGTTCAGAGACGACATTGAATATGCATCAAAAGTCCAATAACTATATTGAACAAATTAAAAGTTCAAGAACTACATTGAACTTTAGCCTAAAGTTCAGGGACTATATTGAACAAATTAAAATTTTAGGAATCACATTATATATTGGGTCAAAGTTCAAGGATTATTTGTTTCATTATCCTTTTTAAGAAAGAAGGGAAAAAAACAGAAAAAGATAAAACTTTGAGGTTGTAAGAGCTAAAAAGGCCTTTTTATTTCAGATGTATGCTTTCTTGGGCCTCGTCATGGGCAGCCCGACCAAGAACCTTTGCGGGCACGTTGTCGCCAATTTCCTCAATTTCTACGCGCATATAACACCTGATTTTCTCTAACCAAAAGAAGAAAAAAAAAAGGATAAGTACAATAAAAGTCATAATATTTGTCATGAAAGTAATCGAATCTTAAAACTTTCAAAAAGAACAATAAAATCCTAAAACTTATCACGAAAGTCTGATCGAGCCTTAAAATTTTCAAAATGTTCAATTAAATTCTAAAACTTGTTGGATTGATTCAATCGAGTCCTTTCGGTGTTTGCACTTTTTAAAAATTTTATAACTCGATTACACTTTCATGACAAGTTTTAAGATTTCATTGCATTTTTTGAAAGTTTTAGGACTTGATTGCAGTTTTTCGAAGTTTTAAGACTCGATTGCATTTTCCTGACAAATATTAAGACTTCTAGTGACCTTATCCAAAAAAAAAAACTCACCTGATTCCCGTTTTGTTTATAGTTAACTTATTTATACAGTAATTTTTGCGTAATTTGGCCTTTTTTTAGATATGCAGGCAACATCTCGATACATTTGCATTATATTTTTAACCATAAGCCGCAATATGATGCCATTTTCATAGTTTAGTCTTTGTCAATTTCAGCCGAATCGCCGACGTAGCAGTCCAGTCATCGCCAGTCATCCTATGTGGTACACCATCACATCAGGGATTTGTCGGCGAAAACTGGCCGAAAAGATTATATTGAAAATTCGCGCAAAGGTTTATGGATTAAATTGGCAAAATTGAAAAGTTTAAGACTATAAATGGCATCCGCACAATTGATTTTGGAGTAATTGGACAATTCCACCTTCAAACAATAGACGAAGATGCGGCTTTCCAACATGATGGAACAGGAGCACATGTAAGCGGCTATCGTGAAAATTTGGCAAATTTACATTTACGTAAATAAATTGTTAACAAAATGGAGGGTCATTGCACACTTCATCTCTTAAGCATGCATGTGAATTGATTGAAGCAAATTTGTAATGTCTATCTCGCACAAAAGCAACAAAACTAAATGTACTCTACACGTACGTAGCATGTGCCGGGATCTAGTTAATAGTCAGGGTAGACATCGATCCAATTTTGAGAAAATTATTCAAAAAGTCATAAACTTATTATACTTTTATCCATTTTAATTATGTCAATTGAGTCATAAATCATTTTGTGTTTTGCCAATTGAGTCCACCCGGCTAATTTTGATTGGAAATGTTGATGTGGATGCCAGCTGTCCTAAACGGCACGACTGGCACTGACATTGATGATTTTTAATAATATTGTAATATTTTTTCGATTTTTTTATATTTATATATTCTTCTCTTTCTTTTTCCTACTTTACTTTTCTTTTTACTTTTTTTTTATCATTAAGATCGGTGGGGCGCCGTCGGCCAATGGGCGAGGGTTGGCAGGCCCTTACCGGGCGCGGGCCAGCGTCGCGACCCTTGCTCAGTGGCTGGTGAGGGCTCGTTGCCCACACACACGGCCGCCCTCGCCCAGTGGCTGATGGGGGTCGCCGGGCCTCAATCGGTGGCCGGCGGCCCCTTGCCGGCCCTTAACAATTAAAAAAAGAGAGTAAAGAACGAAAAAGAAAAGAAAATATAATAAATTCAAAAAATATTATCAAAAATTGTCTACGTCAGCGCCGGCCGTTTCACGTATGACGCCTGATATCTACATCAACGATTTTTCAATCAAAATTAGTGGGATGGACTCAATTTGTCCCGCAACGAGTGCAACCCTTGTGTTTTGTCAAAGCAGGAGAAGGTTTGTGACTCAATTGGCATAATTTAAGAGTTTATGACCGAATTGGCAAAAGTGTAACGGGTTTAGGATAATTTGGACGGTTCTCCTGTTCGACTTGTTTGGAGATTCAGCTTGTCCGTGTTATGCCTCATTGATTGGCTCGTAACTATTACGATTAATCAAACTAGTTCCTCCACACGCGCTGTGTGCATGCTAAATTTGATATGGGTCCGGATGATTCTGGACGGGGAATATAAATATAAATTGGAGAATTGATAGGAAACCCGCCCAAAGATATCGAATTCCAATTATTAACGGCGCATGATGTTTTGTTTTTATCCTTTTTCTATATCAAGATCAGATCATGGTGTTTTGGTCATTCGAAAACTATTACATCGAATTTGTAAACGGGGTTATATAAATAATACAACATCGAAAACAATACGTGTGCTCCCCTGCACGAAATTGGATGGAGCCTCGGAGGCCTAACAGCGACGAGATCCATGACATAGATGGTCCGAGGTTAATACCAGTTTTTTTTTTATCAGTCCTACTCTAATTCTCAACTCACTATCAAACTTTAGTCCTACCTCTCGCAGGGCGTGGGAGTCGAAATCTACGTCTACATCTGAAATTACACATTTCTACCCCTAGCACGCGAAAAGGTGGGGGAGACCACGTGAGCAAACCCAGTGGTTTAGGTTAATACCAGTTCAACGACCGAGAATTCGTCAACTGTTTTTTATGAACTTGTCCAACTTCTCCTCCTTTGGCTCGTCAGCTTCACCGTTTGTTGACCTTAAGCGAGTTTTTTCAAGGTTGACGTCAACACAACATCGTCGGCGCATCAGTCTGAGCTTTAGCTCCTTCATCAAGCAATTCTCGCCGCCGCGCGTGTCGGCGACTGTATGACCCGGTCGACGATTTGCCCCCGTTTCTGTTTAGCTTGACCGAAGAGGAACACGCACAGCACGACGCTCCCCACGTGAGGCGAGACGAGGTCTCGAACTCCCAAGGAGAGTTATTCATGCGCAGCGAATGGTCTCATCGGTTTCAATATCTCGAGCAGGGTACTAGTCGCAGGCGTAAAATAACAGTTTCGCGATACTTCTTTGTTTGAAAAACACGACGAATGAATGCTGTCTGAAAATCAAGAGGCGACTTTATTGAGTGGGCTATGCAAGCAGCTAGCCATGTGGGGAGGTCTAATTGCCTCCCTGTCAAAATTCAAAGACAAGGCCTTGGCCTTGCTTGTGTACAGCTTCTTCACGTTGGTTCTTTGCTCGCTTAGCAGCTTCACTAAACTCCTCTTCGCGTTCGCTCTGAAGGGGCAATTCGAGGCCCGGAACCCGTCCACCAGGTGCAAGTACGCCTCGAGGTCGTGGCAGCACGCGATGTCGGCGTTCGGCTTCAGGTACGGCGACTTCCTCGTGTCGAGGCGCAGCTCCGTCCCGGCGTGCGAGTAGGAGTCCCACGGCATTTGGCCGTTTTCGAGCGCGCCGTTAACCGCGTCCTTGAGCTTGCGCTCTAGTTCCTCGCTTAGGAATATCCCGGGCACTCTGGTGATCAGGTCCTGATCGTTCACGATCCTCAGGACCTTGATGTTCTTTGCATGGATTCGGTCCGCGAAAGCGCTGTTCCCGACCCGAGGTCCTCCGAAAGAGAACACGGCGAGCGACGGCAGCTCCGCTACGCGCGTCGTGAGCTCGTCAGCTACTAATAATGCTAGTGCTGCGCCGAGGCTGTGGCCCGTGATCGTGATGCTGAGCGTCTCGCCCTTGTAGAGCTCCAGGAGCCGTTGAACTTCCTCGATGACCGACTCCGCCAAGCTCGGCACGTGAGCTCCGCCGGTCTTGAACAAGCTCAAGAACCCGGATCCGACCTTGGATTCCGGGTCGTCGGCGCTCGACATCGGCACCAGCTTCGTCCGGAAGTTCTCGGCCCACTCGAGGCACGTCGAGGTCCCTCGCAGGGAGATCACGATGTCCCTCCGCCCCATCCGCTGGATCTCCCTCCGGTCGTCGCACACCGCGACGTAACCGATCCAGCTCGACCGCTGCGTCATCCAGCCGAGGTCCGGAGCCACATCGTCCACCCACTTGGGGAGCCCGACCGCCGAAGTGGCGTACAGGCTCTTCGTCACCTGATAAGACTTGTCCGGCAGCGCCACGTGGTGGGGCATCGGCGCCTCCTCCGTCGGCATGGCGGGGTTCGAGTGGAACGCGTGGTAGGCCACCTGCACGAGCTCACCGTACCGAATCACCTCCCGCCGGAGGTTCTCGTCGAGCGGATCGAGCAGGCCCACCCAGTCGCCGCAGCCGTGGTACTGCCGCCACCGGCTGCCGAGGCCGTTCCTCGGGGAATACTCCGGGGTCCTCGACAGAAGCCGCCGGAGGGTGCTGAGGCGGCGCGGGGACATCTCCTCCGCCGCCGCCTTAATCTCGGGCCAGATTCGACCCAAGTTCAAGCGCTCCAGCAGCCCTCTGCCCCTTTTCTTCGACGACGACGGCGACGGCGCGCCGACCCCAGAATCTGGCTCGCGAGCCGGCTCCTGCGGCCCTTGCGGGCGCGATAAGGCCGGCGGAGATTCCTTCTGGAGGACGCGGTCGAGGTTGGCGAGGTGTCTCCGAGTGGACTCGGCGCAGGTGATGGGCCTGACAGCGGCGGCCGAAGACGCCGAAGGCTTTAACGACGAGAAGCGGCGCTTGAAGCTGGCTCCGCCGCCGCCGCCGCTGGCCGGAAAAATGTGAAGATTCATGCAAATGGACGCCATTGAAGAGTTTGCGCGAGCTCCTCCTAGAGAGAGAGAGAGAAAGAGAGGTCCTCTTTTTTTTTTTTGATCGAAAGAGAAAGAGAGGTTCGAAGTGGAAACCGAGTGGCCTCGAATGGATGAACTTGCGCTGATATAGTCCGCCACATAAACTCTTTACCCTTCCCTTTGGCTCGTAATTACGATTCGTACCCCACTCGTATTAGGGGGGGGGGGGACCGCACGCGCTATGCAAAAATACCAGTCTTGTCGAGGAGGGGCAAAACGGGAAGATCGATCGCGGCGTTCCTTCGAGGAAGGATCTCGCGCTGGCGTTCAGAGCAGCGTAAGGCGTTGTATTTGTATGTCAGCGTGATTTGACGGGAATGCCCCCCCCCCCCCGCTAGGAATACCTCGGGAGATGACGTGGCGGGAGATCAGCGTGACACGCTGTCCGCGGCCCCGTGACGATTTGACGGGAATGCCCCCCCCCCCGGCCCCGACTTTTTTCAAAAATCTACGTGGACTTTTCGCCCGGAGGACTTTGCTATGCCGATCTCATTCAATTATCTAACATTGATTTTGACGTGCAATGTGTACGGGTCCATGAAAAATCAAGAGCCCTCAAACAAGTAATTTGCTTGAGCGCGTGTATAGTTAGGGATTGGCATACGGTTGGACAATGATAGTACTTGACCATTATTCCGGACCTACGGATATGTAGGGTCATACGGCAATGCGAAACGTATAGAAGGGCGCGTTCTTTCGGTTCATGAGACCGACGAATTAAGCGTAGGAGCCGGCACATACACCCGACGAACAGATTAAGAACTCGATTTGCTTTCTAATTAGTTATTTGATCTCGAGTAAAATATTCGATCCGATGGTCTCTGTCTTCCGAGGTCGGTCTAAGTTTGATCGGTTCAATCTCGAGCAATTCATAGACCGACCTTGGAAGACAAAGGCCATCGGATCAAATATTTTACTAAGGACAAGTCTAGTCAAGAACAATTTCCGTCAACATCAGTATGCTACGACAGCATACGCTCTTTTTTTTTCCCACCCAACTCGGAAATCTGAACCAAGCCACAGACCAACTACGTTCACACGTATTGTCTTGCTCCTAGAACAGCTAAAATAAGACTTTAGGAAATTGTTGACCCCGAAGTGGGAATTCGACTAGGACAAAGTCAGCGTTTTAAATTCCCAACTATAGCGTTGGCATTGAACAAAAGGAGGAGGTATATGTCTACCTGGAAATCGTTTCGTCGTCGCAATTGAACGGGGAGAATAGGCGAAAAATACGAACACAAAGGAACAACGGTATTGATGGAACACTACACCGGAAAGGCCTTTCATTAGAAACCCTAAAAAGGAACAAATGGATGAGCAAACCGGGACACTTCCCTAGCTTTCCGATCGTTTTTTGATGCCGTGTAAGTTTGAGAAGTACCCATTGACTAGAGATTATTGTAGGGAAGATTATCGAAAAAATCTTAAACCTATTGCAACTGAATCAATTCGGTCCTAAACATTTTGCGTTTGAGCCAATTCAGTTCATCTGACCATTTTTGGGCGAAATCGTTGACATGGCGTCGTCGATACCAACATAAACAATTTTTATAATATTATGAATTTATTATTATTATTATTATTTCATTTTTTTCTCTTTTATTTTTACCCTTTTTCTCTGTTTTTTCATTATGGCCATGTCTAGCTAGCACCCTCACTAATGGCTGGGCTAGCGAGGGTCGAGCCTCGCTGGTCATGGGCAAGGCACACCCTTGCCAGCGGCTGGGTTGGCGAGGTCAACCTCATTTAGCGACGGTGAGGGCGAGCCTCACCAGAGCCCATGAGGGCAACCTCGTAGCCTCTAGCGAGGGTCGCCCTCGCTGGTGGCTACGCAAGGCACAACCTTGCCAGATCTAGCGAGGTCGAGCCTCGCCCATGGCTAGCAAGGCTCGACCCTCGCTAGCCCGTCCCTCGCCAGCACAGCCGCTAGAGAGGTCAAGCCTCTCTCGACCGATGAGGGTCGTCGACGACCTTGCCAGCCATAATGAAAAAAGAGAAAAAAAATGAAATAATAAAAAAAAAAATTATAAAAATTGTTCACGTCAGTACCGGTGGCGTCACGTTAAAGATTTCTGGCCAAAATTGAAGGGATTTAATAAATTGGTATAAATACAAAATGTTTATGACTCAATCGAAAAAAATTAAAAAATTAAAATTAAATTGATACAATTATAATAAATTTATAACTTTTTCGGTAATTTCCTCGAAACCGAGGTTTAGTTGCGTGACGAACTAAAAGTGAAGTCCTCTTCCTCAGATTTGCTCCACATGGGATGCTTCGCTCGGAGATTCGTGGTGGTTCGCTTTGTCCGCTTGCGCTCGGACTAGATTGCCGTCCGACCACTGAGATCGAAATGGAAAGGCCACCCAATTATAGGTGAGATAAGATCCCTCGTGGTCGTGCCTGGCTCCACCAGGTCCCGAAGCGCGCACCACTTTTTGATAAAGCAAGAAGGTGCTCCATGCTGCGCGACAAGAGGGCACTTAAAGAAAGAGAGGTACGCGCGTGGAAGATTAATCACTCATTAGAATAAGAATGCAAGTACGCAGAAAGCACGGCCACGTTTTGGCTCTGTTTTTCCTTTTTTATAGTTCATTTCTGGATAGTGATTGGTCGCGTACAGATGTGGGACCTCGGCCATGAGCATCACGTTGGATCGGGCACGCTTTCCTCGTTTCTTGTTTTCTTCTCCCTTGTGCGCGTTATTGATTGCGACAAGCATCTTTGGGTATCTGTTCGCTAGGGTGTCAAATCTCGCTAACAGTCCGTCGCAATCTCGAGCTAAATGGTTCATGTCTCTTTATTTCTTCCTCTCTTTTTTTCTTTTCATAATCGCAAGCTCCGGAGATTATTGCGTTTTGGGGGCTAATTAAATGCTCCAGAAGCTAAACAGAGAGTGAGCGGAGATGCGGTGAATAGGAGGGGTGCTTGAGGTCCGGAGAAGTTGGCGGACGGGCGGGTCGGTGTCGGATCGAGTGGTTTCCGACGAGAGTATCTTCCCGCGAATTAGTGAGTTACTTCGGTTTGTAATTTGCGCCTCTTTTTAGATGGATTTGGTGTCAAGAGCTCAATAAGTTATTGCACCTCCTACTTTCCTTTTTCAAAGACCTAAGACTTGGTAGATGTTAAGTAAGCAGTCATTCTCAGTACATAAAGATTTCAACTTATGTCTTTAAACTCCAGAGGGGTTTCTTGATCATTCTTTTATTCCGTGACCTTCACAAGTGGTGACGAATGGCATATCAGCCACTGTCCCCCCTGTATTCAAACACATAACCATTGTTAAATTAATCTCGCGAGCTTGAGCCGTGTGCGAGACTCGACCCGATTGGAGGATGCAGACCGATCCATGTTAGATGAGGCGTAAGGGAAAGGGTCTTAATTGGACTTTGATTTATCTTGCCTTTCTTTCAAATGATACCTTGGATTTATTTGGGCAATGAACTCAAATAAAAAAGTGAACTTAAATAAGGAAAGTTGTTGCTGACTTGTGTGACTCGAGGGTTTGACCAATCGAGGATTGATATCCTTCGTACGGCAACAGTCTCAGTACATTATGCATACGTATATATAAGTACTTCACTGTGCATACCTCATGGACACGGCCGAATGCATTTCGTCCCTTTCTCAAGAACCACAATGCATGATCAATTCTTGGAAAATTTGATCCGCGAATAATAAGTGCAACTGCAATCTTTCAAACTATAGTAGATGAACCACATGCCCAAAATAAGCATACTACTTTTGAAGCTGTGGCGATAGACGTTCCGCATCATGAAAACTCCATTAGAAGTTCTCTGTTGCTTACCCATAACTAAAGACAACGCTCTGAACCCCATTTAATCGGGTGTGCGTGTTAATGATCGGGTCGAAAGACTCGTCCATGATTTTCCCTGCTATCAACTTTTTGAAATTACTTTCCGCAACCTCGTGTAACACTTTGGCTTCATCAAAAACCCCATCCTTATTTTGAATCAAACTCGATGCGAAACCTCCCTCCGTGGAAAGCTTTACCCTGATTAGTCTTTATTTTCCCGACTAATCTTCACTACGACCATTATCAGTTAGATCCTCTAAACTAAATTGCCGAACTATAGTATTTAATCATACCTTCTTGCAGGTGTTACAATAGGATATCTCTTGCCTCCATGTCCATTAGCCCCATTAGCAGGTGAGTTGGGTTGAAAATGGTTCGATCTAAATTGACCAATTTAACGCGTTTTGACCTCAATTACATGCAATGCAAATCTAACAACCCACATTTGACCCAACTCTTGCCTAATTCGTACCCAACCCAATCCACATTTGTAAAACACTTTTATATTTAACTCAATCTAGGAAAACTTGTACTCAACCTGAGGTGAGAGTTCTGACCAAAAAAAAAAAAAAACCCGAGGTGAGACTGAGGAGAAAGCGAGCTCGAGCTTGAGTGAGCGCGAGAAGTGAAGAAATAGTCATAGTGTGAGTCGGGTCTATGTAAGTTCTGAACCTATTTAATAACCATATTATTTTAGGCTTTTTACCATTTTAAACCCATTTATGATCTATTTAGTAAATATAACTAATCCACATCATAACTCAGCTCATTAAATAAGGTTAAGAAATAGGTCGATGACCCATTTTTAGCGGGTCTAAAATTTAGCTGGTGTTCCGTGATTTCAATTCATGTTTACATCTTGAAGAGTAATTTGTAATTTTATCAATAAATGTCAGTATCTCAACTGCAGGGTTCTTTCAGGGCCTAAGGAGAAGCACCATAAGACGCAATTAAAGGTATGCAAGAACTTCTTTCAGATGACTACACGTGGAAATATAGGAAAATTTTCCGTACAAACACTCAAACCAAATTCACGCACGACACCAACGCGAGAAATTTACCGAGAAAAAACTCAAATATAATACGTCAAGAACACGTTTGATTTGCAATTGACATGGTTTATTTTCTTTTACGCTGGCTAAGCGAGAAATTCATTGAATGAAAAAAGACACAAGATTAAGAGGACATTCTTTTAGATTTGATATTTCCAAGAACTAAACATTTCTCATATTCATTAGTTTTGAACTTCCTTAGCAATTAATCGAACTAATGACGGGAACAAAATGGTCAAAATACAAACCGTTCTTTCCATGGGACTCCTACGGCTACCGGCTCTCTCATCGTCGTCTAGCATCTTCATTAGATTAATTTATGTTGATGGATGTATTGAGCTATGATCGAAGTCTTAAAAGCCAGACAATTGTTGACTTTGGGGCTCTTCTCTCACTCCATATATATTTTTATTTTTAGTGCTCGTGAGATTTTGTAAAACTACTCTAACTATTATGAAAAATTATACTTTTAGATGAATGTGTTGAAATATGTAACTGGAGAGGCAAATAATGATTTTTTAGTATGATCTTTTTGCTGGGTTACTAAGTAGGGATCTTACGATTTAAACTCAGGTTCTTTTGCTATGATATAATGTGAGATTTTGTGGGACCATTGTCAACTATTTTTTTTGTCCATCTTATCTCTAACTCTCCTAACTCTTTGACTTTTACTGTGTCTCGTGTAGAGTGCGAAAGTCGAAATCCTACACTTCTGATACTAGCGTCCCAACTCCTTAATCTCTTTACCAATAAGACCGTATGCTTATTAGTCATTGTCAACTGTTTAAAAAACTTAAATTGTTAAATAATGGCGTGACCTAATATTTAAATATTCCATAAATCCCGACGGATGACGAAGTGACCAGATTTCACAGGTCGCGGAACACGGAGAACGGGCTTTGCAACTACGGAGGATCAAATTGCACAAAATGAAAGAAATAGGGAAAAAGCAAGGGCGCACCAAAATTTCAAACATTTGGCGCCATGAATTTTTCCGGAAAATACCCAAATACACCAGCGAAGGTCAGACAGAGAGAGAGAGAGAGAGAGAGAGAGAGAGAGAGAGAGAGAGAGAGAGAGAGAGAGATGAAGCAGACGAACCCAGCTCGAATGAAGAAGCCCGACGCTCCTTTCAGCGGACGCGATTCGCAGGTACGAAGTCGCGCTTCCATCTTCATCCTCGCGGTGGCAGATTTCCAGATGCTAATTGCTTGCTACGTTCTTCCGACCCACTCTCCGTCTCTCTCTATTGCGCTTGATAATCGACAGGAAAAATCCGATTCTTTTTCGCTTGATACGTTGCGCGCGGAGCCTCCCGATATCGGGAAATGGTTCGCTAGCTATGTCTACGAATCGCCTTCACTGGGTACGGACGAGGGCTTTCTGGGTTCTCTTCTTGACGAGAGTGAACGCGAGAGCAGCGGGTGTGCTGTTGACGATAGGAGAAAAGGAGGAGGAGGCGGAGGAGAAGCGGCTTCGCGAGGCTCGAATTGCGTCGGAGGCAGATACCCAGTGGGCGCTCTTGAGTTCACCAGTAATTTCGGGAGCAATGAGCATGAAGAAGAGCCTCCAACAGAGGTGATTTGCTGGATTCAGTTTTGCTAAATTAGCGAGTTAATCTCGTCTTGCTCGCTGAATGGCTTCATGGTATCAAAAAGTTTACTTTTTTTTTTTTGGGGGGGGGGGTGTTCATGTTGTGCTATTAGCTCTGGCAGGAAACTTTCAACGAAGCTGATACCCTTTTACATCACTCTTTCTGTAGGTTCGAGATTCCTTGGAGTCATCTTTGCAAATTTCAGGTTTGTATTAATTTGCAAGGTTCTGATTTATCAATTTCTCGGTATTATGCAGAACGGAATCAATTTTCCCTTTCCGCAAGCGGTAAAAGGATTTCCACTTTAATCTGATACTCGTACTGATTCTTGCTTGATTGATACAGAACCTCCTGATGTCAGAGAATGGTTTTCGAGCTACGTGTATGAGTCGCCCGAGTTGTGTGAACACGGCAGAGAATTTGTCTCCATAGAAAGTGAATGCGAGAAAGAAGGGTCTGTTACTGGGGAGAGCAAGAAAGAGCATGAAAATTCAGGGGAAGTTACCAAAGTGAATAATGGTGATGTTGCCGGTGCCCGTGAGGTACCACACACCAATGGACTTGTGTATAATGGTGGTGGCTCATTCGCGGATCAGGATTGCGAAAATCAAACTCTGACCAAGGTATTGTTCTGCATTCTTTTGTGTTAAGAATTGGGTTTGGCCCGGCATCATCCTTATGCGTTTTGATGAAACACCCATTATTGTGATCATATGGTAAATGATCCCCGTGGGTCTTCCATAACACTGACTTTTGTTCCTGTAGTCAGCTTTCCTCTCTGTGTTTCTTCAATGGTTGTTGTACAACTAAATATGACTTCAAAGCTCAGTATTCATTCTTAATGATACGTTTTTTCCCCTTCTGGTGCAGATAGTAGATTCCATGAGCCCACCTTTTCTACTCTCTGGTTGGTATAGCTTCTTTCATATGTTACAAGGCACTGTTATTTGACCTCTTTGAAGCTGTTAAGATTTCTAAGGGGCTATATATGAGTGACGAACTTGGTAGTTACTCATTTATAGGCTTACCAGCAGGTTGATACAATGAGACTGTGATGTGTGTGTCTATGTGGGTTACATATATCTAGATATGTGTGTGTATTTTCTAAAATGAGTTATTTCCTGTTTGTCAGAGCCTCCTGACATAACAAATTGGTTCTCAAGCTATGTCTACGAATCTCCAGAATTAAGCACATTCCCAGGATCTCCTGTTGAGGAAATTGGTGATGGGAAAGATGATTTGATTCTTAGAAAGGTTATTGGAGAAAAAGAAGACAATCAGCATAACTCTTCAGGTAATAGAATAGATGGTGGCACGGGTATCAATGAACGGTCAAACTCTGCCCTCTGTAGCAGCTCTCATGAAGATCTCGAGCATGAATATCAGCACACTGAGGATGAGGTAATCTTTGTTTGTTCCCTTGTTCCTTCAGTATGGATGTTTATGAAGTACAGCTTACTATTGATAAAATATAGTCAGCCAAGTTCTCGGTGGTTTCAATTCTGTGTTTCTCTGTTTAGATCGAATAGTTCTTGGACAACAATATATTTAAGATTCTCCTAGAAAAAAAAAGAAAAGAAAAGAAAAAGAAAACAAGATACTTCAGTTTCTAAATCCATGCAAATGTTTAAAAGTTAAAGGTTGGCAATACATCTAAAGAGGACAAACATCTTTTACCTCAGATTCCTTGCCCTAAAATTATTGATGGAAGGATGGACTGTAAAGCTTTGCTAAACAATGATCGGGATTGTAAAAGTAAGAGGCCGAAGCAACTTCATTCTGAAGAAGCCATCCGTTTTCACTCCAATATCAATGAGAACTCAAGCAATGGTAAAAGAAAAGCTCGTAGAGAGTTGATTGGAAGAGTTGAAGAGGGCTCAAGAGTGAAGGCCCAGAGTAGGGAAGTTGCTCACACCCTGCTTGAAGGCGATTTGGGCTCATCTCCAGTTGATCAAGCTTCAATGAGAAGATCAACTCACGGAAGTCATGACAAAGAAAACAATCGAACAGATAATGACAGCACTGATTTTGTTTCCATAAGGAGGAAGGAAACTACAAGTGCAAGTGATGAATTGACGAGGCCGCGGAGGGCTTTGCACCAGTGCTTACATGCTAGAGGAAATGTTTCGTCAGCTGCTATAGAGGACGAAGCCAAGATGAAGCCATTATCGGAAATAACTAATTTCCAGAGCAATTTTGATGTGCAGGAGTCCGCTGGGAAATGGAAATGTCCTCAGAAAAGAAAACCCATTCTTGGACCCCCAATGAAGCAGCTGAGACTAGAACGATGGGTCAATAGGATCTGAATACAGTATTCATAAAGTGGCGTAGAGAAATTTGATATTCAATGCCAGAGAATTCATAATGAAAAATGTGTTGACTACTTTCTCCACATCACAAGACAATGGCTTACCTTAACAATTCGTAGCTTTGCGTTCTTGAATTCTATTATTTGTATGACCCAGATCGGAATTGTTGGAGTGATTATCGCCCTCTGAACATCTTGGGCTCAAGCACACTATCTTCTCCTTTCCTATTCCCCAGTGAGTAAGCCATGTTTCAGCCTTCAAGAACTTGGTTTCCTGAAAATGTTGGGGGCATTCTGAGGTTGCATCTGATACGGAGGAGATGTAACCGGATTCAGAATCCATGAAATCGTTGACAGTGGTATATAAAGCATCAAGGAGAAGTCTTCATTGTGAAAATCAGGTGGATTTGTTTCTGTACTACTCTTTTCATCTCCTCTTATTGAACAAGAGTAATTGCACTTAACTGTGTAAATTTTGAATGCAAGTTGAAGCACCAGTATTATCATAGCCTTCTCTTGTTGTTTCATTATACAAGTAAACTTCGTCAGTGTTCATCAAAGATGCTTGGAAGACAAGTCATCGATGTATCAGTATTTCTGTTATAATTAAAGGCATTATAATAAGTTAGAAGCTACTCGACAAGATTATGGATTGGGCCAACACCGACAAGAACACCTTTTCTTTCAGATCAATTATAGTCTCAAGTGCTAAGAGATCATGTTGATACCTGTTCTGGTCCGAGGTCTTTCGATATGTGCAACTTTTTTCCCTGAAAATAAGTCGATGACAGGTTTAGCAGATCGAGTGTTCAAAAATTTCTGCATTTGGTGATACAAGGGGATTCATTTGCCTACGGTCTTCACCGTGTAAGAATGGCTTGGATAAGCCAAGTGCTGAAGTCACCTTTGGTCACTTTTTTTTTTCTCAATCTTAGAAAAATGAAAACCCTTTCTCAAGATCTGACAATCCACCAAGTTCAAATTTCTTACAACACAAACAATCAAGAGCTCATTGTAAAACCAAAAGTCACAAAGCTTGAGCAGGGTGATCTATTTACTTTCCAATGGAATGCTATGAAAACGGAAAGCAAACTGAGACCTTGAATAGATCATGACCCGACCTAGTGAAATAAATCATACGTTGTTATGACATGTTGCATAACCATTTCATCAATCGCAGAAACAGCTCTGGCATCTCCTGAATCACATTTGAGTCAATCAAGAGTGACAGGATTGTGTTGAATGCAAGTTCAAACATGAAACCGTAGTCGATATAAATTCGTGTAAGGCGTAAAGAAGTGATATTGAGTGACAAGAAAAGAAATTTGAGTGGGAAATGAATTATGGTGAAGTGAGTTTTCAGTTGCTGTGATCGTTGATTTGAGCCCAGGTTCTATATATTTGTGAGTCCTATTTCTTTAAATCCCTTAGTTTGGGGAGTTCAATCATTACAAATCATAATGTTTATCATTGTATTTCGGGATAAGTGCACTAGAAGTCCTAAAACTTGTCTCAAAAGTGGAATTAAGCCCTAAAACTTTCAAAAAGTGCAAACAAGTCTTAAAACTTGTCATGAAAGTGCACTTGAGTCCTAAAACTTTCAAAAAGTGCAAATAAGTCCTAAAACTTGTCACGAAAGTGCAAACAAGTCCTAAAACTTGTCACAAAAGTGCACACAAGTCCTAAAATTTTCAAAAAGTACAATCAATGGAAGGACTTGATTGAACTAATTTGACAAGTTTTAGGACTTGTTTGCACTTTTTTAAAGTTTTAGGATTCAAGTGCACTTTCGTGACAAGTTTTAGGACTTATTTGCACTTTTTAAAAGTTTTAGGACTCAATTGCACTTTCGTGACAAATTTTAGGACTTTGAATGCACTTATCCCTTGTATTTCCTTGCGACCTTTCATTCAAACAGAATAAGAAGACGTTGGTCAAGTTCCATTAAACAAATGACATGTTATGGAAATCCTGATCTTGGAGATGCACAAAAACACAGATGATAATCAACTACGGGTGCTTTTTATCTTCACATCCATTGGAATTAGAAAAGAAAACCAAGCCTAGCCCTTGTTGCGACGTGCTTGTCACTAGTCGATAGGATGTCGCGCAGCGCCATGCTCTATCGATAGTTGTCGAGATGTGAATCACTCGCTTTGAATCAATTGCAGAGTTGAAGTGTATCTACAATTGAAGTTCAATGAACAGGGAGAAATTTGTAGTGTGATGGCAAAAGTAATTCTGCAACCTATCTGATGGGATTTTAATTTTTCCCTTTAGGTCAGTAAATATTTTTCTAAAAATAATTATTTGTATTGATTGAAATAATTAACCAATGAAATTTTCATTATTGATTACCTAAAATTTTGGTGGACGATAGAAAATATTTATGATTGTGATTTGCTTATCTGTACAGTAGTAGTCAACGAAAGAATACCAGCAGACTCTCCCTCTTCAAGTTCCGATTTCCGACTCACTGCCGACTCCGAAACTGATCCGAAGGAGAAGAAATGGCGAGCCTTTCGCGTCTCCAGACCATCACCAGATCATTGAAACGAATCCCACTTCCTTATTCCTCGGCCAAGCTCTTCCATCCGTGCGAAGCGACTCAGCTCGCGTCGAGCTCGAGAACGATAGCACCCCCACAATGTCTCCCTTCCGTACCCGGATATTGGCAGCTCCAATCTCGGCGGACCCTCATCTTGGAGCCGGCTACTTCTGCGTCGGAGTCGGTGAAACTGAACAGGCTCTCCGATTCCGATTCCGGTACTTCGTGTTTTGCATATGCCGTCTCTCTGGGTGGTTGAGTTTGTGAAGTTTGGTTTTTTTTGCTCAGACATGTGCTCTACGATGTTCGTGAAGTGGGGTAAATATCAGTCTTTAGATTTTTCAGAGAAAGAGGGTGTTTTTGAGATTTTGACGTGATCGGTGTTCTTGGGTAAGCAGGGAAAAAGCTTGATAATTAGCTCACTAGAAGAAAGTGAGTGTTTTTCTCATTTGTTCTTTATAGTCTGAATTGATTAGGCTTCCATGGACACCAGAGTAACACAAAAGTGGCCACAACTGAAGATTGTTCTGGTATTTCTTCGTAGAGATAATGACTGAAAAAACTGAAAAGCAGTTTGTTGAACATTTTTTCAATTTCTTATAGTGATTGGGTATGAGGAGCGATGTTTGAATCTGGTATGATTTGATTTGACAAGGATTTTTCTTGAGAAGGATTCATTGCAATCTTCAGGAATAGTCGAGGTCTGTTTGGATAGACCTGGAGCTAAGAATGCGATAGGGAAGGATATGTTGAGAGGGTTGCAGAATGCGTTTGAAGCTGTGAAGGAGGATGCTTCGGCGAATGTTTTGATGATCTGCAGTGCGGTGCCGAGAGTGTTCTGCGCTGGTGCTGATTTGAAGGTATTACCATCATAATACAAAAAATTTCAGGCTCAATGCCTTTTTCCAAGGGATGTATGTTCTTGGATGTGCAGCTGTTTTAGGAATTGTAGTAGATGACTTTCTGGTGGGAGTACTAAAATGTCGATTGCTTTTTTTGGTAGAAAACTATTATTGACAGGCTAATATGCTTCTAGAATGCATAGCGCTTCTTGTACATTTGATAATTGATGTTGGTTACACTTCTTCCTCCCTCTATTACTCTTTTTAAAAGCATGTTTCCTATATTCAACTTCTTCATTGTTTCCCTTGTCTTTCTTTGAGTTGGCAGGAGCGCAAGACAATGAGCCCATCTGAAGTTCAGTTTTTCGTGAATTCGCTACGTTTGACATTTTCCTCGTTGGAGGTGGGTTTGTCCTGTCTGTTTTCCTACCAGATTATTGTGCTTGCTGCCAGCGTTGCCCACTTAGGAGCTATTGCTTTTTTATTGCCTCTGGAGCTCTTAGCGGCAGGGTACATCGCAGGGCTTTTGCTCAACATTGTATGGTCTATGGTGCACTAGTTTTCTGTAAAGTTTGGACCTTGAAGTAAGATTAACCTTTAGATACTCATCCATTTCAGTATTACAAATTCTTTCGTCTTTCTTGTATGCACACTGTTTGTATCTGCTTATTTTATTTCAAGAGTGGTGATTTAACCATTAATTTGATGATTGCATTTGAAGAATGAGCATCTGTTTTGTTTTATTGTATCTGTAGTTCCTCTAAGATATAATCAAAATTGAGAAAAAATTAGCTGTGTAAGTCCAAGAAGTTGCCCTTTTCAAAGAACCATCAAATTGTGACGAGCCCAAGGCATTTTTTGTGTTAGTGATAACTTGCAATAGTTTGTCTGTAAGACCTTATAAATGACTCTGATGAATCTTGCCGCTGTAAAACCATGGATTGCATTGTGGATCTGCATTCTAGTTTGAGTTGTGCCTTTTCTTTAACAGACTGAAGAGCTGAGAAGTTTAGACAAGTTTTTATGTTATCAGCTATGGATATCGTTACGCAGAATAACATTTCATTAACCTAATCTTGTACACTTCTGCATGAACTCCTTTTTACCTTTTAGCCTGCAATGTTATGTTATAGTCACTTGACGCTTTTTGGATTGGCTATCTTGTTGGCCTTTCTGATTCATTTAAATGTTTCTTAGCGGATCCCTCTGTTTTAGTGCATAAGGCAATAATGCTAGTTATGTTTGACTGCTTACATGGATTACTTGAATGTGGAATTTAGGATCTCCATATTCCTACTATTGCTGTTATTGAGGGAGTAGCATTAGGAGGAGGACTTGAATTGGCCCTATCCTGTGACCTTCGAATATGTGGTATTAGCTCTTCATCTACCTTCCAAGTCAACCTCATTTTACTTGAGGGATGGGTTCCTCATAGTCTGATATCCCTCATACGTCCTTGTTTTTGCCACTTATTGACAGGAGATGATGCGGTTCTGGGCTTGCCTGAAACAGGACTTGCTATAATTCCAGGGTATTGCCCAATTTTCTTAACTTGTATCATCCATCTTTTTCTAATGGCACTGCTTTTCTGTACGAAGCAGATCTATTGTCTAGGTGGTTAATCAAATATATGACAATCAAGGAGATTAGAATAAAAATTGGAAATCGGTAGGCAGGTTTTGGACTGGCAAGGCAGGTCATCATCTGCATCAATATTTGTTACATAAAATAGATATTCTTGGGAAAATTATTTCAACTAAAAAGTGGCCCTTTACAGTTAGGAATTGGATGATTTTAATCCGGCGCTGGCTGATATTCTTCAGCACTTTAAGAACCAAGTCTTTTTTCCACTTCTTACATATCTTTGCTTCATATGTTGAGCCCATTGTATAAAGATTGACGTAATTATTTTCGTCCGCATTCTCATTATTGCTTCCTTGTTGTCTTCTTTTGAAGCACCTTACTCATGAACCGCAATCATTGGTTATACTTATGTTATGATTCTGCAAAAGATCTTGTTTTTCACAGATCAGATAAAAAGTAGGGAATAAGCGGTTTTGCTTATTCTTCTTTCTGTGTAATTAAATTTCATCAAGAGTCAGGTCTCCTGTTAATAAGTGCGCAATATGCAAGAGGACTTGAATATGCCGCATCGCTTTGTTGTCCATCTTTAAGCGTCAGAGATATTAGATCTTCCTTCTACAGGGAAATCACTTCTCACTTGGTTTGTTTCTTTGCAGAGCAGGCGGTACACAGAGGCTTCCTAGATTAGTGGGAAAATCTTTGGCAAAGGAACTCGTATTTACTGGCCGGAGAGTTGGAGGCAAAGATGCAAAATCTATGGGTACATTTATCTGGTTCCTGGTGTTGTCCCTTTGATGAGCAGGGAAGAGGAAGTTGCTGCAGTGGTTCACATTGGCTATGTTGCAGGTCTTGTCAATCACAGTGTTGCCTCTGGTGAAGCTCATCTAAAGGCACTTGAAATTGCGAGGGATATCAATCAGAAGGTATGACATCCAGTTTTGCTATTTTTCACATGCGTAAAATGTACGTGGAAAACAATGGTGTAGCAACCAGATCATCCCATGATATATGGTCACGATACTTCATCTGGCTGTCGAGAGCAAAGAATTGATCCATCGAGTGGAAACGAGTGCTTGAGAGATGCTTTATCTCACTTATCACCAATATTATTATTCTTTGTTTTTCGGATTCAGCTTACTGCTCATAGATGCACCAAAACTAAAGGTCGATGAAGGATCAATCTGCGGAAGGATTGCTAGGCTGTTCATCAACTTAGAACATCTGTTTGACTGTATGAGGAATTTAACAAAATGTTTTTCCCTTTAAGGAGTGCAGAGAAGCTTGTCATAAATGTGAGGCTTGTGATGGTGCCTCGTATTGCTGACAGGATTGGCAATCATCGTATTTCCCCTCAAAGATACTCTAACATTAACCTCTCAAGAATGTTCATTCAGAACTTCAAGGAGCCGAGCTGTTATCTTTACCAAAAGGGTGATATAGCGAGTTTTTATTTAAGAACCAACTCCTAAGCATAGCAAGCTCTGCGGCTCTAGTTCCTGAAATACTTAAATGGCAACAACCGTTTAGTCCAAGTACTTTACCCTTGAGATTGTCGACACTTCTTGATCACCAAGTATATGCCCCCTATCGCTTCAAAGAATTAAATTGTTTCTCTGATAACGACATGTATAGAATATTGACGTGAAATTTCCCATCAATTTGTTGTGTCGAATCATCTATCGTCTGTTTTTTTTTGGTCATACATCTATCGTCTTTCATTACACACGTTTGAATTTCCTGTTATTTTCAGGGTCCATTAGCCCTCAAGATGGCTAAAAGAGCTATAACCAAGGGATTAGAGTTGGACATGGTATCAGCACTTGAGTTGGAGGAGGATTGTTACGAGCAGCTATTGAACACAAAAGATCGCTTGGAAGGTTTAGCAGCATTCGCCGAGAAGCGGAAACCCAAGTATAGTGGCCAATAGCAGACGCGTGCGGCTTCCGGATGAATTAGATCTCGGTTGGGTGTCGGCTTCATTTTTAGCTGCAGCGGTAGTAACATGTATCTATCCGATTACCGCAAGTGTTAACTCAGTCTGCTGATGTACCATTTGGTAGCTAATTCTACATATTATTAATGACCCAATTGGGAATAAACTGTGGCGCCACTTCACTACGAATTTGCATGGCAGTGCAAATGGCATTTTACAACATCGATTCGAATGAACCCCGACCGTTTGTTTTTTTATTTTAAGCTGTTGAGCAGACCTATGAGGCTTTTAGTAATGATCTTTTCCTCTTTGAATGTGAAGTTTAATGTCAACTCACGTTGAACAAGTCCAGTCCAAATTCGAAAAGTCAAGAAATGGATAAGTATTTTGTAGATGGGCTTATTCTATTTTAGTCCTTGAGCGCACGTGCACATGCTTTTTCCCTATTTGTCTGAGCTTTGGTCCGCTGTTCGGTGTTCACATTCGAGACAGGTGGGAACAGATTGAACTATTGTCTGAACGAAAAATGAATCCTTTGAAACTTACAACTTCAGAGCGTTTGATTTTTCTCCGGATTTTAGAGCTTTTTAATTTATTTGAGATGAATCCTTCGGTTCTCTTGTGCGAATTCTGATTCTTGTTGAACATTCTTCAAGTAAAGAAAAAAAATTTTTGCTCCTCACCCACGTAAAAACTACAATCAGAACTGAAGTTTCTCACGAAACAAGCACGCTCTAGTTCAAAGATGTTTGAATATTTGGATAATAACCCATTAAAAAAAATGAATATTTGGGAGGTACCCAATTAAGGAAAGCTTGCGATAATCAATATACTTATTCTTTGCTCATCCTATTCCTTATGCTTTACAAGACCCATGTTTTCCTTGTAAAAGGGAAATCGCATCACGAGCGCTAAGATCCAGTTCCCACTTCTTTCTCAATGCTGCTATGTATGAATTGGTAATGTGAAAATGGAAAAGATTTCAGCACTTCAAACGCTTAACCGTGGGCTTCCACAAAACTTCTCAATCATGCATTGACAGATCTTGTCGTATTCACAAATTCAAGGAAAAAAAGCAGGGGAAATCTTCCCTTTTATTCACTCTGTAGATATATCATTTCTTCCCCCAATTTCACTCCCAACAAATTCCAAAAAATCTATACTCCTACGCAACCGTCCTTGGCGCCTTTATCACATTGTCCTCGTCCCGTCCCCCAAGTGCTTTCACACTTCACCGTCGGTCTACATCCACTGACCAGTTGCTGCTGGCCACTTGTCCACATTGCCACTTGGTGTCCAACTTGCAAAGATCCATTCACAGCATCAGCAGCAGCAGCAGTCCCCACTTGCTCCGACCCGGCTTGAGCCGCCGCCGGTCTCGCCGTCCCGGCCGCCTTCTTCCTCCTCTTCGAGGCCTCGCTCTCCGAGGAGGAGGAGGAGGAGGAGGAGGATGGTGACGGCTCTGGCGATGACCGCTTCGACGTCACTCTAACTGGGTCGGGCTCGCCCGAATTGACCCGGAGAGGGAAATTCAGCAGCGCCCGCGAGCCGCGCATCCGGTAAGCGGCCCGGTCGTAAGCCAGCGCGGCGTCCTCCGCGGTCTCGTAGGTCCCGAGCCAAACCCGATGTCCGTTTTTTGCGGGGTCGCGAATCTCCGCCGCGAACTTCCCCCACGGCCGCTGCCTCACTCCCCTGTAGTGCTTCCCCTTCACGGGGACCGCCGCCTCGGCCGCCTTCTCCATCGGAAGGGCCGCCCCGGCGCCATCCGGCGAAGAAGCCAGCGCCGCCGGCAAGCAATCCAGCTCCCGCTTAATCACCTGGGTCGCCCCGAACCCGGCGTAGCCGGCATCAGGCGGCCCGCTCGGCTGAAACGGCGCCCAGCCGACCGTGACCGCGTCGTGGAGGACGCTGTAGAGGACCATGTCTTCCGGGTCATCTTCTTTGAATGGCAACTCACCCCAGTTCTCAGTCAGGCACGGGTACAGGCTGCTGAAGCGGGAGCTCCCGCCGAACACCGAGGCCACAGCAGCGCCGCCGCAGGATTTCCGGACCGGCTCGCACGGCCGGCACACGGGATCCTCCGACAGGTACCTCCGGATGGACTCGAGAAACGCCGGATCCGGTTCTTGAAACATCTCCACGGCCATGATCAACGTCGTGCAGAGACACCTTCAATCCGAAGAACTCCAACCTTTCGGCAGCTATACAGGTAAAGATCCGAACTATACACTTTCACAGGCACGGAGGGGAGTTCAGGACGATGATGGTGGGGAATTCTTCTTGGGGGATGGAGGAAGAGGACAGCATATATAGCCCGAGAAAATGCATGCACCTTCTTCGAAAGTTCGCGATCGTGCCAAGTTGGTGCGTGGCAGCGAAGAGAAACGTGCTCGAATTCCCCCGGGGGGGGGTCTTCTTTATTATACTTTTGCTAAGGTAAGGCCGATGACGTCGTGGCCAATGTTTTGTCGTTTTTCTGGTCGCTTGCGTGGACTTGTTGTCGTCGTCTCGCTGCTTTTTGATCTGTCCCGTTGCCGACGTTTTAGTCGCCCCCAACTTGCCCAACTTGTTCGCCCGGGGGGGTCGGTCCGTCCGTCCCATTTCATTCCGTTCCCACTACTTTATTCAAAAGGCACAACGACACAAATAATCCCTAAATTTTAACTCAATATGTAATTTGATTCCTGAATTTTAGGTTAATGTTCAATGTGGTCCCTGAACTTTTATTTTGTTCAGTATCATCAGTGAACTTTTGGTATATGTTCAATTCAAGTTGAGAGACTACATTGAACATTTTCATATAGTTCAGGGACTGAATTGAACATGTACCAAAAGTTCATGAACTACATTGAACATTTTCATATAGTTCATGGACCGAATTGAATATGCACCATAAGTCCATGGACTACATTGAACAAATTAAAAGTTCGGGACCACATTGAACATTAGCTTAAAGTTCAGGGACTACATTGAACAAATTAAAAGTTCAGGGACCAAATTACATATTAGGCCAAAGTTCAGGGACTGTTTGTGTCATTTTCCTTATTCAAAACCCCCTTCGCGAAATCACAATTTGAAAGATAATGAATTCGTATCGAGTATTCAAATTCGTAGAAGGAAGAAGAGAATTCGTAGATTTTATGCCGCCAAGCCACACGTATCGATTTGAGCTTCGAATCGCGACTCGTCGGCAAATTTCGATTTCCCCCCACCCCCCCCCAATGATCCGTTCGCATCTCTCTTGAGCCATTCTCTACGGGTGGTCATACCGCTGGGGAGGGTAAGATAACGAGCATAACAACGATTTAGGGGTATCTTACGGAAGATAGCAAACCGTGATCTCGAATGAAACCTGGCTTCGACCAAAAACGATGCTTTCGCTAAAGCGATAGGGTTGGCTCCACTTGGCTTCCATTAGACCGGACTAACAGAGGCCTAGGTGTGCCGGAAGTCACCCTTCCGGGGTAGAAATGTCCGCTGAATATAGGGTATCGTATTTAATTATTGCAATTCATTGCACGCATAACATTCTCAACTATGACCGATCAGGTACTCGACTTTCCCGGCCGCGATTACCTTTTTGAACTGATAATGTTCTATTTTCTTCGATGCAAATGATCGGTCGAATCAAAGTTTGTTCAATTTGGATGTGTGTTTGGCACACGCAAATTTCTTATTTGGGTCGTGCCAATTCAAGCTGGGGGCAGTCAAAAGAAGCACGTGTTAACAAGGGGGGCGGGAGGTTAGGGATTGTTACACCAACGTACATCGATCCTGGACATGTCGAGGACACAAAGTCTCATGATGGCCGCGGCAGGCCAAGTCAGCTGTCAATGTCAATTGTGAAATTGTTGTCACATGCCAATGTGTGTGACCCACCCACCACTCAATCTCAATTCGAGCTTATCCTTTCGTCTAGTACTAGTACTCCTTCCCCTTTCGAGGAAGGCGATCGATCCACTTGCCCATTTTCGATTAAAATCGCCCCGAAAGGGAAAGTAACACCACGTTGTTCACGTCCCGTTCGTTTTACGGAAAAAGGAATGGCTGAGGAAACATTTTCCTAAAAAAACGATCACTTGCATTGCCCGAAATAATTAGGTCCCCGAAAAATATTTTCATGATAGCAATTTACATAAAGGAGATACGAGCGATCGTTTTCAGAAAGGTATTTTTTGAATCATTCATTTTTCAACGATCGAATCGACCCTTAAAATCCGTTTCTTTTGTCTCCTTAAATTTCGTATTTTCCGCTTTTCCCTAATTTTAGGTGCGTTTTCTTTTTCCAAGTCGCTTTGGTGCGTGTACGGAGCTTCCCACTCGCCACTTGCCCCGATCCAAGTCACTTTGGAAGCGGACAACATCGCAATTTTGACGTGTACCGTGACGTCACACGCGAACATTGGCAAAGTTTATAATTTAAAACAACTTAAAAAGGGTTAATTTGAGAGACTAGAGTGCAACAAACTGCGATGTTGCCAGGAGATTATTAGGGTTTCTGCCATTAAGATTTCGAAAAATTTAATTTGTATTTGAAAAATTTTTTCATATGGGAAAATGATTTCTTAAAATTTTGGGGGGGGGGGGGGGGGGGGGGCGCGGGCGCCCCCGGGCGCCGCCCGCACCCAGGTGGGTTTTGAATATTTTTCCTGGACATTTGTTGATTTTTGGAATTTTTGGTTGTTTCTTTTTCCGAAATTTAAAATTTTCTAAGACTCGAACAAACCCTAATCTTGTCTCGTTGCTAAAAAGAAGGTAGCTGAAAAATACATGTGGGGACGACGCCGGACATGACGCCGTAATCAAATCGTGCTCTTCACTTCGTGCTTGTAGCTTTGGAATGTACTTCGAATTCGTCGGAACGATGCCGAATTAATATTCATTGGATTGCCAAACATGACATCGACCCCTGGCTTCGTTCCCGACTTTGTTTTTTTAGCTGAGGTATTGCGTTGCGATTACTTTTACCGTGACCGACATGTTAGTTCAGACGACTCTACACTCTCGAGCTCGAATATCGCACCAACATACTATTAGGATTGATTGCACAGATATAACAAAATAAAGAGTAAAGAGAGAGAGAAATCGAGACGTAAGGTTTTGTCCTAGTTCACCCTTAAACTAGCGGTAATTATTCCGCCATAGTTAACGCATCCCACCTTTCTGTTACAGCTCTCGATTACAAGAATAATATATTATGTAGAAGCTGCACAAGAAAACTCTAGGTCATTTAGTAGCTATTCATGAGCCTAACTCCAAACTATTCAACTACTTCAACCATTTCCGAACATCTCATGGCATTTTCAATTTTTCGGGGCGTTAACACGAGGTCAAACTATAAAATCCCTTTGGCGGCTCGGATGCGCTGCCCCCTGCAGGGCTGCAGGGCTGCCCTCGGACCCCCGCTAATTTATTAAAGAGTGGGACCCCGTGCATTTTTGTTGATGGGAATATGAATCACATCTCAAATGCAGGTATACCCTTTAAAAGTGAGTGTGTCCTATGCACAGCTAGCCAAAAACCTAGGAAGTCGGGTCATATTGTCTCCTATCATATGTTCCATTTTTAATGTATTCTTTCTCCCTGACTTTGACGAAGAACAGGCGGTCAACCTTGGACTCTTACCCGCACGAGCCAAAAGCCCTAGGCACGTGCGCTACGCCACCGGAAAATAATAATATTCCTAGCCCCAACATTATCATCGCACGAAATCAAGGCGAAGAAAGATGGACACGACCTGGACCCGCCACCAAATAATTTTCTCGTGCGAGATTAGAATAACCAAAAACACAAAATGCACACGAAGATCAATTTCAGCAGCACGTTTTTCAAAAGAGGACGATGTTTCCTGGGACCTTCTTGGCCTTTGCTTTTCTAATTAAAAAAAAAGGGGCAAGAATCTAGTAAAGCATAGGGTTAAAATTGTTTATTTATTTATTTATTTTGCTTTTATCTAACCACCGAAATATAATAACTTAATTCCCTTTAGCAAAGTCGCGACGTGGAAGGGGATTCCCAATCAAAGCACGCGACTAATATTTTATGAAAATCTTCTCTCGTCCTTTTTTATCTTCCTTTTCAGCCAAGTTGGTCACGGCTTAGGGTATGTTGGCATCCAGGGTCATCATCAGCAGCATTAAATTTACCAATTAATGTTAATCAATGCCTTCCATTGCCCCTTTTCCCTCGATGAGATAATCATGACGAAGCGCGAGATAATCATGGCGAGGCTCGCCAATGGTTGGGCTAGGCTCGCCCTCGCCGTGCTGTTGGGTGAGGTCGACCTCACTTACTCTTGCCTCCGACCGCACGGAGAAGAAAAGGAAACAAAAAGGAAAAAGAAAATAATAAAAATAAGTAAATAAGAAGTCGAGAAAATTATTAAAATATTTCTTAAAAATGTCCATGTTAGCAGCGGTCGCATCACGTCGGACGGTCAGTGTCCATGTTAACGATTTACGGTTAAAATTGATTGATGGACTGAATTGACACAAATGCAAAAGGTTTATGACTCAGTTGGTAAAAAGAAAAGATTTAGGATTGTATTAACACAATTGTAATAAGTTAAAGACTTCTTGGAAATTTTCCCGGCATCGAATTCGGACTAAAGAGTTTAAAAATTCAAATCATCAAGATTTTCTAGGAGAATATTTAGGGTTTCTATTAAGTTGGGAAATGATTGAAAATGATGCCTAAAAAGAAATGCTGCAATCCACTGCAATAATTTATTTTAATGTCATAGTTAGGGTGAACCTAAGTCAATTATTACGTATAAGATCAAAGTCCGCCTCCTAAAGTATGGTAAAAGAGTTGGCTGTTTACATTGAGATTAAGAGACTCACGATGAACTGATTAGTCGTAATTTGATCCGAAGAGGTCGTGTCAACCGGAAATAAAATACGAGACTTCATTTTCCTTTTTATTTTAGAATATTACATGGACCGCACTTTGGATGATATGCTATATATTCCTCTCGTTCAACCCTTTTCTTCTGAGATTCAACAGTTGGAAAGTTCAATTACTTAGATTGAATGATGATAGGCTCGAAATTTGAATTCAACCGTAAATTTAGGCAGACCTAAATGTCCAAAACTGAACAACGTGACAGAACATTGACCGTGTCTATTCGTTATTCCTCCTTTCCACTTGCTCTTCCTTCTTTGTTTAAGCCCACAGAAGATCTTCATTACTTCAAAGGCAAAACTAGCAAAGTTCATGGGGGCATTGCCTTAACATCAGAAGGAAGTAGAAATGAAAAAGAAGATGGAGGGAGACTGAAGATGCTCTACCCACAAAAGTTCATATGCAGATGTGTTAACAACGGGACGTCTGTGCTGGTGGAGAGCTTTCTTACTCTGCAAATGGAAAAGCACGATATCGAGTGGAAAGTGTTAGAATTGGAAGGAACCTTTGGATTTCGGTGAACAAGTGAAACGTGAGATTGTCCAGGTGGTCGGACGGACCAAATAGAATAAGAACAATTTGGATAACATAAATGCATCAATATGGAAAAGCACGATATCGAGTGGAAAGTGTTTTGGAAGGAATCTTTGGATTTCAGTGAACAAGTGAAACGTGAGATTGTCGAGGTGGTCGGACGGACCAAATAGAATAAGAATAATTTGGATAACATAAATGCATCAATATGCAAGGAAGGATCCATATGCAGAAGGCGAGAATAGATTGGGATCGGGTGAAATCGTCAAGTTTGAATGGATCATGGTACAGACAGAGTGGACAATACCCCACGTATCTGGGAACGAAGACCTGACTCTAAATCAATTTGATATAAATTCAAATTGGTGTTTTGGAGCCAATTTCAGGTCTTGGAATTCATGGAGAAGTCATAATAGGCACCGTCGAGATGAAATCGCCTTGATTTTCAGAGATCTCATTCAAGAAAGGTTGCATATGGATTTTTTTGTCTCAAAACAATGGTAGTATTATTGAAGGAAGAAGTCAGAGAACCATTTGATCTAAACAGATGATGATAATACAGATTGGAAACTGAAAATCTCATCTTCATTGTCAATCCATACACCTTCATCTGTTTAACTTTGCAAGGTCTTGTTTCTGCTTCTTCTAATCAGGGTGATTAAACACGAATCATCTCCTACGGTTTTTTCTCTCTCCGTTGTGGAGCTTCCTCTCTATCCCCATGGTGATAGTGTACCCACAAACCCTAACACTCCCTGTGTCCCTCACCAATCCTGCATCGTCCTCTTACCCTCCGTAGGTGTCCCCATTCCTCTGTCTCGCCACACTCACCCAGGGCAGTAGTCCCCTAACCCAAGTCCCCTCTTCAAAGTCAATGGATCCAGTTCACCTCGGGGAGCTTCTCGGTTTCCATTCCTCTTTCTCGTCTTCTTTACCCAGGGCAGCAGCGCCCTAACCCAAATCCCCTCATCAAAGTCTTTGTTTCCAGTTCGCCTCAGGGAGTTGCTTGGATCTGTCGAGGCCAGCAACCTTGCGCTCCGTTTACAGAATTCCCCTCCAAGGTAAAGAAAACGGGAGATCCAAGGTTGGTCAAGTTTTTACAAGTTTCAACATCGCCAAAACCCCTAAATTCTCCTCCCCTCAACCCCCCCAACTAGCGCCACCTACATTACTAGCCTCCGCTTCCATACCAAACCTCCCTCCTCTACCTCTTAACTCTCCCCTGTTCCTAGTCGCCGTGGACTAAAGAAGAACAAGTTGGTCTGAGCAGTTATGATTATGGTACCGGGGTCTCTAAGCCAGATGCTACAGTTTATTGCTGCCCCTAAGTAGATCAGTCAACCCAATCTCAGAGGCTAGTGGTAGCCGATCAAGCACATTACGGTAGGCAGAGGAGATTAGTCTTTCCTCTTTTCCCAACAGCCCCGATGGACAGCGAAGTAGGTTATGATGATCGCTTGGCAGCCTTGTGTAGAGAACTGGGCAACCTCTGGTCGGAAGACGATATAGTGTTATTGAAAGGCGAGATCCCTGTAGAAAAACAAATAGAATGTGAGCTAATGTTGTATGGGAAGCTGATTTCGAAACCAAACATGAACTATCAAGCTTTCCTAAGTACGATGAAGAGAGCTTGGAAGACCGACAAGGTAGAGTGCGAGTTAATTGAGCCGGGGTTCTTCTCTTTCTCGTTCAGTTCAATTAAGGAAAAAATGAGAGTTTTGGAAGCAGGACCATGGTCTTTTTCCAGTAACTTACTTGTACTACTACAAGGTGACCCGGATACTCCCGACCATTGCTATGAATTCTCTCATTGTGCCTTTTGGGTACACCTAGTAGGCATCCCACGTGGGAGGATATCAAATGAAGTGGCTCGGGAGGTTGCAGGGAAAATTGGCAATGTTCTAGAGGTGAAATTTGAATCTAAAGGAGGCAGCCCAAACAAGAGCTGCAAAGCAAGGGTCCAAATGGACCTCTCCAACCCTTTGAAAGCGGGGACCATCGTAGACCTGGAGTACAAAAAACTTTGGGTGGACTTTAGATATGAAAGACTACCACATTTCTGCTATACTTGTGGCCGTATAGGGCATTATGCTACATGCTGCAAAGTGGTGCCATTTGAGGAGTCGGGGCCAAACAAAAATACAAGGGGCAAATTCGGACAATGGTTGAGAGCGGAAGTACGCGAACCCAGCCCTTTTTGGAAGATCTTTTACGGAAAGAATAATCCTATGCCTGAAGAAGATGTTATTATTCCGGAAACACCAAGGGATCTAATCCCTAGGGAGTTAGTGACGCCTAGAGCTAAGGAGAAGGAAGTAGCTGGGCTGCTTGGGGACAAACCACACACTGAGAATCCAAGGGGACTGAACCCACCAGCTGAGTTGTCAGATGAAAATCAGCAAGGCCTTGATATACAAGATTCCCAGATTACCCTCTTTCAGTCGACAAAGAAGGGTAAGTCAGCAAAGCTTTCAAGGATGGAGAAGATCGGACTGAAATCCTTTAAAAAGGTGGCAGCAGCGAAGAAACAGAAAAAATTCATCCCACTTGGTATGTGTGAGATTCTCAACCAACCTTTTAACGAAGAGACGCTCCTTGATGCTCCGATCCTTTTGGCGGAAGGAAGGAATGAATGGGCTTTGGTGGCTAGCCCTAATAAGCCACCGGGGTATATATGAAACTATTGAGCTGGAACTGCCAGGGGTTGGGCTCTCCCCTGACAGTCCAGCATCTCAGAGCCCTAGTGGCTCAAGAAAGGCCCAACTTAGTGTTCCTGATGGAAACTAAGAACAAGAGTCCAGTTGTTGACAGAATTAGAAGGAGTATTCAATTTCAACATTCAGAAATAGTCGACCCTTTAGGATTAGCAGGTGGTTTGGCGGTGTTGTGGAACGAAGAGATGTCAGTGCAAGTGGAAAACAGCTCTAGAGAGTTTATTGATATAGTGTGCAGGGACCAAGACAGGGGAACTCTTATGCGTATAACCTTCCTATATGCTCCAACAAATTTGCAGCAAAGGCTACAGCTTTGGCACCGAATTCAAGCTATAAACCAAGCTAATAACCTTCCATGGATTTGTGTAGGGGACTTTAATGAAATCTTATACCATTGGGAAAAGCGGGGAGATAGTGCGGCGAACCACTATAGGCTAGTAGCATTCCAGGATTTTCTAAATAGATGCTCACTCATGGACATTGAAAGCAAGGGATGTGCATTCACATGGGCGAACAACAGGGATGGAGAAGCACTAGTGCGGAAGAGGTTAGATAGGGTTCTCTATAATATCACCTGGAGAGTGCGATTCCCCAACGCGGAAGCTATTGCCCTACCAGCAATAGGATCCGATCACAGCCCTATTATTCTGTCTCTTTCCCCAAGGACAACCAAGCGGAAAAAGGAATTCAAGTTTGAGGCGTTTTGGCTGGAGGAAGCTGATTGTAAGAAGATGGTGAAGGAAATTTGGCAGGGACCTGAAGTCAACTCGGGAGTTTTCATGAGCAAACTGAAAAAGACCACTGATGCACTGTCAGTATGGAGCAAAAACAAATTCTCCAACGCCCATAATCAGATTGAGTCACTAAAAAGAAGACTTACGACCCTCACAAATACAGGTACAAGGGATTCCAGCATTAGAGAAATGCAGCACATTAAGGTGCAAATTGAGAAACTTTGGCGACAAGAAGAACAATATTGGGGTATGCGTTCCCGTATTAACTGGATTAAATGGGGAGATAAAAATACGAAATATTTCCATGCCGCAACGGTCCAGTGCAGACAAAGAAACAAAATATCATTGCTGAAAATAGACGATCTCTGGGTCCGAGATCCCAGTGGGCTGAAGCAACATATTGCCAATTTTTATGAGTCTTTGTACGAAACAGTGGGTCCAAGGAACTTCCAGCCAGTACTGGACCAGTGCACTTTTCCTGCTCTATTGAATGAAGCATTAACGGCGCCGGTGACTTTAGAAGAGGTAAAACTGGCAACTTTTCAGCAAGGGGCAGCAAAAGCCCCGGGACCCGACGGGATGAATGGCCAGTTCTACCAACATCATTGAGAGGACATTCGACACGATTTACACCGGCTAGTCAGCACTTTTTTCCAAACAGGTTACCTTGACCCAGATATCAATAAAACACACATAGTTCTCGTCCCCAAAGTCTCTACCCCAGAAAATATCACACAATTCAGACCCATTAGCCTTTGTAACTTCAGTTACAGGACCATTTCTAAAGTGATGGGAATCGACTAAAGCCATGGCTCCCGAACATCATCGCAATAGAACAAAGCGCCTTTGTTTGTAGGAGACAAATTCAAGATAACATTCTAATAGTTCAGGAGATCCTTCATCAACTGAGAATTAGGGAAAGAAAACGGAAGTTCCAGGCGATTCTCAAGCTGGATATGCAAAAAGCATATGATAGAGTGGAATGGGATTTCCTTTGCGCCTGTATGCTGAAAATGGGTTTCTGTGCGGAATGGGTGGCTTTAGTGCAAAAGTGCATATCCACTGTAACTTTCAGTGTCAAAGTAAATGGGGAGCCCTTACAGTATTTCCACCCATCACGGGGAATTAGACAAGGTGATCCACTTTCTCCTTACCTATTCATTATCATGGCCAACGTGCTCTCGTCTCTCCTAAACAAGGCTGTGGAGGATGGGAACTTGAAGGGGATCAGCATGAACAAGAATTGCCCAACATTGTCACACCTACTTTTTGCCGATGATGCAATATTCTTCTTGGATGGGAATTTAAGGGAGTGTCAGAACTTGGCCAATATCTTAAATCAATACTGCTTTGCTTCGGGACAAGCAATCAATCTCAACAAATCAGGGATATTCTTTAGTGCTGGCTGCCCTCAGTCCCTTAAGAGCAATCTGGCGGCCGAACTAAGAGTACCTATCATGGAGAAAACTGGCAAGTACCTTGGTATCCCATCAGATTGGGGGCAAACAAAAAAACAAATTATTGCGTGGATTCTAGCCAGCGTAAATATGAAGATGGAAGGTTGGAAGGAAAAATTGCTTTCAAAGGCGGGCAAGGAGATTTTAATCAAAACAGTGGTACAGGCACTGCCCCAATATGCCATGTCGATCTTCAAAATCCCCATATCGGTGTGCAAGGCAATTGAGCAAAAAATCGCATCCTTTTGGTGGAAACAAAACTCTTCCACATCGGGTATCCACCGGAAAAAATGGGAGACCCTTAAAGAAAGAAAAATAGATGGAGGTTTGGGTTTCAAGGACCTCGTTATCTTTAACGAGGCAATGCTAGGAAAACAAGCATGGAGACTTGCACAAGATCCGAATGCATTATGGAGTCGGCTACTTAAAGGAATCTACTTTCCAAACGGAAGCTTATGGTATGCGAAGAAGGGCTCTCGGCCTTTGTGGGGGTGGCAAAGCTTGTTAATGGGAAGGGATGCGATTTGTTCAGAAGTTAAATGGCTGGTGGGGAATGGAGAAAATATCAACATTAGAGAGGACAAATGGTTGGAACAAGGAACTATCGGGGGTCCAGCAAATCGAGAAGACCCCCAAAGAGTCGCCGAATTGATTAATCACGAGACTAATACTTGGAACGTAAACCATTTGTATGAACTTTTTGAAGAGAACATTGTGACAGAAATTCTTGCCATTCGGATCAAGCCAAACCCGCAAAGGGATAAACTCGTTTGGACAGGAAACTCAACAGGCGAGTACAAAGTCAGACATGGGTACTCCAATCTCCGTGCATCTACACCAAAGCAAAACGCAGAACAACCATCTTCCTCATATCAACCGCCCCAAGCCCTATGGACTAAGATTTGGAAATTACATACCGAGCCCAAGATCTGTTTCTTCTTGTGGTGTGTGTGCCATAATGCTCTTCCCACAACAGAAAACTTATTCAAGAGAAAGGCGTTACCTGATCCATTGTGCCCAATTTGCCGGAAAAATCCTGAGACCACAGAGCACATCTTCATCTTGTGCGACTGGACCAAGGAGATTTGGTCAGATCCAAGGCTAAAGGTGGACATCTCACCCCTAAACTTAACAAGAATGGACAAGTGGATTGAAGAAACTCTTACTGGTGGCGCAAAGCAGTCCTCAAGAGAGCTGGTCGCAGTAATACTTTGGCTGGTCTGGAAGGAACGGAATGCCCAGATTTTCCAACACAGAACACCCAACCCAGGAACAATTGTTGACGACGCCTTCCTCCTCAGCAGCAACTATTGCACGCTAAACTCATCTTAGTAGAGTTGATGGGTGGAGAAATCCTTACAAGAACACTGGACGCTACCAGCAGCAGGGTCGTGGAAATTCAATGTCGACGGGTCTTGGATCGAAGGATCAACAGAGGGATCGGCGGCTGGGGTTTGTCGGGATCACAAAGGCGTGCTCAGGGTTGGGTTTGCTAAGAAGGCGATAGGATCTTCTCCGCTGGAAATCGAAGCCACAGCCGTGAAGGAAGCTCTGCTTTGGCTGCGGGATATGTCGGAACAGAGGAAGGAATCTGTGGAACATGTGATTATTCTATCCGATAACGTCTCCTCTGTGAATTTTGCTACTCATCCTTCTCTGAGCCCGTGGGCTTTGAGAAGCCTCTTTGACGAATGCCATGAGCTGCTTGCCCAATTACAAGATGTTTCTCTGGCCCACTGTTCTCGAGAAGCCAACAAAGCCGCGGATTGGATCGCCAAGACTCACTGAACAGGGACCCTCCCCTCCAATTGGTGTTCTAAACCACCCCAACCTCTTTGGGATTTATTTTGTTTAGACTTGTGTCAATCTGGCTCTTGTAATACATCGTTTTATGAATGAAGTGATATGTGTTTTGACCAAAAAAAAAAAAAAATCAGGGTGATTTGATGGGAGAAAGCATAAACTTTGTCCCCAATCAATCCAATTAACACGAGCTCACTGGTGCCAGTAGATTTCCTCACATAACTAAACCTCTTCCAATTTTGCAATGACTTCCCATTGTTTCAGAAGATCGGCTATTTCCATCTTCACAATCTTGCAGGCTCTTCGGTTCTGCTTTCAACTGCTCAATCTACTTCAAGTAATTAAAGAAGGTCTCCTCACTGCACTACCTCAGATCAGTTTGGCCATTTTTTAAGACTTTTTTCCACTCGTTTAAGATCTTCTCTTTCAGTTTCCACATACCATGCCTTTTGAGTTATTCCTTTATGGCCTTCACTCTAATCTGAATGGCTTTGCATTAATCTTATCTCCATAATCAGAGTCAACTATCAATGGAAAATGTTATGATCCTGTAGAAGGATCACGCAGTACTTGAGTTCAAGGGAGGAACAGACTCTTCCAAGCAACATTCACAAGGCCTCCATCTTTCTCTTATAGTTCTATCCTCTCTGTTGTTACACCAGGTGAATCTCTGCCTCTTGAAGCCATGATCTATTAAAGCAGTATCAAAAAACATGTTTTAAAGCCATCTATGCTTCTGGCAGACTTCATATTGCCTTTGCCTCCGCTCTTTTCACGAGTGTTCCTCACATCGTTGAGTTCACCAACGTGAAGCCATGGGTGATGATTTGACACTGCTATCTCCCTCAGCTGCATCCAATTCTTTTACCTTTCAAGGAAATCAGGGTGGTCATGTACCTAGGTTATTCTCACCTCCCTGACCCTCCACTTGCTCTTCTTGGAATGAGAAAAAATAGCTATGAGGAAATACATTAAATGCTGGAATCTGGTAATTAACTTTGAATTTCATATCCATTAGAAACATTGCCCACAAACAGAAATTCACCAAACCACTGATGCAAACAGAGGCAACAAAACAAAAAATAGAAATTAAAAAGTGCCTATTCATATCTGGGACTTCTATTTGGTATACTGGCGATGTAAAAAAACATTACATAAGCAGGGCTCAGGTGCTGAGTACATGTATATTTTATAATATTTAACTTTAACAAATGAGTTCATTCCATTAGTAGATAATAGTTTCCATTTTATGATTACTTGTGTAAAGCATACTTTATATTGGCAGTGTACCATATATCTATGTCAGAAATGTGGAATCCAAATAACAGATTGATGCAATTCAATGGTCTTTATGACTTGATTTCGGTGCATCATCGACTTCGATCGGCAAAACCAATTGACCAAATTAAGGCACATCGCCTGCTGGTTTTGATATTGATACAGATTGTAGCGAGATGTGCACCATGTTCCTCTAATCAGCTTCTCGGGCTAATCAAGGCAATCGCAGTCAATTAGATTCACAGTTGACTCATAACAATAATAGAACCTGCAAATGCCCAAAGTGTTTATATGGGAGTATATGTTGCCTTAGGGAAGCGATGCTAAAGCTACGAGGAGATTTGGCTGCGGAATTTGTGAGGTAGCATTTCCGGGCCTTTGAGAAATATACGGTATAGTTCTTGTCTTGGATCAATGACATCCTTGCAAGGGATAAACACCACTCTGTTAGTTCATCACTGGGATTCCTGTTGGAGGATCAGAGAGAGGCCCAAGAATTTTCATGGTACTAAAAATCCATGGACTCTCACTTTGATCAGCATGAATGAACTAACAAAATCCACCACCAATTACTACTATCACTACCTTTAATAAGGACATGCCGCTGATCGAATTCATCGTAGTTAAGAACTTATTTTCTTAACTACCCGGTTAGTGTAGTTAGTTTCGTAATGTACCCGTTTGATTCTGCCGATGAAAATAGAGCTGTTGAATGGGATATGCTTGTAATCTGACTTGGATTGGCATGTTAATATTTCCAGTTGTGCATCGTGTGGGCTAAATAGAAGCCATATACAATGAGATTTAAGGGCTTTTAGAAGGAATGGAGGGTTACAACATACCTAAAACGAAGAAGTCCAATTCTGAGGGTGCTTCCACTGGAGTCCATTTTTGTTGTTTTTTGGTCACTCCTTTCATAACTTCAAGTGGGTTCGGCATTGCAGAAGACATAGGCCTCGGAACAGATGAGGTCCCATAAAATTCTTGAGGTACTATAAATTCAATTGCTAGGGAGAGAATTCGCCTATGGGCCTCAGAGACTTTCCTTCCCTAGAGCAATGGGCTATGCTGGTGTTCTTAAACTGGGCCAGCTGAAGTTTGCAGGAGAAAGTTAATCAAGCTCTTGTTTGCCAAAACATGGATATGTTCTACAAGCTAGTATCAAGAAATCAGACAGCTTTTCATTTCCCAGACTCTCAATCAGTTTGCATCTATCCAAATTTTTCTGAATTTTTTCTTATGCAGTATGAGCACTGATTGAGCGACAACGGGCTAACATCTTATATCTCGACCAATCTTTATAATTTCTTACAGGTTCCAGAATGTAAGTAGAGCAAAACGCTAGTACTAACTGTGGACTCCGCCTATATGATCGAGTTCTCGCCTTTTCCATAAGTTCTATGATCCATCCATCATCCAACATGGACGCCATCCAAACCAAAGCTATTGTGAATTTCCTCTCCTCTTTCTAAAGTATGTGCAACTATGTCAATGTTCATTCATGATGCACATTCACAGTAGTTTGCACAGAAATCAAGGCACTAGTTCAGCCCTTGGGTCTTCTTGGTTCCTCATGCATACAGAAAAGATGAAGAAACTGGAAAGTTTGACCGGCAATTGGTTAACCAGAAAAGAAAGCAACATACACTACGGGATGATGGGGATCAAGGAATGTTTGTTTAGAAATTTTTCCATACCATCTTTCAGTACAAATCTCAAACCCATGCTACTTCTACTGCAGTAACTTTCGTAATCGCAATCCGCACTGATTACTTGACTGAGCCAATTTTAAAAAGAAAAATAGAATGCGCGATTAAAGGCAGTATTTATTTATCCAACTGTTAGCCTATATCTAAACCCTGACTATGGTTACGGTATGGAAAAAACCGCATCTACATGAATCACGTCGTTGCAAAATGAGAATTTTCTCATGGGTCGCATTTCAGAAGAATCGCAAGAATCAAAAGCATAGTATTCCAGTTTAACAACTTGAATCAGACTTCGTGCGACAGGGAACTAATTTACAGGGTCTGTTAACTGCTAAATAGAGACTAAACAATGAAGGAAGTGGAACCGGCTAACTAATCAATTAGACAACACAGTTGCTAAGAACTGGTCATCCTTGAACTACAGTTGTTTTCGCTCTCCCCTAATGACTATTGTCTGCACTTAATACGGGGGAGTGGTTGAGGAAAGTGGATGTTCGAAAATGGACCAAAGACTGCGAATATTTAATACAAGCTGAGACCTTTGACCGCTTCTTTGCTGTCCGCGCTCTTCAAACGCTGAGCAAGTGACCGTGAGCAAGCCCAACAAGGAAACACGATTGCCTTGCTTATGTTCCACGAGGGGACCCAACCAGGGCGAGACATGAAAAGTTCCATTTTTGTTTTGCGGGGTATGCTTTTGCCGAGCTAGACCAAAGGATGAGAATCATTCTTTTGCCACAAACTTACTCCAACAGAGAAAACCGTCATCTTTTCTTGGCGTCTGGCTGGTTCTGTAGCTAAGCTAATAACAAAAAGGACACTTTGTCTTGATTTGTTAAGATAAAAATTATAAGCTCTTGGGCTCGAATTTCTATTACGATTTTATAACGTGGCTCTGGTGCCAACTTTGAGATTGAGTATATAGTCGATGATTCGTTAGATATTAGCGGACTTCAAATCTATAGAGATGCGCGTCCATTCGAATCTTGTGTGTCGGGGAAAGAACCAAGTTGGAAGATTTGGTCTCCACAAACAATGGTTTGCCATCTCTTTCAAGATTTTATAAACAAATTGGAAACTAGAAAAGCGCGATCATTCCACACTTTCTATAATTTTTGTCTGTTTTGGTCGCAGAGGCAGCTTTCGTCCAACTTCCAGGATCTTTACCCTGCTGTTTGACAGATGTTTCATGGGAATAATTCTGCTTAAGCGCTAAAAGGAAAAGTCTCAGACTCTCAATCTCTCAATGAAAAAGGAACGTCTCTCTCTCGTTTCATTTCACATCGAACAAATCCAACCCCACATTCCCAACAATCAATGTTCACATTTTTCTTGGGCAAGAAGACTCACAAATATGTCAATTGGGTCAAGACGAAGCCTCAATGACCCTGGAATGTTACCTGCTGCAATGGAGTCCATCCCCATTGAAAGATCAGTAACAAGACAAAACCCATCATCCTACCAACCTTGACACGCAATTAATTATCCGACATTTCTTGTTTTTTCCCCCGCTTGTTTCGTGTGTAAATGGCAGCATCTCTTTGGCTTTGATACTAAGGCAGGTTACCTCGTGAACCAAAAAACCCCTCCTTTACGACCAAATCCTACGTTCGCTCCTCAACTTTGTCTCCTCTGCCCTCGTCCTCATAGAATGTATCATCAGCCAATGGTTATCGATTCCCCTCCAATTGAACAACATTATCCATTGGATAAACCTTGCCCTTCGGGGGAGGAGTTTCCACGAAAATATGCGAGTACGGAGCTGCAGAGACCCGTAAAATAGAAACTTTGTGCAAGGGACAAAACTGAGGTAATTATCTGCTCCCAACAAATCAGACCCATCGAGGGTCTCTTTTGACTTTCAACAGTAAGGAACAATCCAACGGTTCAAATTGAAAATTAGGAAAATGGAAAGATAGACTAACACACTCTGAGCAATAAGGGAATACAACAGAGCTTGGGAATTGTTCGATCTCCTGATGAAATCAAGTCATGTAAAGGGCAAATTTCACAGATGTATAGATACAGACCGGTAAAACTCAGTATTTGACCTGACAGTAATTTCGTATGTCGAGCCTTATAGACCGCAAATGCCAATCACAAGTCATTATCGAAACCGAGAAATTATATGTTACGACACTTCGAGAATGTTTAGTACAGCTTTCTTTTTCAAAGTTTGGGCCGTGAAAAGGACGTTGAGGTTTTTATGAAGTGCTTAGCGTTTCCACGGTTGCAATAACCTTTGATTGGAGCCTGACAGTAATTTCGTATTTCGAGCCTTATAGACCGCAAAAGCTAATCATAAGCCAGTATCAAAACCGAGAAATTATTTGTTACGACGCTTCGAGAATGTTTAGTACAGATTTTTTTTTTGGCCAAAGTTAGGGCTGTGAAAAGGATGTTGAGGTGTCTTAACGAAGTGCCGAGCGTTTCCGCGGTCGCAATAACCTTTTGAAAAAGCTTCTTCATCCAATTTCCACGCAACATCACTTTTACCATAAGGATTGCGAACACATCGCGGTACAATACAACAACAACTGTACTGGATAATCTTTTCTTGGTACTGGAATTATTACAAAATACATCGCCACGGACCGCGTTAAGATTCGGAAACAAAGAATGGTGGGGGGAATATAATATTGTTAGAAGGAAGAAAAGGGAACTCGAAGCAGTGCCTTTGCTCACACCATCGTGTTAGAGCAGGAACCAACCGGGAAAGTCACTGTTCAGGATGCGAAACCGAGTCACCTCTATAAATACCCTCCTCGTCTTTTGATCTTTTCCGCACTCTCGAGTCTCCAGAGAGCTTCCAGAGAGCTTTCCATCGGGCATATTCCAAACCTTCTCCGAAGAAGAAGAGAATCCAGAGCGGAAAGGTCTCGCGTTCATCACTCTCGCTCTCTCTCTCTCTCGGGCACTCCACCAGACACACAGCTTTTACATCGAGAAAATGGCATCATCGTCGTCGTCATCCGAGGCGTCGAACGAAGTCTCCAACAAGCTCCAGCTCATCAAGCAGCTCCTGCTCGGGGAGTCCTCTCCCGTCGCGAGCAATTACCCCGGCGGCGGCTTCCTCAATTGCGCCGAGGCTCATCGGGTCGATGGAGCTGGCAAGCAACCTGAGCTCGGGTACTCGCGATCGGACTCTGTTCGCACGCAAGACTCGAGCTCCCACTCGACCATCACCATCTCGGAGCTCGACTGCTTCCACGGCTCTGATATCTTCAACTTTGATCTGAGTTCGGGTCCAATCCAAAGTCCTGCCGACCTCTTCGAGTTCGAGGCCAAACCTCAGATCATCGACCTCACTGCTCCGGAATCGTTTTCGAGCTTTTCCTCGAACCGGGAGTCGAGCGGCTTCATCGAGTTCGAATCGAAGCCTTTGGTTTCGACCGCCAGCAGCTCGCTGCAGGGCAGCTCGAGTCAAGCGAGCCGGAAGCCCTCGCTGAAGATCTCGCTCCCTAACAAGGTGGAGTGGCTCCAGTTCAGCAATGGGGACCGGGCGCCGGCGGAGGTCAACGCGCCCCCGCCAGAGGAGGACCACCGCCACTACAGAGGAGTCCGCCAGAGGCCGTGGGGGAAGTTCGCCGCGGAGATCCGGGACCCGAACCGGAAGGGCTCGCGGGTCTGGCTCGGCACCTACGACACCGCCGCCGAGGCAGCGAGGGCGTACGACAGAGCAGCCTTCAAGCTCCGCGGCTCCAAGGCGATCCTCAACTTCCCGCTCGAGGCTGGCAAGTCCCAGCCGATGGCTTCCCGGGATCACAAGAAGCGGCGCCGCGAGGAGGAGGCCGGAGCGGTCACGAAGAGGGAGAAGTCGGCGCCGAACTCCGGCGAGCACGGCTACCGCGAGGAAGCGCCGTTAACGCCGTCGAGCTGGACGGCGATCTTGGATGGAGACGTGAAGGGGATGTTCAACGTCCCGCCGCTGTCGCCGCCGTCTCCCCACCCGGCGTTCGTGTTCCCGCAGCTGACCGTTATTTGAGGAATCAATCTCAGTTAAATTTCTACCTCGCTTTATTTTGTGGATTTTTCTAGGGAGCGTAGTATTGTGCATAGGGTTGAAAAAAGAAAAAAATTTGGCCAAACTCAAGAGATTTGTTCAAATGATTGCGAAATAAAAATTTTATATATATTCGATCTGTCTTATGCATTGTAGCTAAATAGGCTGAAAATGACTTTGATGGCATTATGGATAGATGCGAGATATAAATGTGGCAACATTTGGAATTGGTCAGCCTGGCGAGACAACGTACACCATGCAAATTGCTTCGTCACAAGACAGGACTGGGGAACAACATTCCTGTTACTCACGTATTGAAAGGATCAACATAGGGGGTGCACATGGATTTCGATGAGAAATATCAGACATTATTAATGAGCTCGTTATATATAGAGTACATGGAATTTATTCAACGTGCTTATCAACGACACGTCTAGACGATTGTGTCGGGGTAGCTGTTTGATGGCTTCAGCTTTGGGTTCGTGCTCCCAATTTCTACGACTCAGATATTCTATGCGAAAAAGACCGCTCTTGTGGACTTACATATAGCGTTTATTCTCCTCTATTTCTTATCGGATAATATCTAATCGGATATTTTACCATGGGTTATTAATATGGACATCACTCCAATCGAAAGCTGGATTCGTCCGAGCAGGGACGAATGAAAACGCGGTCAAATTTTCTTTTGCCAAATACTTTTCATCTTCCATGCGTGCACCGGTACGTTATAGTATCATGATGTTCACTTACCTAATTGTTGGTCGAAGTCATTTTTTTTAGTTTTTTCGGTTGGAGTTATTTGACTATGAACAATATAGCAAATTCATAACAGGCTCGACGTGCAGTCTATATCCAACCGAATTCAAGACAAAATTTTCTTTGGACCACTTCAACTGTTTATGTACAAAGACTTTCGTGCAAGGAGTTTCTTTGCAATCTCATCTTTCACTTAGCTATCCTCAGAGAATCCAATAATCAAGTCAACTGTTTGTTTGTGTATCTGAAACCCTTTTCTTTGGCAGTGGAGAAACCAGCTTTTATCTAATCATCTCAGACGCAGTGTGATCTGATCTTCAAGGCCAAATAAAGCACTAAATGAGCGGCATGCCATGCATTATCCATGCTTCATTTACATAAAAAAAAAAGGAAAGGGGAAAATTGTCCAAAATGTCCTATTCCTATTATGCGGAGGCCACTTAAGTCCTAAACCTTTCAATTGTACTAATTTAGTTTTAAACTTTTTGACGATTTATCAATTTAGTCCTAAACCTTTTAATTGCGTCAATTTAGTCCTACACCTTTCGATGATTTGCCAATTTAGTTCTAAATATTTTGATGATTTGCCAATGTATAGTCCTTCCGACCAAATAGCCGAATAATAGGTATAGAACTCAATTGGTTAATATTCAAAAGGTTTTGGACTCATTGACACAAAGAAAAGTTGAGGACTAAATTGGCAAATCGTCAAAAGGTTTAGGATTAAATTGGCACAATTAAAAAGTTTAGGACTTAATTGGCTGCCGTACAACATGTTTAGGTCTTTTTGGATAGAAAGCTTGTCATCCATCTTCCACAATCTTCACTAGCTTTTACAAAATAGAAAAAAAAAAGAAAATAGTTTTATCATTGGGTGTAGCCGCTTACTCAAAAGTTTGTACCGTCAAGACATATTTTAACATCCTCTTCCACACGAGAAGGCGGTGAAAGCCTAAACACAAGGAAACCTAAATAAGAAAAAGAAGTTATGCAAAGAGTTGAACGGGAAACCCTAAGATCAGTTGTTGACCAGAGGTTTCGTGACCACAAATTAAGGCTTTCCGTGACCAAAGATTACCAAAAAAAAATGAACGCTTTTATGAATAGAGTACACGTATATTTTCACCATTCATTTCAATGGCCGGCGTCGCCTTGATTTTATTATGCCCAACACTTCATTGCAATAGTAAATTGGTAGACATATATACTCTGATCGATCGAGTCTTGGATCGGCCAGAAGTTTAGTCGTCGTCCTCTTCTTCCACATTGCCGTCTCTGCGAGTCTAGTCGTCGGATGGTTTCCCATGCCCATGTCATCACATTCTTGTCCCCCTTGTCCAGATGCTTGGCCCTCGTACTGTTCAAAGTTTCCCCGGTCTTGGGTTGACCTGGAAAAACTTGGCTGTCCGTTGCTGATACTTTCTCTCCTAGCCTGAGTTGATCAAGGCTCGAGCGTGGAAAGACTGGCTTGCAATATCAAGCGCATCGTCAACTGTAGTGAGCTTCTGCGTGGAGTCAGCAAAGCTAGAAACAATGAAAGAGAAAGGTGTTTCTGATGGTGATGTAGTAACCCCGTGGAAGGTGCTTCGTTGCCCAAGAGACCAGTTCACTTGCAAGTTCACGGGACTTGTAAAGGTAATTAGGTTAGATTATCTGTTTTTGTCGATGACAAACAAACAAAGGGGTGAGTACAAGATGACAATTTATATGCTATCTGTTCATCCTTATCATACAGATTATAAAGATATTTGATGTGTATATAGAATCTGTTGATCGTTGATCAAAGTTTAACCTTTTATGCTAGCGCATGTTTTAAGTCATTTGAAAACGCGGTAACATGGTACCGGTATTCATACTGGGGCGGTGCTAAAGGTAGGGAAAGTCTTTCATGTGATGTCAATACCTTATGAAGACAAAGAGGCGGTAATTTACATCATGGTCACTATATTTTATATTGCATATTCAATAAAATTACTACTGATAAGATAAAATAGAGGCGACAATTTATACATGATGTGTCACATCTCTGTAGTTTTTAAGTTACGTTTGTATTGTTAGATAGACATGTATGAATATAGTGTGGCTTGTTTAACATGACCACAATATCTTCTTTAGTATAAAATTTAGTTTTACAGTGCCTTTATTCACAAAATTTACGTGCTAAAAGTGATTATTTATATTAAATAAAGTAATATCAGGAGAAAAGTAAGAAAATAGGGACAATTCATTTTTTTGTTTATTTAGTGAAATACCTGAAGTTAGAAATTTTATTGAGTTACATAAGTAAAAATAAAAATCAGGGGAAAAGTAAGAAAATAGGGAAAATCCATTTGTACTATCGTCGTTAAATATTAAAGGAAAAAAGTTGCAAGTCATGTCATGATTGATCAAGCCCGCACCACTCATTTAATTAGACAAGTCCCATGAGCAATTAATTCGGGAACCCGAACACTCGCAATTCGTTAACATCGTGGCCTCGTGGGTAGACACAATAATGACCTACTTGATTAAAATGAAAGGTCTTGTTAACAAGCGATTCTAGAACACTAGTTAAGTTAATTAAAAGTGGAAATAAAAATTCAAGACCCCTCACAAATGGAAGAATTACACATTTTTAGTTGGGGTTAATATAACGAAAAATCCAAACTGATACATTTATGAAAAATTTATCCCAAATTAATTTTTTGATCACAAAAAACCCAAAACTGGTACACTTGTGACAAATTTACCCTAAACTAATTTTTTGACTACAAAAAACTTCAAACTGGTATACCTGTAATAAATTTATCACAAGTTAATTTTTTAACCACCAAAAACACCAAACTGATACACCTGTGACAAATTTACACAAAGTTAAGTTTTTAACCACCAAAAACCTCAAACTGGTACATTTGTGACAAATTTACCATCCGTTAGTTTTTGTTAAAGTGGATTAATATCACAGAAAATCACAAATTGGTACACCTTTAACAAACTGGTACACACGTCAACTGTCATAAGTCATCTAACTCCATAATTTGATAGCAAAATTTAACGAAAACTGACGAAGTGTAAATTTGTCACTGGTGTACTAATTTGTGATTTTTCGTTGTATTAATCCTTTTAATTAAAGTCACTTATTTCAAATAGAAAATTATAAATTAATAAGCTACGTTTAAGAAGACTTAATAAGTATTCCGAAAATGCTATTTTCAGCAATCTTCCTAAAAGCCAATAGGCATGTGGCCTTGCTGATAAATAAATTAGGAGGGTGGATATGCTAGTATCAAAGGTGTAGGGTTCGACTCTTGCACTTGTCAAGAGATAGAACAAAAGTCAAAAAGTCACGAGAGTTAGAAATAAGTAGGACAAAAAAAATAAAACAATCTTCCTAAAAGTGAATTTAAACCAATTGATGGCTCCAATGTACGCCAGAAACTTCTCGAAGACAGAGTCAAAGAGAGGGGATAGGACATGGAATCTCAGGATTATGAGGCGAATATGAACCACAAAGACTAGCAAGATCTTCAGAATCTCGCGAATGGGATTTTTCTCTTTTTCCCAGCAAATGGTTTCTGCCACACCCAGGAGTTCATGCAGATTTCGCAGTTAATTCCAAGCTCCCATCCAAGTTAGTCAAAGTCTTCTCTCCAAACAAACAAAGTCTCCACCCTCATTTGACTCTCTCTCTCTCTCTCTCTCTCTCTCTCTCTCTCTCTCTCACTCTCTCTCTCAGTTCTACTTACTCCGTTGCTGCTTGTTTGATTCCAAACGGCATTGTAATGAATAAACCCTAGTTCTCTTTGCAAAAAAAAAAAAAAAAACCCTAGTTCTCTGTATCATCTATCTTGGCCTGATCGATGAGACCAGATCATGCATGTTGGATATTTCACACGCAGTCCGTCCAAGTTAAACTTGAGGCCGTACTGTATTATCATGTTTTCTTGGTCGTATCTGGCATAATTTCAAGGCCATTTCTCACATATATTATTGATTAAGTTCACATGTACATGAGGTTCATATTTGTAACCTGATAAATCTAAGTCCTGATATCAGGAGATTTCTCTCAATCAGGGATGAAGGAAAATACATCCGTAACATTTACAGGAAAACAATATTTGACTCCAAATCTGGAAAGGAATTGTTTGGGCCTTCTCATCGCGTGATTGTTTCTATGTTTGTCAATACTTTTTTATACTCCTGCTAAATGTGCTTCTATTTGTTGCATAAGAAAACAAAATTTATTTACATGTGTACGTTGACTTCACATTGGTCCATCGTAGTTTGTCACATGGAAAGTAGGAAATAGTGGTTAGAGGCAAACGGTACTAGCAACGAAAATCATCAATAGAAAAAATTGATATTCAAGGTAATCTTCTTATACTATTCTTCGAAATCATCGATGGCTTGGATCAATGTTGATCCGATGCAAACGGCCTCTGGACCAAACATAGTGTGTCGATTTAGTGATTGAGGAATGAACATGTGGGCGGACAATAGAGGTCACACCTGGTTCATGAGTTGGTTTGCTTATGGGTAATCTTGTAAGCTCGGAGTAACCTTGAATAAATACTTATGTCAATTTCGATATACTTTTCTTTGAAAATTATTGCTGGTATTGTCGGTAGGTCATACCTAGGCGACGGTATCTCAATGATTAATGAAAGAGTATGCTAATGTGGACTAGGTGCGCGAAATAAACCTTACCTGGCACGAAGATACTAGATTATTTTATAAGTTCGGAGTTTATTGCTTAAAATTGATTTTTCTACTCACGAAAAGGAAAAAAAATCTGATTAATCGGTTT